AGCATATAATACTGCAGGTATAGCAAACTAAGTCATGGGAAGCTTTGAAGTAATTTGCTTCATAAAAGGGACTTCCGCAGTGGCGCAGTGCTAAAGAATCTGCCTGCAATGTAGGATCCACAAGAGACATGGGTTTGACCCCTGGGTCCAGAAGACCCCCCTGAAGGATGGCATAGCGACCCACTGCAGTATTCTTGCCTGGAGAATCCCATGACAGAGGAGCCTGGCAGGCTGTAGTCTAAAGGGTTGCAGAGTAAGACAGGACTGAGGCAACTTAGCACACATGCACACACATCATAAAAGTATGAAAAACAGAGATGAATTCAGTTTTCTGCACTTATTATTCTGTCCAGTGTGTTCATCACATTAAACCTGTGAGGCTTCACTAGCTAATCTGGAAAGAGGTGCCTACCCTGGTTGATCATTCCCTAATATTGCATCCTGTTCACTTACTTCATTGCACTATACATTTTGCAGTTATTTTTTTATTCTTGGTGTACTAGTTTCTTCTTGTTTTTTCCCACTAGTATATAATTTGACAAGGACAGGAATGATTCATTATATTTCTGGCACCTACCAGAATGCCTAGTACAGGGAGGTACTAAATTAATGCTTGTTAAAAAAAAAATTAAATAAAGAGAAACATTCAGGAAAATATAGTGGATATCTAAAGAAAAATTTTGTAAACCATTTGGAAATTCCTTTTTTGCTAACTTGTATGGATATAACTTTGGGATGGCAACAAAAATGATCACAAGCCCAGGATCTTCTATCCATGGGATTCTCCAGGCAAGAATACTGGAGTGGGTTGCCATGCTCTCCTCCAGGGGATCTTCCTGATCCAGGGATCAAATCCACGTTTCCATCTCCCATGTCTCCAGGATCTGTAGATGGATTCTTTACCGCTGAGCCAAAGGGGAAGCCTCCCAAATGGGCAGACTTTTCAGCTTTTCTCTCAAGTTTGCAAATCAGTAGCAATGTAAGGCACAGTGGGAGGGTATTAGATTGGTATAGTGGGGACAAAAAAGCACCAAGAATCCTGGATTCAAGGAAATCTGATATTTCCCCCCAGTTTTCCTTATGACTGTAATGTTGGGAAAGTCATCAGACTTTCTCCAGACCTGGTCACCTCCTCTGTGACATGAGGTTCTTGGGATATATCCTGAGAACCCTGTGATCTTTGTTTTAATTTATAGCATTTAAAAAACATGTAATGAGTTTATTATTTTTTTAATTAATTAATTTTTACATTTACAGTTTTAATTTCTAATGTGACAAATATCAATAGAGCTATCCCACACACAAAAATGTTACTTGGGTACTCAATTTTCAAAAATTTAAAGAAGACCTGAATCCAAAAAAAAAAATTGAGAACACCTGATCTAAGAAAAATGCAGTGTCAGTCCTCAAAAAGAGAAAGTCCTCCAAACACTGACTATGAGGCAGAGTTAGAGTTAGCCTACGCATTGTTCACCACGTGACTAGCTAAGTAATAATCATCACAATAATTTATGCCGTATTCATCACGTGCGCTTGCTGTTCTAAGTAATTTACTTGTAACATGATTGAATCACACAGTCCTTACCGCAAACCTATGAGAAAGGCCCTACTTTTCTAGTTTATAAATGAACCAGGAGGTGTTAATGATTTGCTGGTAAATAGTGGTGCCAGGCCTGCGTCTGTAGTCTTCCTTTAGAGTCTGTGTACTCAGTCACCTTCTGAGTTCCTGGTAAGTGTGGTGTGTGCATGGAGCAGAACATCACGCAGCAGTCAGGAACAATGGGTGGAATATTACATAGGCTCACATAGGTAGATGCTGTACAAATCACATTAAATTAAAAAGTACAGGGAGATGGAATAAAAAAGTTATTATTTTTCAATAACTTTATAGGAAAATACTATTTGTATAGGGACTAATAAAAAGTTATTATTGTCCAATAACTTTAATAGGAAAATACCATTTGTATATATATTTGAAATAGATAAAATAGCACCATAGTGCTTTTAAGTATAAAGAAGTGTCTCAATACATGTGTAGAAGTTGAATTGAAAAGACATTATTTGTAACTCCAAATCAGTGACTTATGATGGGGAAAATAGTATAAATCAAAATAAAATAAAAATGGTACTTCACAAAATGATGATGATATGCCATAAACGGAATAGTGTCATGAATTTGATTTTTAATACCAAGGTTAATGAGAGCAAAATATATATATATATATATATATATATATATATATATAGAGAGAGAGAGAGAGAGAGAGAGAGAGAGAGAGAGCATCTCTTCCACCCCCAACATCCGCCGTGAAGACATAATCTGCAGTCAGGAAAGATGAGGGACTTCTCACCCAGGATGACAAACATATCCCCAGAGAGTTATGGGAAACAGGCAGATTCCTTTCAGTTTTACTTTTAATCAGCCTCAGAGATGTTTTTTCTTTTTTTAAAGATTTTGTTGTTGTAGACCATTTCTTTTTTAAAGTCTTCACTGAATTTGTTACAATATTGGCTCGTTTTTCATGTTGTGTTTTACTGGCCCTGAGGCTTGTGGGGTCTTAGTTCCGTGACCAGAATCAAACTGGCATCCCCTGCATTGGAAGGTGAAGGCTTAACCACTGGACCACCAGGGAAATCCCAACCTCGGAGGTTCTGACCCTGGTCTATGATGCTTTCCACAATAAGAAAGGGTGAGGTACAGTGCCTGCAGGATGTAGGAAGTAGAGCAAAATCCCTGGAAGGATAAGAACTCTAGTGATGAATCTTTCTGGCAACCTAAAAAATTGAATATTGTGACATAAAATATGCCCTGCTCATTACTAAATCCCTAAGCCCTTATTTTCTACTTCTCTCTGATCTTCTTTTTGCTGGAAAAGGAAATGTTTATTTCCCAATTCAGCTAGCATGAGAATGCAGTGAGTCAGAATGTTAATTTTGTGGGAAGGTTTTGTTTATGCCAGGGTCATTTTATTTAACATTTTCTGTTTCCTTAGACAAATCGGAATGTTTCACTGAGTTTTCCTTAACTAAGCATTGAAGCAATGAAAACTGTAATTTCTTTCATAAAACAAAAACAAATAAACCAAAAACCCCATGCCTTCCATTTCATTCAGTTCCGTTCAGTTCAGTCACTGTCTTATCTTGTATCTCCTGCTGCAGAAACATGCCTTCCCTTTCATTAGCACGGTCTTATCTTGTGTCTCCTCCTGCAGAAACTTGTCAAGTTTAATTTTGTAATTTTGTGGGGCACCCAGAGATGTTTCTCCCAATCCCTTTTGGTAGGGGGCTCCAGCACTCCAGTTCCCCAACACACCTTAAAGCCCTTTATAACTTTATTCCACTGCCTTAGGGATTCCTCTTGCGCACCAATCCGGGAGCTGGGTCACTTTAAAGAGCTGAGTAGTCATGCAAATCTGTCTGTTTCCTGTTGTTAGAACTACCCTTTCCCGAGGGAATTAATTCCAACAGGAGGGAAGAAAATGTTGAGCCTGATTTAGTTCTAAGCCTTGCTTTTTTTGTCTTCCCCCTCTGTGGTACAGGTTCAAGCTCCTTCTTTCCTAGCAGCTAAAAACCAGGAGCTATCTCTTTAAGAAGAGAGTGACTTTTCTGATTAGACTTCAAAGAATAAATGGTTTAAAAAATGCAGATAGGGAAAGGGTCCCTCAGGCTGAGGCTGATGAGTAAAAGATGTCCACAAGTTGATAGGTGAATTTGTTGAAAAGTCCTGGAAGATGTGAAACAAGATTTCTAAATCCTGAACTTTGACTTCAGTTCTTCAGAGACATATTTACAGTGAAATCTACAACTTCCTCTTTCCATGGGTTCTGATAAATACAGTCTGAAGACGGGAAGAAAGCCACATAAATGGTGTTCTAAACATTCTCCAGCACTGTAACTCCATGAGGTATCATTTGGTCTATGCCTTATGTAGACACTGTTGTAAATCCATTCTGTGGGCAGGCTAAAACTCCCCCTAAATAACATCTTTGAACCACTTTTTCCAGGATGCTGTTTTTTCTTTCTCTAAATACTCAATTCTTTCTTCTACTTCTAACATTAATTTCAAGAAGCAGACAGAATATTTCTTGGTTCTGAAACATAATACCCACTCTTGTAAAATTATCACATTTCCTTATCCTTATCTCCATTATACAGAATCCTTAAAGTTAGTCCCTCTTCTGTCATTTCAAGTTCTAAGTTAATCAAAACAAAATATTTCACTAGACCAATGACACATCTCATGGAAAGGGATTTGTTGCATAAACCAATATGTCTTTATACAAGGTTCATGATCCATGAGTATTTATTACATGTCAAAATGCTATCCTTAATATAAGGATATATAAAGAATCTCCCTTTATATGTCATGTATTATATTTCACTTAGTTATTTGCTAACCTTAGTTACTACGAAGTTATCCCATTTATTACATAACCTTATGATTAATTTGAAAAAGTAAAATTTAGATTCCCTATACTGTCATTGTTTCTTAATACTAAGAGAAGCATTTCATTAGTTTTTTTTTTTTAAGTTTCTAATCTTAAAGCCCTTGAAGTTAAATTCTCTCTGTAAAATTCTACTGACACCTGTTCTCCTTAACAGTTTTCTGTAAGGGACAGATATTAACATTCTGTTTGCAAACACATAAATGTCACCCCAGGAAGGAAGGAGCTTTGAGTTTCTATTATAAAGGGACACATTTTCTAACAGTGCAACCCTGGAAATGGAAAAGTGAGAATTAGAGTCTAGTTCAAGTTCCCCAAAAGGCAGAAATATTTGGGTTCTACGGAAGGTCCCACTTCCCACCGGGCCCCTCCCTTCCTCCTTCTTTCCAGCCGCCGCCCAGGCGCGGGCGGGAAGGGCTGGGCGGCCGCCGACACGCCCGGGCAGGGCGCTCGCGTCCTTCCACCTTCCAGACGCCGAATTGACAGTCCCCGCAGAAAGGGAGCTGACAGCCGGGACCTCTCCCCGCTTCCCGTCGCCGGGAGTCGGCGTGGACCATGTTTTCCATCCTGGGGAGATGGGGCGCGAGCGGCTTCTACCAGCGGGTCACCGAGGCGCAGGTAAAGCTCTTTGGTGGAGGTGGGAGAGTCGGGGCGGTTTTCGGGCCAATCTGGGGACGAAGGGATGACTGAAGACCTGAGATCTGGGATGATGTGAAACTTCACCGAACAAGATCTCAGTCCAGGTGGCTGCTGGAGGAGAGAAAGAGGCATCTTTGAAGTGATAAGTGCCCTCCCCCCCCCCCCCCCCCCCCCGTAAACAGAAATGAGCTTCTGAGAAAAGAATGAATGGACCTGACTTCCGCTGCAGGAGTGGAGGGTGGGATGGAATTCTACAACCAGTGGTAGAGCCCAATAAAAGAGACCCGGGGTAAATAAACTCTATCAACTGACATGATATTGAGAACCCGAGGCCTGGGGAAAACCCAGAAACTGCGGGCATTTGACCGTATCTTGCTGCCCCGGCACCCTATCCCTGCCCCCAACGCTGTGATAACAGGTGCTTCTACAATGGAAGTCATGTGCCATGAACTCCGCAGTTGTATGCCGGCATATGTACTAAGCCGCTTCAGTCGTGTCCTCTGACTGACTCTCTGCGACCCCACAGACTGTACCCTGCCAGGCTCCTCTGTCCATGGAATTCTCCAAGCAAGAATACTGGAGTGGGTTGCCATTTCCTTCTCTAAGGGAGCTTCCAAACCCAGGGATGGAACCCACCTCTCTTGCATCTCCTACATTGGCAGGCTGGTTCTTTACCACTAGCCCCACCTGGGAAGTCCAATTTCCTAAAAATATCTTACTTGTTTTACTTCTCATCACTACACAAGACAGGTCTTAGAAATAGGCCTAACACACTTAGATCTGTAGTACTTAAAAAGGAAGAAAAAAAATTTCAGATACAGAGGATCTTGTTATCCTGTCTTTTGTTAGTAACTCCAAGTGTCAAATAAATAAGATAGTCTATTAATTACATATGAAACTATAAATTTCTTTAAAAGTAGGACAAATTATATGTACTCTTTAAAATCTATAAAATATAGGTATTGAATAAGTCACTTAAAATGTGCAAGAGCTTCACTAGGACAATATACATTTTGTGGGGTTTTTTTGGTTTGTTTTTTTAACCTTAGACATGTCAGGCTTAATCAGGCAAACTGGTTTAACACCATCAGTCTAACCTCAGAGGTGTCCAAAGACAGTGAGTTACAAACAGGTGTGGTGTGAAATTATAAACTCAAACAATTTCTTCACCCCAAATTCGAGTGGACTCTTCCTTTAAGTTTCCAACCATGTTTATTTCCTTGACTATTCCTCAATGTCAATAGCTTTTTGGAGCAAGAATCCATTTAGAAAAGATTAAAATACTCATTTAAATAGCATTTTCTGTTTGTTACTTCTATGACACCAAGTTTTTTGGTTTTTGTTTTTTAAGTTGATGGCTTTCGGGCATGTTGAAAACCTTGTATGATTATATTTCATTACTTAGACTACATTTTTGGCCTAGTAGATCTCAGATAAAAATCGCAGCCTAACCTATAAGCCAAGAACATGACTTTCTGATTGAGTTTCTAGGGCTGGCATAAATAGATGTATAAATAAAAAACCTCTTAAAAATTTTATTGGTGGTGATTAACATTAATTCATTTACATATTTATTCATGTAAAACATTTTATGAGCTGGACCCTGGAAATATTAAATATTAAAGAGCAGACACATTACTTTGCTAACAAAGGTCCATCTAGTCAAAGCTATGGTTTTTCCAGTAGTCCTGTATGGATGTGAGAGTTGGACTATAAAGAAAGCTGAGCACTGAAGTATTGATGCTTTTGAACTGTGGTGTTGGAAAAGACTCTTGAGAGTCCTTTGGACTGCAAGGAGATCTAACCAGTCCATCCTAAAGGAAATCAGTCCTGAATATTCATTGGAAGGACTGATGCTGAAGCTGAAATACCAATGCTTTGCCCACCTGATGCGAAGAGCTGACTCATTGGAAAAGACCTTGATTTTGGGAAAGATTGAAGGCAGGAAGAGAAGGGGATGACAGAGGATGAGATGGTTGGATGGCATCACCGACTCAATGGACACGAGTTTGAGTAAACTCTGGGAGTTGATGATGGACAGGGAGGCCTGGCATGCTGCAGTCCATGGGGTCTAAAAGAGTTGGACACAACTGAGCAACTGAACTGAACTGAACCAAAACATAGTAGTTTCTACCCTCCGAAGAAGAGAAGTTTGGAAGGAAAAAGTACCTGTAGGCAAATTATTGGATAGTCAGGTAAGAGTGAATTCAGGGAGGACAGATCTGAAGAGCCTTTACATCTCATATAAGGAATTTGTTGAGTTTGCTCTGGTAACACAGAACACAAAATGGAGACTTGGAGGTAGGGATGGGAGGAGAGGAATCACTAACAGCGATATATCCCTCCAGACAATTCAAGCACAAGTAAGATTTAGCCAGCAGAAGTGAAGTACAAGGAAATGGACAAGAAGAAAGGGGTTTCTAAGTAGCAGCAGATAGTAACAGCACGTAACAGGTAGAGTTGAGGGTGTAGAATTATGACCTGAAAATAGAATGAACTTACTGAGTTCAATTCAATGTCTTATGCTTCTCAGTTGGAGGATCTTGGGCAAGTTTATTTTTTAAAGTCTGGGCCTTTGCTTCCTCTTCTGTAAAATGGGGTTGACAAAAATATTCCCACCACTAAAACACATTATATTTAATAATACATATATTTACAACAGAATCTGGCACATAATAAGTGATTGAAAAACCTAAGTTCTAAAAAGCATAAGTCCCTTTTGCTTTCTAGATGGTTTTCCTTCTCTGTAAGACTTCCTGTATAGGCATTTTTCCATATCTTCCTTCAGTCTTCCCAGGATCATTCTCTAATACCCACAAAGGAAGTTCCTGAAGTTAGGGGTTATTAGATTTTGTTAACTATAGCAGTCACACAAACCACATCCTCAGGAGGCTGCATCTCAGGGTTGAACCCAAAGAAGATTGCCAGCAACATGTATCACTAAATCCTGGACCCAGGTTATGCTGTGGGCTAAACTTTCTGCTCCTCCATCGTAATACAAAAATAACAGGACCACCATTCAAATGAAAATTGCACATCAGATCTCCTAGAGGAGGGAATGGCAACCCACACCAGTATTCTTGCCTGGAGAATCCCACGGACAGAGGAGCCTGGTGGGCTACAGTCCATGGGGTCGCACAGAGTCAGACATGACTTAAGCGACTTCACACAGCCAGCAGCACAGAATTAATATTAAGGTGTGTTTATAGGATGCTTAGTATATACCCAGTGCTAGATAAGTACAAAGATAATAAAATAGCTTAGAAACAAAAGCCTCTAATAGGCTGGGGGAGATAAATGAGAAATCATTTGATATCAGGTCTGCAGAGGAAGTGGTGTCAGCGAGAACAGGTGAGTTGAAAGGACTACAGAATGTCCAGTAGAGAGGATGGGAGTGAATTCACTCACTGAAGGAAACTCACAGAATTGTCATATCCTGGTTTTCAACGTAGATGTTGCTTTACAGCAATATGTTGATAATAAACTCAGTGAGACCCATGCTATGAATTCAGTAATTATTTACTGAGAAGCCATTTGTATATTCTTGGTACTTGGTAAGATTTAATTACCTCTACTAGATATTTTGCCTGCCTGCTATTTCTTCTGGGAGGTAAATGTGCTTGGAATTCACTGTAATAACTTCAATATAAGATGCCTGGCCTTCACTAATGAGGCTGTTTATTTACCAGAGTACTCAAAGAGCCTTGTATAAGATGCTTTCACATGAAAAGCGGACCTAGACCAGATGTCAAATACCCAGTCCTTGGCCTGCTAAAGTAACCTTGTTTACTAGCTCTGCAAGACTTTGGCCCTGGAAAGAGAACTTTTTTATTTAGCTGATGATTCCCTGGCCCAGCTGGATCATGGCCTCAATTGGGTTAGCTTGGCCAATCTCTGCTGAGCTCTTTCAGACATGTACTGACATATGTCCTCATATGTCAGGCAGTCTTCAAGCTGTTGGTCAGGATGATGGGCTGTCAGATGAGCACCTCGTTTCTAGTCCATGGTGGTCTATTACCCTCCAGGAGGCTAGCTTGGGCTCAGTCACATGGTGCAATCAGGGTTCCAAGCAGAGCAAGCCTTTTGAAGCTTAGAGTTGGAGTTCTCTTCACATCACTCCTGTTGCATTCTCATAATCAAAACGAGAAACAATGCTAGCCCAGATTCAAGGAGTGGGAAATAGAATCAGTCTCTTGATGGGAAAAGCTGCAAAGTATTTGCAGCCATTTGCAGTTGGGCACAGAAATATATGTATTTTTGATGTGAATATGATCTCCACATTGGTGGCCAATTATCAAATTGGCAACTCCCTATAAAATAAAATGTGACCACTGAGTTAATCAGAGAGTTTTCACACATTTTCCTCACTGATATATGTACTAATTTTCCAAATAATGTGTTTGATAGCAAGATTTATAACAACATTATAGTTCACTTGTTGGCATGGTTGTTTTGGGCTTTTTATTTATCACATAGTAATGTGATAAATGTTTTACGTTTGTTGGAGCATTTATTTCTTGAAACAACAGTGGAAGGATATATAGCAACTTGTTAAAATATAGTTGACCCTTGAATAACACGGGGGTAAAAGGTGTCAATCTCCTCAAAATAAAAAATCTGCATATAATTTATAGTCAGCCTTTCATGTATGTGGGATTCCCAGGTGTCTCAGTGGTAAAGAATTCGTCTGCCAATGCAAGAGACACAGGAGATGCAGGTTTGGTCCCTGGGTCAGGAAGTTCCCCCTGGATAAAGAAATGTCAGCCAACTTCAATATTCTTGCCAGGGAAGTCCCATGGACAGAGGAACCTAGAGGACTACAGTCCATGGGGTTGCAAAGAACTGAACACACACACATGCTCATTCCATATATGTGGTTCCTCCATATCTAAAGTTCCTCCTCCATGGGTTCAACCAATCCATGATTGTGTGGTACTAAGAAAAAATCCAAATATAAGTGGACTCACGTGGTTGAAACCCATGTTCTTCAAGGGTCAATACATATGTATATATATAGTTGTTGTTTAGTCAATAAGTTGTATCTGACTCTTTGCAATCCCATGGACTATAGCCTGCCAGTCTCCCCTGTCCATGGAATTTTCCAAGCAAGAATGCTGGAGTGGGTTGCCATTTCCTTCTTCATATATATATGTATACACACATACACACACATATATATGCATATGCAATGATTTATAGTGTATAATTTGCTATAACTCAGAGAACAGATTTGAAGTGAGTATTATGCTTTCTCATCTTTAATCAGAATATTTTGCTGTGAAAAATGAAAATCTCTCAGTTGTCTTCCACTCTTTGTAACCCCATGAACTGTAGCCTACCAGGTTCTTCTGTCCATGGAATTCTCCAGGCAAGAATACTGGAGTGGGTAGCCATCTCCTTCTCCAGGGGATCTTTCCAACCCAGGGATTGGATCCAGGTCTCCAACATTGCAGATGGATTCTTTACAGTCTGAGCCCCCAGGGAAGCCCAAGAATACTGGAGTGAGTAGCCTATCTCTCCAGCGGATCTTCCCAACCCAGGAATCAAACGGGTCTCCTGCATTGCAGGCGGATTCTTTAGTCGCTAAATCTTCTCTGACTTTTTGTGACCCCATGGACTGTAGCCCACCAGGCTTTTCTGCCCATGGGATTTCCCAGGCAAGGATATTGGAGTAGGTTGCCATTTCCTACTCCAAGAATATTTTGCTGTTCAGAATGAAATATTGTTTCATTCCTCTAGAATAAGAAATTTTTTAAAATGTGATAAACAGTTCATGAATATGAAATTAGAACGGGATTAGAGAGGATTAATGCAAAATTGTTAAATATGGGACAATTTCTAACAGTGAAATTTAATTTTGTGATTAGTTTAACTTTGTAAAAATAGAGATTGATGCTGACCTTAAAAAAATGTAAGATTATTGCCTTTGAGACCTTCTCTTTTAAACCCCTCTTCTCTTGGTCAAACTTCAAGTCAATGGAAAGAGTATTATGGAAATACTATAACCTTCCCAAATAATATATAATTGTGATAATAGGTAATTATGTATGTATATATGCATTTATACAAATTATGTAATTAACTGTTTACACAGAAGTGATTAAACCAAATGCCTATTATAGTCTATTATTTTCCTATTTATCAGAAGATAAAGATGTTTTTCACTTAGTAATTAAATATTTTAAATTTAGCTTATATTGTACATATATGTAAGCTAAATTATGTATTTATATATATGCATGTATATACATACATATATACACAGTCATTTTAGTTGAGAAGCTATATATATATACATATACATATACATATATATATACATGTGTGGTGATTCATATGTAGAGAGAGACAGAGAGAAAAAGAAGAAATAATAGGAAATTTAGGAATAGTTTTCTTTTTCTACATAGTTTCTTGCTATGTAAAAGCCATAATATTAGAAGAAATCTTAATTTTCCTCTAATGCATTGTCCAAGGATATCTTAATTGTATTACTTAAAAATTATGTTATCAACATAGCTGAAATATAAATGATTTCATGTTTGCTTTCCACTTGCCGACAAAGATATTTCAAATGTAAAAAAAGGCATTTTCTTCATACACTAGCTGTTATTTATTTATTTATTTTAGAGATGCAGTCCAGAGAAAAGTGCTTCATTCTTCAGTAAGATGACCTATTCCTGGTTTAGCAGGTAAGAATTTTACTAATTCATCTGTGGTGTAACACACTGAGGAAAATTCTGAGTGAAATGACACTTACATGTTATTCCTCAAATCTAAGTGTGTATATTTTTACAAAATAACTTTGCAAAGGTTTTCTTCTCATGTGATTTATTCCAAAAACATCACAAATAGTAACATACAAAATAGGTCCACAGATAAGACTGTGAATACTCCTGCAATATGGCTGCCCATTTATAATATTTCTGTCCCGTTAGCACTAGGAAGGGAAAATGAATATATACATATACACATACACATACATATACATATATATGGGGCTTCCCTGGTGGCTCCGTGGTAAAGAATCTGCCTGGAGTGCAAGAGACCTGGGTTCAATCCCTGGGTTTGGAAGATCTCCTGGAGGAGGGCATGGAAACCCACTCTAGTACTCTTACCTGGAGAATTCCATGGACAGAGGAGCCTGGTGGGCTACAGTCCATGGGGTCACACACAGTTGGACACGCCTGAAGTGACTAAGCAGCAGCCGCAGACGTATATATACACATATATGTTTAATCATGTATCTGCTATTTACTTTTACCCATTTTATATATTTTATTTCATGTAATTTCCCCCTAAGTCCTATGAGCTAGGCATTTACAGATGAGGACATCTGAGGCTCAAGGAGAGGGAAGCCAGGTAGGCTTGATATCTAGGTAGGAGGTACCTAGGCAGGAGGACCTGATGTTAGAAGTCAGTTTGAGTTCAGGTTTCAAGCTTTCTTTGTTGTTTTGTTATTCTACTTTTTACTGGAAATGCTCTCATTTATACTTATCTATGTAGTGTAGCAGTAGTCACTCCGTCGTGTCTGACTCTTGTGACCCCATGGACTGTATCTCACCAGGCTCCTCTACCCATAGAATTCTCCAGGCAAGAATACTGGAGTGAATTACCATTTCCTTCTCCAGGGGATCTTCCCGACCCAGAACTCAAACCTAGGTCTCCTGCATTACTGCCAGATTCTTTACTGACTGAGCTACAAGGGAAACTTCAGAATACTGAAGTGGGTTGCTCAGATGGTAAGGAATCTGCCTGCAATGCAGGAGATATGGATTTGATCCCTGAGTCAGGAAATCCTCTGGAGAAGGAGATGGCAAGAATATCGGAGTGGGTTGCCATTTCCTTCTCCAGAGGATTGGCTGACCCAGGGATCAAATCCAGGTCTCCAGCCTTGCAGGCAGATTCCTTAACATCTGAGACATCTATTCTGCTTTTTGCTGAAAGTTCTCTCATTTATACTTATTTATACTCCTATTGAGGAGAAGGCAATGGCACCCCACTCCAGTACTATTGCCTGGAGAATCCCATGGACGGAGGAGCCTGGTAGGCTGCAGTCTATGGGGTCGCTAAGAGTCAGACACGACTGAGCGACTTCACTTTCACTTTTCACTTTCATGCATTGGAGAAGGAAATGGCAGCCCACTCCAGTGTTCTTGCCTGGAGAATCCCAGGGACGGGGGAGCCTGGTGGGCTGCCGTCTATGGGGTCATACAGAGTTGGACACAACTGACGTGACTTGGCAGCAGCAGCATACTCCTATTGAAACACACACACAAGCATTTTGTAAGGCATATAATGTGGTTTATCTTATAGAATAATATATAATATGTGATGAGAGCTTTAACACAAAAATTAAATCATATTGAATGAGAAGAGTTCATTTTTTCTAATTTTATGCATTCAACAAGTTTCTTTATGTTTTCTTTTCTCCTATAACAGAAAGTTTATGATAATATGAAACTAAATTTATCATTCTAACTTAATGCCCCTTGCTTTATAGTTGGTAGAAACAAAATTGCCCAATTTGATCTACAAATATTAGGTTAAGCAAAAAGTTCATTTGGATTTTTCTGTAAGATAGTATGGAAAAATCTGAATGAACTTTTTGGCCAACCCAATGTGTTTTTAAGAGTAGGTGAATGCTTTTATAAAAAAAAAGTTTTTTGCATGCTAGATGTCCTACAGTATGCTAACCTTTCCAAATGCAGAGATAAATGATCTAGATCTTGTCTTCCAGGAATTCATAATAGAATTAAAAAGATTAAAAAGTACCCAAAAAGGCAGTCTAAGCATGATGGAGAAACACAATTTTCAGAAATGTCATTTAACCAAGTTTGCACACTGGGAATGTTTTGCAAGTGATTAATGCCTTAACCCAACATTTAAAAAGTATAGGGGTGAGCCAAAGTGGCATTCCCAGTTGAGCAGACACCGTTTACAAATCATGGAGGCAGGGGAGAACTGACCCTTCCATGTTGGTATGTCAAGAGATCAAGTTGAAAGGACAGATCAGTAAGAGTTCTCTAGGATATCCTGAAGATAGTGAGAAGCCACTGAAGGATTTTAAATAGAGAATGACATACGATTTGCACTTCAGAAAATCACCTGTGCAATTCTGTGGATATATGTAGGAGATGAAAATGGAGAGAGACTGGTCAGGAGGCTCTTTGGATATCCTGGTAGATTTATGGTTACCACCTGAACCATAGTAATGATAAAGATGATGAGCAGGAAGGAATACATTCAAGAGCTTTTTAAGAGAAAGAGTTGATTGGAAGAAGAGATTGAAGAACTGGGGAAAGTGTTGAATAATGTTGGGTTTCTGGGTCAGATAACTTAGAGTTTCAGATATTGTGAAAATCTGTGAAAGCAGTTTAGCAAAGTTTCAATTTCTGGTGCCTGACTCATCCCCATTAAAAAAAAAACCCTTACATATGTTGGAGATGTAGACCTCAGGCTTACAGACGTGGATTTGAGACTCATTGACTGTAGATCTATAGTCATGAATGTCATTGAGATCAAGCAGGAGAGTCTATTTAACAAACAATGTATTGGGAATCCTTAGTATTTAAACAATAAGAGGAGGGAGAGTCTACAAAGGAAGCTAAGTATTCAGAATGTAAGAGACAAACCAAAGAAAGAGTGTGATTGGAAGCTAGGGAAACTGTCAAAAAAGGAAAAAAAGGTAAGTGACCAATAGGGCCAAATAATGAAAAATAAAATAAGAAATGAACATTCTCCATTGAATTTGGCAATATAAAAATTATTGGTGGTATTCATGAAAGCTGTTAAAGTAGAAAACTGATATACTTGATAAGCAAATATTTGGGCAGAAGTTGAATTATGATAAAAATTCTAAGTTATACAAATCTGTGAATCATTTAAAGAGGATTGCAGAAGTTTTATGACAATATGCTATATTAAATTATGCACTAGAAAAATAAAGTTTAAATGGAAACTATGTAAATGTGGACTATTTACAGTTAATGATTTTGGTTTTTCAAATTTGTGTATGTTTAGATATGTTTTTCAAACCTGAGTTCTGTCTCATCCATGAGTTGAGAATAAGAGTGATGTCTACACTGGCTTTAAAATTTTCAGACTGTCATTTTTAAGTCACAAGCTAACAGAATTTAAATGGTGTAAATAATTTTAAGTAAATGTACTTTAAAAACTTTTATTATCAAACTATATGCATTTTGGCAAATGAAAACAATGTGCATTTATGTTAAATATTACAAACACAATTTTAGGAAGCATGAAGTATGAAGCTGAAATTAAATTTAATATCAAATAAAACAGCAGAATTTAAAATATAGCAACTCAATATCTTGAAGTCTATATTTTAGATCAAACAACCAATAAGCTATAATTTTTGAATATCACATTTATTTTCTGTTTTTCTCTCACATGTCAGAACTAGATAGGAAATATTTTCATGGCATGCCATTATCTGAAGCTATCATTGGCATTAAACTAATGTGGTTGCTTATCTGGTGATGAAACAATTGCAGCTGAATCATAGCTATTGTTAAGAGAATGTCTCTTTCAAGACACTGGTTAATTGTGTTCTCAGATCTGTTCTTTGAGTTACAGAATGAAATCAGAAATTATTTCCTAGGCTGAATTCAAGCTCCCCTAATTATATGAATAATTTGATTAAAATGTGCTCAGATGATGCAAATGATTAGGAAATTATATGCTTATGAGCCATAATTCCTAAGGCAGTAGCTGTCTAGATCATGTTGATGATTAATAATTATGAAGGTTTTATTAGCAAATATAATCTGTCATCAGTGTATAATAATCATGGTCATAGAATGATCCCCTTGACATACATGGAAAAATCTAGTTAACATTTTTATAGTTCACAATTGAATTATTTTAACTGTGGATACACTATTCAATCTATCCTACCTTTTCCTCACATATTAGTAAAATTTGTACATTACCTGACTGTCTCATCCTAAGATTTTTGTACCAACTGACACCTTGCCTTTTCCCATTATACAATCACCCCTTTCCAGAAATGTTTAAACAGATGATTAGCAATAATGAGGGCTTCCTTTGTGGCTCAGATGGTAAAGAATCTGCCTGCAATGTGGGAGACCCAGGTTCGATCCCTGGGTCAGAATGTTATCCCTTGGAGAAGGGAATGGCTACCCACTCCAGTATTCTTGCCTGCAGACTCTCTTGGACAGAGAAGCCTGGTGGGCTGCAGTCCATAGGGTCACAAAAAAATCAGAAATGACTGAAGTGACTTAGCACACACAGCACAGCAATAATGAAATTGACAGTGCTGCCATATACTTTCCAAGTATTTCGATTATTACTCATCTACAAAATGTGTATTTCATCTCACCCTGTTAGCCAACTGCCACTGGTTTACTACCATTAATACCAGTTGGATAGGATACTTATGCACACTTGTTAATGTTAAATACACTCAAGATTCTCTCTAATGTAACAAAAATGAATACACAGTGGAAATATTACATTTAATGACATTGTCTGCCTTTGGGTAAGTAAGTACTGGTGTATACCACATTTAAAAACCTGTGACCAGTCCCTAGAGTTCCTGCTGTTTAACAGTCGATAAAAATGATTACTTTATATGCTTTAGGGAGTTGTCCTTTGAAAAAAGTATAATAGTCTATAAAAAACCAAGATGCTCGTATGTACCTTTATTATTGCTTAAGGACTAAAGTCCACAAGTTTGTGGGATCTGGTGCATTTCATTGTTGGGAGAGTCAACCATTGGCCCAAGAAGCTTCCCAAAAGCTGCTTCAGCAGTTCATTTAAAGAAGCACCACTTCCTCTTCTGCTGGATTCTTATGTGTATAAGTTAGACCCAGAAGAGAGCAAAAGAGGTGGAAGATGCACACACCTGGTAAAAGGGAACTCACAGCCCAGCCCAAGTTCACCACAGTCAATTGGCTTAAGTGTCACTTTTAGATGCTTCTTTATTTGGAGACTCAGCATGAAAGCCAGGGGTCACTTATCCCCATGAACCAAAACCGCTGAGTTTTGCACAGTTCTACCTCAAAATGCTGAGGCAGTAAATGTTATTAAAAATGCTTTTGTGAAAATCAATTCAATCTTATTTTGAAAATGAATATTTATTTTGTGGAATGGAATAGAAGAACTTAATATGACATTAAAGTAGTTTATTGCTTAATATGTTTTTAAAAGTGCACTGCAGAAAAATGTCCAGCATATTGAGCCAACAGAAACATGATTACAGAAGGTCCTTTCTTAGTACATTTAAGCTTTTTTGTTAAATATGAATTGTAATATGATATTAGGTAGTGTGTAATAAAAGTGAAATTGAATCCAGTGAAGACTGGTTACCACGGGATTTAAATCCATTCCAGGGTCAATCAATTCAGATTGTTCAGTAACAATGACAATGAAAGCAGTTCCAATTTGGGGCAGTGTAATACTTTGTTATGGTCTCTTGGACTAAAATACTTTATAATGAAAAGAACTGAAGCTATAGAGTCAGAAGGCCCGGGTTTAAATGGAAGTTTAATTTCTCACTGAACAAGTCATGTCATCAGGCTCAAAACTGAGTGTATCAGAACTATATCACTTAGGAGTGCTTCACATAACAGAACACTGAAATAATAATAGCTTAAACAGATAGCTTAAAAAAAAATTTTTTTTATGTTATCAGGTAGTATACCAGCCTATATCCTGCTTCTTCTATCCAGGCTTCTTCTATCTTTCCACTCCATCCTTAGTATTTGGATATTCACCCAAATATCCAAGGCAAAGATGGCTTCTCCATTTCAGACCATCATGTCTTCAGAACAGGAAGGAGGAAAGCTCAGAAAAAAGGAGACAAACATTTTTCTCATTTTGAAGTTTTGTGTCTCCTTTTCTTTTTTTTTTTTTAATTTTTTGTGAGGCTGGTGGGATCTCAGATCCCCCTTCAGGGGTTGAACCCTGGTCACAGTAGTGAAAGCCTGGAATCCTAACCACTAGGACACCAGGGAACTCCCTGTTTTGTGTCATCTTTTGAAATAGAGATTTCTCTTCAGTAGATTTTTTAAATAGATTTTTTAGCTTTGAAGTGAAAGTATTAGTCGCTCAGTCATGTCCGGCTCTTTACGACCCCATGGATTATAGCCTCTGTCCATGGAATTCTCCAGGCAAGAATACTGGAGTGAGTAGCCAGTACCTTCTCTAGGGGATCTTCCCAACCCAGGGATTGAACCCAGGTCTCCCACATTGCAGGCAGATTCTTCCATCTGAGCCACAGCCTTAAGTAACTTATTAATGCCAAACAAATAGTAATGAGATTACAGGGACATGTTACTTTGCCAACAAAGGTCCGTCTATTCAAGGCTATGGTTTTTTCCAGTAGTCATGTATGGATGTGAGAGTTGGACTATAAAGAAAGCTGATCACCGAAGAATTGATGCTTTTGAACTGTGGTGGTGGAGGAGACTCTTGAGAGTCCCTTGCACTGCAAGGAGTTCCAACCAGTCCATCCTAAAGGATATCAGTCCTGAATATTCATTGAAATGACTGATGTTGAAGCTGAAACTCCAATACTTTGGCCACCTGATATGAAGAGCTGACTCATTGGAAGAGACCCTGATGCTGGGAAAGATTGAAGGAGGGAAGAGAAGAGGATGACAGAGGATGAGATGGTTGGATGGCATCACCAACTCAATAAACATGAGTTTAACTCCAGAAGTTGGTGATGGACAGGGAGGCCTGGCGTGCTGCAGTCCATGGGGTCAAAAAGGGTTGGACATGACTGAACAACTGAACTGAACTACAGGGACTGTAGTTGGAAAACTCTGTGGTTGGAATATGGACTTACTCTCAGTTCAATAGATTTTCAACTGAGTAAATATCAAATTCTAGTCAGTAGGAAGATGATGAGGCAGAAGGAATGGATGTAAGATAAATATAAATCATTGTCTGCAACAATAACATTTGTGGTATAACTAGACCATGCTTTAGTTTTCCTGGGACAAGCCCAGTTTAGACCTATTGTTCTTGCATAATTACTCACAATGTACTCTGGAGCAAGCTCTTTGAATGGAGAAATGTAGAATTACTAAGAGGCTGGCAGTATCTTAAGGCTTCAGCTCCAAAATGGCTCTGTCATATTGACTCATGTTCTGTTGGTCAAAGTCAGTCATATGTGGCCAAGACCCAAGTTTATGCAGCAGATACAGGTCTTCCACTTGGACACTCTGTAAAGTCAAGTGTCAAAGGGTCTGTATAGTCCCAGCAGAGGACAGATTCACTTCTCTTTTCACACAAGCTTAAAAATCAAATGTGGGTTTTGGCGTGAATATCACTGTGAATATTAGCTATTTAAATTCCAGTAAGGGAGGTAAGGGTGGGTTTTGGCTGGTGGCTCAGTGGTAAAGAATCCGCCTGCCAATGCAGGAGATGTGGGTTCAGTCCCTGGGTGTGGAGGATTCCCTGGAGAAGGAAATGGCAACCCACTCCAGTATTCTGGCTTCGGAAATCCCATGGACAGAGGAGCCTGGTGAGCTACAGTCCATGGGGTTGCAAACAAGTTGAACATGACCGAAGCAACTAAACAACAGTAAAGGGAAATCGAGTAGGTGGGTGTCTCCAGGATGAGATGAGTAAATGCGATTAGTGTTTCACTGAATAATTGGATATCTAAACAGCCCTTTTAAAAGCTACATGTAAATCCATGGCTGATTCATGTCAATGTATGGCAAAAACCACTACAATATTGTAAAATAATTAGCCTCCAACTAATAAAAATAAATGAAGAAAAAAGTTACAAAGGATTATTATATATTATTGAACTTCAGGATAGAGTTGTATGATTTTTCAAACACATACTCTAGTGAGTCCAACCTGATCAATAAGATAATTTATAAATCAAGAAGTGAAATGAATATATGCAGGTTAGTTTTAACGATTGTTGGTTTTGATGAATTGTTTTCCTTGCTCTTTCATTTTTAGAATAATTATTTTAGGCTCTAAGAAACCTTTGGAAAGAGAGGATCTTTTTGAACTTAATGAAAGCGATTCCTCCTATATTGTGTGTCCCATCTTTGAGAAACAATGGAGGAAGGAAGTTTTAAGGACTCAAGAGAAGCAAAAAGTAAAGGTAATTATTAAATCCTTAGTACTTAACTGCATAACTTGTTCCAAATATGAGATATTATTATTAATATAGAAAATCCTTTAAATATGTTAAATAACATGTCATTTCCCTAACAATACTAGCTGTTATTAAAGCTAATTTCTGTCATCAAATTATTCAGCAGCTCTTTAAAGCTCAGGAGCAAGTATGTTATATGTATATAATTTGGGGCTTCTCACCAGTATCCTTCCTCATCCATAGTTGCAAAGATAGTTTCCATATCCCAGAGCATCATATCTATTGGTCAAAGTAAGTCATGTAGTGGCCAAGGCCAAGACTTATGGGGGGCAAGAGTAGGTTCTTCATATGTAGCATCATGCGCGTGTGCACACACACACACACACACACATGAATATATATATATACACACACATATATATAATGTATGTATATATAGTCTTTAGACTTCTCAAAAAGAAAATATAATTTGAAGATAAAAACTGTATTAGTGAAATAGTTTCAAAACTCACAAAAGTGATTTTAAAAAATGGTTTCTTTTTCTGTTTATGCCATATGGTATGAATAACACCAAGTGGTTTGGCACCATTCTATAACAATAATAGGGACCATGTTTTCAAGTTTAATTGAACTTATTCCTTTCATATTGCTTTTTTAACTTTGGAGTACATTACTAATTTTATGATTATATATATTTATGGATTAGTTCTGTTCTCTTTTCTCATTGCTTTTGTCTTCCTTAATTATATAGTCATCTTTTCATAAAGAGGCACACACCAGGAAGCCATCTCTACTCCGGGCATTGTGGAACACTTTTAAGTTTGTCCTGATTCAGGTTGCTTTATTCAAAGTATTGGCTGATGTTTTGTCCTTCACTAGCCCACTCATAATGAAGTAAGTTGAAGTCTTTTTTTTTTTTTCCTTTCCCACAAGTACCTGATATGGAAGTTTACTGTTTCACTTTAAAAATGTACTAAAAAAGAGTGGGGTGGGTTCATATTACAGATTTTATTTAGGATACAGGCTTTCTATTAAGTTTGCTTGTGATGAATGTGAATTATGATAATATAGTAATTATTGAAACAACCATGTATTAAGCACTATTCTAAAATCTTTATATTAATTATCTAATCTAATCTTTACAACAATCCTACAGGGTAGGAAGTAATATTGTACTCACTAGCACAATGTAGAAACAAAGAAATCTCTGTAATTTGCCTAAGACCACACAACTAGAAAATACAAGAGTCACAACACAAATCTAGGAAGTCTGGCTTGAGTTTATATGCCGGAGCCTGCCAGCAAACGAACCGGTCACAGGCACAATCGCCAAAATACCTAAGAAATAAAGACTCGGAAAGATGGGGTTGAGAGGGACAGAGTCAGCTCTCGACTGAAACTGACAACTTTATTGAGGGGTAACATACATATATATGCTAACAGGACTCACTAAATTTAGATCAAGGACATGTATACGTGCAGAATCACAGGCATTAGTCTTCACTCAGGAATTTTATCTCAACTCTTTAAGACTATCAGAGCAAGGGACTGGCCGTCTTAGTATGATTACAACCAGTTAAAGATTATCTAAAGATTACCTAGACATAAACCATACACAGGAGCCTGACAATCTCGTCAGGAAAATGGGTAAAAGGTCACTGCAGCAATTTCCTTGAGGGAGGTAAGAAAGGCCAACCTGCACTTTAATAAATCAGGGGTGGTGAGAAAGAGAGGGACCTCTTGATCTCTCTCAGGGCCAAGAAGGAGCCTGAGCAGTCAGGCCGGCTCCCCACATCTCCCCCTTTTCTTTTGACTAATGGCCTTTATATCTCCCTCAAGGGAAATGGCTGCGTTTGCAAACAGGAAAACATCAACAATCTTTTATTTATCATTTCAGATAGGCATTGACAAATGCAAGGGCCAAAGGTTGTAGGTGCCGTGGGTCCATACTGGGCACAAGCCTGCTTAAGCTCCTTTAACTGTTTAAATGGAACAGGCTCATGATACCTGCGGCGATTAGCGTCTTCAAAGACTGGAAAAATCATGGAATATCCCTCAAGGCTTTCTCCTTGGTCTCTAGCATGTTTAACAGCCATTTGAAGTGGGGAAAGGATGGGTTTTTCAAATTTCAAAGGAGTATATACAGGAGCTGTAGGTATTAAGGAAGCCTCAACAAAAGGAGGAGGCCTAGGAGGAATTGGAGCGGGATCCAATCCTGCCACAACAGACGGTGTATTGGAGTGCAGCAGCTTGGGACCCAAAGGAGGCAGCAAGTCTAACTGCTCCACTCTCTGTGATATGGATGTTAACATTTCTTTAAGTTCCGAAAAGGGGGATGCCTTGTCCTTCCCTTTTGTGACAATAAAAGCATCCCAATTCTCTCTATTGTACTCAAATGCTTGCTCATCTAGTTCTTCTTGATCCTCATGAGAGAGTTCAGACCCTGAGTCAGATGTTAAAGCAACAGCCTCCTTTTTACTAGATTTTGGGTCTTCCGGGGAATCGCAAATGTGTTCAACTGTCCCGGAGGTAGGCTGCAGATTTTTAGGAGTTATAAGCTTTAGAGCAGTTTCTAATTTTTTGCTTTCATGTTCTGGATTTAAACAATCCCTGATCAAAGTCCACAAGGAATAAGCGTCGAGGGGAACTTTATCGGGGCCATGCAAAGTATAAGCCAATTGAATTTGCTCTCCCACTTTTGTCCAAGTTTCCAGGCTAACCGTTCCTTCCTCTGGAAACCAAGGGCAAGTTTCTTCTACAAAACTAAGAAATTTTTCTAGCTTAGGCTTAGTTACAGAAATACCTCTAGCTTTGAGCATAGTTTTTAACATAGAAACAAAGAACTGTTCACTATTACTTTGACCCATAATTTTTACTCTCAACTATACCCTCTCCACCCACAATACCTGCAACTTCAGACGCTGCCCGAGGGATTACTTTTTCTCAGGTGGCTGTAGTCCGGGATCCGCTCGTGTCCCTGTGCGGGCGCCACTTGCCGGAGCCTGCAATCGCCGAAATACCTAAGAAATAAAGACTCGGAAAGATGGGGTTGAGAGGGACGGAGTCAGCTCTCGACTGAAACTGACAACTTTATTGAGGGGTAACATACATATATATGCTAACAGGACTCACTAAATTTAGATCAAAGACATGTATACGTGCAGAATCGCAGGCATTAGTCTTCACTCAGGAATTTTATCTCAACACTTTAAGACTAGCAGAGCAAGGGACTGGCCATCTTAGTATGATTACAATCAGTTAAAGATTATCTAAAGATTACCTAGACATAAACCAGACACTGGAGCCTGGCAATCTCGTCAGGAAAATGGGTAAAAGGTCACTGCAGCAATTTCCTTGAGGGAGGTAAGAAAGGCCAACCTGCACTTTAATACATCAGGGGTGGCGGGACAGAGAGGGACCTCTTGATCTCTCTCAGGGCCAAGAAGGAGCCTGAGCAGTCAGGCCGGCTCCCCGCATTTATGTGTTTAGGAAATGAAATGACACATACCTTTACTATTTTTCTTTGCTGTGACCTTTTTGGAATTGAACTTTATCCCCCAAGGTAATAATATATAAATATATATCTGCATGTGTTTATGTGTGGGCTTCCTTGGTGGCTCAACCGGTAAAGAATCCACCTGCAATACAGCAGACCTAAGTTTGATCCCTGGGTTGGGAAGATCCCTTGAGAAACCCACTCCAGTATTCTGGCCTGGAGAATTCCATAGACTTTATAGTCCATGGGGTTGCAAAGAGTCAGACACAACTGAGTGACTTTTTGGAATTGAACTTTATCAGCCAAGCAAATAATAATACATAATACTGCATGTATTTATGTGTAAATATAGAGGAAAATATTTAAGTAATTTCTATTTCTGATAGTGTCTATATGCAAGAATTCATAAGCAGACAGTAAAATTGAGTCTTTGATTATATGTCTCCTTGATTATATGTCTCCAAGGGTACAAGGAAAGAATTTTTTATTAACCAATTATTAATTTTTTTGTTTTGAATATGTTTTCAAGTTGGAGTTTTTAAAGAACAATTTAATTCATGAAAATAAAACTAATTCTGAGTTGCCAGATCCCAAATCACATCTGAGCATATATTTAGCCCATATTTATTAAGTGCCTGCTATAGGCCAAACTGTTTTAAGTACGCCATAAGAATTGAGCAAAAATCAAAAAGTCCTTACTCTGATGACACCTAGAAGGGAGAGATAAATAATAAATGAATCAGTATACATTTTATTAAGAGGCAATTACTGCTAAGAAAAACAGTGCAGCAAATTAGTGGGGCAGACCATACTGGTCTGAGGGACTGGAAGTTGCTGTTTTCTGTGAGGTGGTTAGGGAAGACATTGGTTATAATGGTGAGACTTGAACACAGTTCTGAGAGAAGTTAGGGAGGAAGCCAAGATATACCTGTTGCAAATAGGAAGAACAAAGAGGGCTAAAGCCATGCGGCAGCAGCATGCTTGGTATTTTTGAAGACTCAGGAGGCAAGTGAGTGGAGCAGGGAAGGTGAGAGGAAAAGTGATAGGATTGAGGTCAGATATATACACTACCGTCTGTAACATAGACAGCAAGTGTGAAGCCACTGTATATAGCACATGGAGTGCGGCTCAGTGCTCTGTGATGAGCTAGAGGGATGGGATTGGGGGGTGGCAGGGAGGCTCAAGAGAGAGGTTAATAAATGTATACTTATAGCTGATTTGTGTTGCTGAAAAGCATAAACTAACTCAACATTGTAAAGCAAGAATATTCCAATTAAAAAAAAATAAAGACATTGTGGGAGCAGGGAGAAAAAAAGATTGAGGTCAGAAAGTTTGGGCAGCTAAAAAGATTTTGAAGGACCTTACAGAATGTGGGGGGAGACTTTGTGCCTGAGGTGTTCTCTGGGTCCCAGGGTCCACAATGTTCATTATTTTCTGGGATCTGTGGAGTGAGGCTGCGCATCTGGATCTGTCATGGCCAAGGGGGTGGACATTCACTCCCAGGCCCTGAGCAAGGGTACAGGGCAATCCCAGGCCCCTTGATATGTATGGGGGGTTGAGGGGAGTATCGAAACAGCTGCCAGGACAGTGGACGTAGATGTCACTGCCACCCTTGCCTCTCCTTCCCTACATTCACACCTGTACACAGTGGCCAGAATCCTTTAGATGAGAGATAAAAGCTAGAGCTCTCACTGGTGAAACTTGGGCCCCAGGACTCCAGAATTCCTCCTCCAAAACTCCTTCTTTCTGTTTGAGAGGCAGGAGTGCCCTAGTAAGGCCCTGAAGACAGGGATTCCACCCTTCATTTCCAGCGTGGGCACAGTGCAGGCAGATGACGGCATACCCTCTTCAGAATTCCAGAGGGCGAAAGCCAACTTCAGGCGGCCACCTGGGTGATGAGGACCATTCCTTTCTTCCCCTTTCTCCCCCACCATGAGACCAGCAACATTGGGCCAAAGTTTCACACCTTAAAAGTACAATCCCTATTGTTACAATGCAGATTCCAAGGCCAGCCTCTGAGTTTCTGCTTCACAAAGTCTGGGGGAGGATCCAGAAATCTGAATTTTAAAAAAGTTCAAACTAGGCAGCTCCAAGAATCTTGAAGAAAATGATCCCCCATTATTCCCCCTCCACACCCAGAGTAGAGCAGGGCCACAACAAAACCACTGAGTGGTTCCCCCAGTATTTAGCGGAGGGCTTCCCTGCTGGCTCAGACAGAAAAGAATCTGCCTGCAATGCAGGAGCCCGGGGTTCAGTCCCTGGGTCAGGAAGATTCCCTGGAGGAGGAAATGGCAAACCACTCCAGTATCCTTGCCTGGAGAATTCCATGGACAGAGGAGCCTAGTGGGCTACAGTCCGTGGAGTCCGCAAAGAGTCGGACATGACTGAGCGACTAACACATTAACGCATACAGAATGGGAGGGGGGCTTCCCCAGTGGTTCTGCAATAAAGAATCTGTCTGCAATACAGGAGATGCAGGAGACTCTGGTTCGATTCCTGGGTCAAGAAGATCCCTTGGAATAGGAATTGGCAACCCACTCCAGTATTTTTGCCTGGAGAATTCCATGGACAGAGGAGCCTGGCAGGTTGCAGTCCATGGGGCTGCAAATAGCTGGACGCAACTGAGCAATTCAGCATACATGCGCAGAGAATATGATGATATAGGCTTTCATGTTGTGTTAGAAGGGAAACCTTTGGAAGATTTTAAGCACAGAGTGATATGATTAGACTGCAGTTTCATAGGAATCACTCTAGTGGCTATATCAAAAATGAAGTAAAGAGGAGCAAGAGTGGAAGAAGAAGCAGCTATTAGCCAACTATGGTAATCCAGGCAGAAGTCAATGGTGGCTTCAAGATTATGTCAATGAAGGTGATAAGTGGTCAGATTCTGACTTTATTTTAAACGTAGAGTCAACATTATACATTGATGTTGCAGTGCAGGTTGAGAGAAGAAGAAAGGAGTCATGGTGCATTCAGAGTGTTTGTTTGCCACAAGGTGAATGAGTTATCATTTACTGACATACAGAAGGCTCAGAAAAGAGTAAGGAGTGCAATTTGCTAAATTTGAAATATGCATTAGATTTTCTGCAGAATTAAAGTAACAGACCTGACTGTCATCCTTTGGAAAGATTGTTTATACGACTGGCCTCAGGCTGGCAATTAGAACTTAAATTTCAGGAGGGTTCCCACTTACCCTAGCTGATAAGAGTGGTTCAATATGGCCAGACTGTTTTATACAGTCAATATGATCCATGCTGAATTCCTGCTTTTTTTCCTGCACGTTTGGAATTTTGGCCTGTGTTAGAAAGAGGGTACCCTGGATGCTGAGTTTTTAAGGGGCTTCCTTGTTGCTGTTCAGTCACTAAGTCATGTCTGAATCTTTGCAACCCTGTGAACTGCAGCATGCAAGTCTTCCTTGTCTTTCACTATCTCCCAGAATTTGCTCAGACTTGGCGATGCCATCCAACCATCTCATCCTCTGTCACCCCCTTCTAATCCTTCCCTCAATTCTTTCCAGCATCAGGGTCTTTTCCAATGAGTTGGCTTTAGGGGAGTGACCACATCATCATGGTTATATGGGTCATTAAGACTTTTTTTTGTAGAGTTCTTCTGTGAATTCTTGCCACCTCTTTTTCATCTTTTTTGCTTCTTCTAGGTCCCTACCATATCTGTCCTTTATTGAGCCCATCTTTGCATCAAATGTTCCCTTGGTATCTCCAGTTTTCTTAAAGAGATCTTTAGCCTTTCTGATTCTATTGTTTTCCACTATTTCTTTGCCCTGTTCACTTAAGAAGGCTTTCTTATCTCTCCACACTGTTCTCTGGGATTCTGTGTTCAGGTGGATCTTTCCTTTTCTCCTTTGCCTTTTGCTTCTCTTCTCTTCTCAGCTATTTGTAAGGCCTCTTCACACAACCACTTTGCTTTCTGGAATTTCTTTTTCTTTGGGACCGTTTTGGTCATCACCTCCTGTACAATGTTGATGAGATTACCGTATGAAAACTAGAAAATACCTTTCTACCCAGAAGCCTGAGAAACTAGTTGTTGACTCTGTGTGAGTGTGTGCTCAGTCACTCAATCGTATCCGATTCTTTTGTGACCCCATGGATTGGGGTCCTCTGTGAAAAGGATTTGCCAAGCAAAAATACTGGAGTGGGTTGCCATTTCCTTTTAGAATGGAATTCAGGCATCCTGCTTCTGGCTTTATTTATATAAAGCTTGAGTAAAAATAAAGGGAGGAAGGATGCCAAATTGGGCAAGTGGATAAAAAGAGCAGGCAAGAATGTGTGTGTGTGTGTGTGTGTGTGTGTGTGTGTGTGTAACATTTTGACAGTACTTAGTTCACATAAGTATTTTATTACTTTGGATGTTTAACACTTCTTCCCTTTTCTCGATTTGTATATGACCTTCAGGCAAATGATCCTTTTCTGTGAACAACGCCCAGATTTTGGCTGGAGTGGTTATGGCTATGCTTTGGCGCTTTTTGTTGTAGTCTTTTTGCAAACCCTGATCCTTCAGCAATACCAGCGTTTTAAAATGCTCACTTCAGCAAAAATTAAGACAGCTGTAATTGGACTGATCTACAAAAAGGTAAAAGATTTAAGAAATTCTAAGTTTTTAAATGGATTGTGTCCAATGTGTGCTTTAAAATAAGGGATCTGGAAAATTAGAAGTAGTATTTTAAAAATTTCTAGTATGCAATTTGAATATACATTTTGCTAAAAAATAACTTTGATTCATCAATGTTGGTTACATCAGTTTCTTTACAGGGTCCTCTCTCTATATTTCCAGAAACTTCTAGTCAACCCTCATGCATGAAACTAAATGATGTTCTTTGTCCACTCTTAATGTCACTTAACTCCTCCTCAGAAAAAGAATGGAATTGAATATTTCATGATTGTCTCTATTTATGTATCAATAAATTAATTTCCATGGTCATTTTCCTTCTACATAATACCTTTTCCTTCTTCCTCTGCTCATTCTACTTTTTCCTGAAACAAAGCCATACTCCTCTATAGAGTCGTTATCTATTTCTCTTTGAGTCTAATCCCCCTCCCACCGACCCCAAAAGCTGGTTGGCTCTTATACCTAGCATGACTCTAAAGTTTAATTTGTCCTTTCTTGAAAATGCAGTCTTAAACATCGCCTCTTTACCATTCAGAGCCTATTTACATCATAATTATAAACAATTAAAAACCTTTCTCCCTTCTGTTGTTATTACTGAGTTATTCAGTCAAAAGTATATTTTGCCTTCTTATTCTGTAGTCGTATGTCAATCTGTGTTCTTCAGATTTGGAATAGGAACTTAACTTACTTATTGTACCTTTATCATCTAAGAGAGTGGCTTTTACTTATTTTTATAAAAGTTGGAAGACTGAGTAAATGAATAAATGAGCCATTACCTTCAAAACTAGGGAACTATTAAGCATACATAATAAATGTGTGAAACTATCAATAAATGCAAATGTTCTAAGAAATCAGATGAGCAGGAAATCTACAATATTTGATTGGAAAGTTAAGGAAGGTTTCACATAGAAAGGAGCCTTGAAATAATCTCTGGGAGAAGTGTAGGATTTGTTGACCTGGATATGAAGTGTCACAGACCATTTGGCCATATTAGGCCAAACTGGAGGCAGCAAGTGATTTTAGAGATTCTAGAATGATCCAAACCCAACTAAGCCAGAATATAACTGAACTTGCAGTAAACCTAGCTCTATGTGAAACTGAAAGTGTTAGTTGCTCAGTTGCATTCAAGTCTTTGCAACCCCTTGGACTGTAGCCTGCCAGGCTCCTTCATCCATGGAATTTTCCAGGCAAAAATACTACAGTGTTTTGCCATTTCCTTCTCCAGTGGATCTTCCCGACCTAGGCATTGAACCTGGGTCTCTGCATTGCAGGCAGATTCTTTGCCATCTGAGCCACCAGGGAAGCCCTGTATAAGTAGCTCTGTGTAACACATCTCAGATACAGGGTCAGAAAGGCTGTTTGTAATTCTACAGGTTGTAACTTCTGAAAAATACAATATGGAGAAAAGATAAGAAATACAAATATTAAAGAGTCTAGGAATCAGTTTAAATGCTAACATTTGTTTCCCATACATGGCCTATATGGAACAGGTCTTCATTCATTGATTAAAGCATTGGAGCTTGGGTATAGGATTTGGGTGGATTTACGAGCATAAAAGAATAGGTAGCAGTAGAAATTGAAGCAAACCATCAGAAATAAAAAAGGAAGTCAAGTCTTGTGCGTGAGTACATTAAGGGCAGAGAGACCCTGGAGCTAATGTAAGAGGGAACAGAGTCTACAGGAGTGAGACTATATGGGTCCTTAGATATTAGTTAACAACAAAGAGCTCTCTAAGATCAGAGGCGTACCATGGGTCCTGCAGTATGGATTAAGATTGAATTTTTAGTCCATCAGACAAGCAGCAGAAGACATTAGGTAGTGACCGGTAGTGTTCAGATGCCCTGGGTGGCCCATGCAGGTGACACTGATATAAGGCAGTCTTTCTTCTGAATCTCTTATCCTATATCTGCTTTCCAAAGGGACTAATTGGGGTTATTAGATCTCTCATCTCCATTACAGGTTTTAGGATTCTGATGTTTATCATGTTTTGATAACCTCAGGATCCTAAATGGCTCTCATAGATGACCAGATAACTCATATTCATCTGACATTGGGACTCCTTCATCAGATATTCATGTCTAGACTTGGGTAAAGCTGGTCTCACATCCTTTTTCTGGTGAGGAGGGGAGGTATTAGAAAGCTCTTTATCTCTACCCATCGGCATGACAGCTACTACTCTAGTAAAGTTCAAGGAACTTCATTTTTAAGGTTTGTGGGGAAGAACACGGACCTCTTTATACTTGACCACTTCATGAGTCTTTGGGTCTCAAAACTCAGTTTTGTTACCCTTTCGCTCCCAATTACAGGCTCCATGACAGTTTTTGAGGACTAAGAACACGACGTGTTTCAAAAGCAGCATCAGTTAGTCCTGTGCTTAATGCAGGCAGCCTGTGGGCATTTTGTTAAATGCCATCCAGTAGAAGTTTTTCTGATTTTTAAATTATTCTCTATCCACATTGTGCAGTATGGTAGCTACTAATCACATATGACTGTTGAAATTGAAAACCTGACTAGTAAAAGCAAGGAAGTAAATTTTTAATTTCAATTAAATTTAATATCCATACCTAGACTGTCTACATTTGTGGCTAAAGGATATTCTTTCCTTAATTGTGGGAAGAATACAGTATAAAGAAAATTGATTAAATTCTTTTTCCATTCTTTAAAATAGAGATACTTAAATGTAATCAGAAGGAGAGGAAAGAAAGAGAATCCTGGCATACTTTTTTGCATCCAAAAGAGCTAAAGAAAATGAATTCTCATAGATTTATGAGGATTCACCTTTACATACATCATGACTTATTAGAACTATGGTAACCACTGAGAATCACTGGGATAGAAATGTTTAGGGCTCTTCCAGGTCTAAATTATATAATGTCTATGACTCCGAGCTAGGGTGGTCAGGAAAAATAGTTCAAGAAATAAATATTTGAACCAGGGCTGTGGCAAAAAAAAAAAAAAAAATCAGCAAAGAACAAATATATGAGGGAGAATGTGAAATTACAAAGCAAATTTCATAATCATATGACAAAATGAACCATTACTGAATTGAGGTCAGTACTAAACAAGATATTTCCAGTTTGTAAAAAGGATTCTTGAGGCTGGGAGCCATATATGCTTTATCTGGGTCTTTTTATGACTTCCCTGGTGACTCAGATGGTAAAGAATCTGCCTGCAATGCGGGAGACACAAGAGACTCAGGTTCAGTCCCCGGGTCAGGAAGATCTCCTGGAGAAGAGAATGGTTACTCATTCCAGTATTCTTGCCCAGATAATTCCATAGACAGAGGAGCCTGGTGGGCTATGGCCAAGTATTTGCAAAGAGTTGGACACGATTGAGCAACTAACACTTTTTTAGAGCAAAATGCAATCAATGAAAAGAAGTTTCAAAAAATAATGTCACAAGTAGTGTTACCAGTCTTCCTGAGTGGGACCCCAATAAGGGTCCTTCTGCCCAGCACCCTTTGAGCCATCTGAGTCCTGGTCAGGAGCAAAGGAAGGTTTTATTCTTTGATCAGATAATGAAGAGGTGTGGGCCTGTTCTCTTGAGCATCCAATCTCCCAATAGGCAGTAGGTAGGGCTGCTTCATAGAGATCCCTCAAAGTGAGGTTCTTCTGGAGTTGGAGCAGGGGCAGCTGGGCGGCTTAGGCTCCAGATGGCAGTTCCTGGAGCAGCGTGTCTGCACGTGGCCTGCAGCTACCATCTTGGATTTTGTGTCATGCACAGCTTCTGCATGTGGACGCCCAGCCAAGGTGTAGGCTCCACTGTTTCATTTCACAGGAGGAACCCTGGTCTGAAGGGCCAGATACAAGACTCTGCAAATGAGAATTGACTAAGCACTAAGGAAGAGAAAAAAAAAAAAATAATGACAAGGTAAGACTTTATTTTATTACCCAGTTCTCTGAGAATTGTTAATGGCCTTTGCTAGTACAGTTGTGCATTGTGTGTTTTCCTAAAGGAGGGCATTTATTTGATTCCCTGGGCAATTTGATTATTTTGAACTACTCAGTCTTTTAGTTTTCACATGTCAGCTTATATTTTCCTTCTAGAAAAATAGGATAATGTGTTTGTATTTGTTTGTAATAGTAAGTTGGAGGTGGATGCTATTAGAGATCAATGGATCTCACTTAAAAAATGCTGTAGTCTTAATGAAATGAGAATAACTGTTCTTGGACTCCCATCATTTTTCTTGGCCACATTAAATGGTCAGTAACTTACTCAGTTCAGTTGAGTCACTCAGTCATGTCCGACTCTTTGCGACCCCATGAAACACAGCATGCCAGGCCTTCCTGTCCATTACAAACTCCCAGAGTTGACTCAAACTCATGTCCATCGAGTCAGTGATGCCATCCAGCCATCTCATCCTCTGTCATACCCTTCTCCTCCTGCCCCCAATCCCTCCCAGCATCAGGGTCTTTTCCAATGAGTCGGTTCTTCACATCAGGTGGCCAAAGTACTGGAGTTTCAGCTTCAGCATCAGTCCTTCCAATGAACACCCAGGACTGATCTCCTTTAGGATGGACTGGTTGGATCTCCTTGCAGCCCAAGGGACTCTCAGGAGTCTTCTCCAACACCATGGTTCAAAAGCATCAATTTTTCAGTGCTCAGCTTTCTTCACAGTCCAACTCTCATATCCATACATGACCATTGGAAAAACCATAGCCTTACCCACTCCAGTATTCTTGCCTGGAGAATCCCATGGATGGAGGAGCCTGCTAGGCTACAGTCCACAGGGTCGCAAAGAGTCAGACACGACTGAGCGACTTCAATTTCACTTTCTGACTAGCTAGACCTTTGTTGGCAAAGTAATGTCTCTGCTTTTTAATATGCAATCTAGGTTGGTCATCATTTTCCTTCCAAGGAGTAAGCGTCTTTTAATTTCATGGCTGCAATCATCATCTGCAGTGATTTTGGAGCCCCCCACAATAAAGTCTGACACTGTTTCCACAGTTTCCCCATCTATTTCCCATGAAGTGATGGGACCAGATGCCATGATCTTAGTTTTCTGAATGTTGAGTTTTAAGTCAACTTTTTCACTCTCCTCTTTCACTTTCATCAAGAGGCTCTTTAGTTCCTCTTCACTTTCTGCCATAAAGGTGGTATCATCTGCATATCTGAGGTTATTGATATTTCTCCCAGCAATCTTGATTCCAGCTTGTACTTCTTCCAGCCCAGTGTTTCTTATGATGTACTCTGCATATAAGTTAAATAAGCAGGGTGACAATATACAGCCTTGACGTACTCCTTTTCCTATTTGGAACCAGTCTGTTGTTCCATGTCCAGTTCTAACTGTTGCTTCCTGACCTGCATATAGGTTTCTCAAGAGGTGGGCCAGGTGGTCTGCTATTCCCATCTCTTTCAGAATTTTCCACAGTTTATTGTGATCCACACAGTCAAAGGCTTTGGCACAGTCCATAAAGCAGAAATGGAAGTTTTTCTGGAACTCTCTTGCTTTTTTGATGATCCAGTGAATGTTGGCAATTTGATCTCTGGTTCCTCTGCCTTTTCTAAAGCCAGCTTGAACATCAGGAAGTTCACGGTTCACGTATTGCTGAAGCCTGGCTTGGAGAATTTTGAGTATTACTTTACTAGCATGTGAGATGAGTGCAATTGTGCAGTAGTTTGAGCATTCTTTGGCATTGCCTTTCTTAGGCATTGGAATGAAAATGGACCTTTTCCAGTCCTGTGGCCACTGCTGAATTTTCCAAATTTGCTGACATATTGAGCACTTTCACAGCATCATCTTTCAGGATTTGAAACAGCTCAAACGGAGTTCCATCACCCCCACTAGCTTTGTTTGTAGTGATGCTTTCTAAGGTCCACTTGACTTTATTAGCGGAGATTAAAAAGCTGCTTTTGGAGGAGACATGGCTAGAAGCTTAACTATCGTGGTGTATTTTTTCTTATTTTTCTTTTCCTGTTATGGGAGCAGTATTTATTCTGTCGTATCATCAGCACCATACCTTGCAAGGCAGTAGCAGTAAATTAAAGGATTCAGCATTGCAGCAGCCAGCAAGCTTAGGAGGATCCTGACCCCTTGTGAACCTCCCAGGGTTGTGCCTTTCCTCTGCTGGCCCCATAGACTGCCATATGCACTGAGCCTGTGGGTTTTAAGCTAGGGAATGTTAGAAGTGTTCCACTGAAGGCCTTGTCTACTCATTTTCCAGAGGGATTTTTTCTCTGGGCTTTGTATTAAACATTTATTGAGTGAAGAGAACTTGAGTATCCCCTGTATCCTATTTACCATTGTTAGATCTAGCTCTCAGTCCTGTCTCTCTTTAAATCAGTGTGGTAGGAGTTCCTTAAATCTTTTGGTATATGGTGAGACTTTCACCTAATTTCTGGTATAAATATAAATTTCCTACTTATTTTAGAGTTATTTATGCATTTTTCCTGGGCTTTCTGGGCTTCCCTTGTGGTTCAGCAGGTAAAGAATCTGCCTGCAGTATGGGAGAACTGGGTTAGATCCCCAGATTGGAAAGATCCCCTGGAGAAGGACATGGCAACCCACTCCAGTACTCTTGCCTGGGGGATTCCATGGACCGAGGAGCAGGACAGGCTTCAGTCCATGGAATCGCAGAGTTGGAGACGACTTTGCGACTTTCATTTTCACTTTCATGCATTTTTCTGGGAATTTTAAATGAGTGGGAAATTAACTAAATGAATTTCTAATATTAGCCTTAGTAAGAAATTACCAATAATTAACCTTAAGTATATTGAATTCAATATACAAATATTAAATGACATATACAGAGGGAAAGGGAGAATTGGGCCTTGGAAGAACAGAGAAGGTGTATTTACATCTTCTAATGAAGCCTTTTCAATACTCTGTCAATACCCATAGCCCTTCTTAGCTACTGTTACACTTGTGTGTGTGTGTGTGTGTGTGTGTGTTAGTACCTCAATTGTGTCCAGCTCTTTGCGACCCCATGGGCTGTTGCTGGCCAGGAGCCTCTGTCCATGGAATTCTCAAGGCAAGAATACTGGAGTGGATAGCTGTTTCCTTTTCCAGGGGATCTTCCCAACCCAGAGATTGAACCCCTGTCTCCTGCATTGCAGGCAGATTCTTTACTATCTGAGTCCTCAGAAGCTCTTATAATCAGCCTGTGTGTAGGATGTGTGTGTAGGAGGGGAGTGAACTCCATTACTAGACTGTAATCTCTTTAAGATTGAAACTATATCATTGAAAAAATAACTTTTGTTAGATTTTCATTGATTCACCTGTGTACTCTGTATTGATAAACTTTAGATGATTTAGTAGGGGTGCCAACGAATAGAAAGGAAGCTCGGTGCTAGAAATCTAAAATTGATTTCTTTTGCAGTTTTTCAGCTCCACAAATCATAAAGGGTTCTTGGTGGATTTATTTGGTTGGGAATTCAACTGTGACTCTCTCCCAGTATGCAGTAAATGTTAAAGCTGTGCAATTCAATCAATAATTGATTTTTTCTTCATCTGCAAACATATCTGTTGATATTGTGTGATTTAAATACATACATAATGATGCATATTTGCCTAAATATATCACAAATCTTTATTTTTAGTTAAAAGTTATCATTGTTTGACTGTAAAGATCCTGCATGATCTATAGAACTCTAAGTATTCTGCTTTTCTTTTCCCAGGCTCTGCTTCTATCTAATGTTTCTAGAAAACAGTTTTCTACTGGGGAAATTATTAACTTGATGGCAATAGATGCCCAGCAGCTCATGGACTTGATGACAAACATCAATCTTCTTTGGTCAGCTCCTTTTCAAATCCTGATGGCCATATCACTCCTTTGGCAAGAGCTGGGTCCAGCAGTATTAGCAGGGGTGGCAGTCCTTGTGTTTGTTATACCAATGAATGCTTTAGTTGCAAATAGAATGAAAAAGCTGAAGGTAAGAAAATAATCGCCTCATGTTACATGGGTCAAACAGAAGCTGAGTTTCCAGACTTTATAATAAAAACCTAGCTAATTCTCTGAATATAGAAAACAGAGGCTTAAAATGGATATTATACAAATTAACCATTCATTTATTGAATCAGTATTGATTGAGCATCTATCCTGTCAGTCACTGTGCCAGGCACATAAAGTATAGCAGTGAAGAGAATTGAAAGTTCCGGCTCTCCTTGGGTTATTGGGGGAGAAAGGCAATGAACAAGTAAATAAATAGGTAGATAGCGTAATGCCTGGTGTTAATTTGTGTATGAAGAGAGGTAATTAGGATAAGGTGATAGAATAACGAAGAATTTCATTTCACAAACAAGGTCTGGAACATCCTCAGGAAAGATATGATGTATCAGCTGAGTAAGGCAGCAATCCATGTGGATGTCTGAGAAAAAGATATCAAGCAAACAGAATGGGGTGTGGACAGCCTAGAGGTGGGGGTATGCTTGGCCTGCCTTAAGAAGTGGCAAGAAGGCTAGTGAGCCAAAATGAGCTAGGAGTGGCTGTGTGCAGCCAGTGGACAGTAAATGCTTAACTGAATTAATTTTAATATTCTTCCTCTACATTCAGTCAGTCATCTTACTATCAACATATTTTTGACATCTGCCATTTTCAAGACAGTGTGTACTATGCTGTATTGTGGGAATGGGGGAACAGGACCAAGACACAGTTCATTTCTCTGAAGGAGATCACACTGTAATGGGAGAGACAGATGGTTTCCCATGCTAAAGTAACAAAGATAGATGCAGATGTGTTGCTTATGACAATTATTGTATTATTTTAAATGAATGAAGGGTTCACAACGTCTTATGTATGGACATGGAAATGAATCAATCATTACTAGAGGAAAAAGTAAATTAGAGAAACACATATGTATATATTATATGTATATATTTATGTGTATATTTGGGAGCTTCCCAGGTGTCTCAGTGGTAAAGAACCTGCCTGCCAATGCACGAGATACAGGAGATGCAGGTTTGATCCCTGGGTCAGGAAGATCCCCTGGAGAAGGAAATGGCAACCCACTCTAGTATTCTTGCTTGGGAAACCTCATGGACAGAGGAGTCTGGTGGGCTACAGTCAATTGGGATTGAAAAACTGTTGGACGTGACTTAGCAACTAAACAACAAAAATGTGTAATATGTATGTCATGCATTTATATGGTGTATGTGTGTATATATATATATATATGTGTGTGTGTGTGTGTATATATGATCCAGTATTTAAAATGTGAATATACCTATGCACGTGGATATGATAGTAATAAAGATATATAAATATAGATTTAAATGTATTTGTATAAGCATAGAAATAACCTAGAGAAAAAAATACTAGTCTTTTAAGAGTAGTTGCCTGTAAAGTGAAATTAGAGAGGAGGGAATTTTTTTTTACTTATTCCTTTAATATGTTTAGAAGCTAAGAATTTATACCTTCTTTTACATTTTTCTGAATTTTTCAAATACTTACCAAAAGCCTAGTTTTTAAAGATAAGAATTAAGAAATAACATATAACTATAAAATAATTATGAATTACTAAACACATTGGTATTTAGACTAACAGATTTTTAAATGAATAATTTTAAAATATGTTTCTTAATATTCTGGATTTTAAATAATTGTAAGTTAAATTTTTAGGAATGGAATTACATTATTAGGACTTTATCTAGAGCCCTAAAACATCCAAAGAGACTCCAATATTATGTACAATTATTCTAAATAAAAAAATGCTTTAATCACACAAATGATATAAAGGATGTTAGCTTGTAAATGTGTACTTTGTTAGATATACAAATACTTATTATTGCACATAACAGAATTGTGGCAATATTATTGGAGAAAGTCAAGTCCTTGACGAAATGGCCAAATAATAATAAGTATTATAAATAAAGTTTTATATTATAAAAAGTATATTATATAATAGTTATATAATATTTGCAAAAAAAGCTGGTATGTATATATATATTTGTGATAATAGAAGTACCACAGGAATAAAAATAAGATTTACATATATATAATTGATAGAGTTTGGGGAATTTTTCGCATTTTGATTGAATATAAATATTTTTATTCCATTTATAACAAATTTTTTCTGAATAAATATTGTATTTCCTACAGTTTTGGAAAGTGTACACCTTGTTTTTATTTTACTGCTGGCTACTTTTAAGTTTTAATATATCTACTTATAACTTATCTAACATTAACAGAATAATGTTGTATGAATGTTATAATTTTCATAAACTGAATATTATATAAAATAGAGGAAGTAGATTGAATTTTTTAAAATATTTATGTGAATTAAAGTATTAGCAACTTTTGTCAAATATACTGTCATTTCCTTTCCATTATATAGAAAAATCAAAGGAAGAACAAAGACAAACAGATAAAACTGCTCAATGAAATCTTACATGGAATTAAGGTAATAAAAAAAGGACATGAATTTAATTTATCTATTTAGAATATCACAATAAGTTAACCAATAAATGAACCTTTCACCATTCTCAATATCAAAATAATGAAATATGTATAATTTTGAGAGAGCAATTTAGATTTCAGATATATAAGATTTCTTACGTTGAAACAGTATTTAAATAAAGCCAAATAAAATGTAAGGTTTTTTTTCTCTTCAACCAACAACTAAACACAAATATCTCAAAAGACACAAAATATTACTCGTTCTAAGGACAGAAAATTTGGAATGAAGCAGGGAAGAGTGGCAGTAACGCTGTCATCAGTGTGAAGGTAGATGCATGGGGAAAGTGATGAGAGGCCATTCAGTTTCTTTTATACAGAAGAGAAACCATCATACAAATGCTATTCTATGAAAAAGAGTGAAAGTGTTCATTGCTCAATCATGTCCAGCTCTTTGTGACCCCATGGACTAGAGCCCTCAAGGTGCCTCTGTCTGTGGAATTTTCCAGGCAAGAATACTGGAGTGGGTTACCATTCCCTTCACCAAGGGATCTTCCCGACCAAGGGATCGAACCCAGGTCTCCTGCAATGCAGGCAGATTCTTTACTGTCTGAGCCACTTACCTGGCTATTCTGTGAAAAGTATGTTACCGATTATTTGTTTCCTAGAAAAACTACCTCCACTCCACACCACTAACATTTTCTCTGTGATAAAATGAGTGAAGCCTTATAAATTTTGTATAGAGATATCCCTCAGTTTTGGAGAAGGAAATGGCAGTCCACCCAGCATTCATGCCTGGGAAGTCCCATGGACAGAGGAGCCTGACAGGCCACAGTCCATGAGGTTGCAAGAGGAGGACGCAACTTATGCCAAAACCACCACCACATTCCTCAATTTACAGTGGCTTTATATCCTGATATACCCATCATAAGCTGAAAATATCATCGTCGAGAATGCATTTACTACACCTCTCATACTTATTACCATAGTTTAACATACGCTTGCATCACTTACATTAGACTGCACTTGGGCATAATCATCTGACACAGAGCCTATTTTATAATAAATGTGAAAGTGAAGTTGCTCAGTCGTGTCCGACTCTTTGCGACCCCATGGATTATAGACTACCAGGCTCCTCTGTCCATGGGAATTTTCCAGGCAAGAATACTGGAGTGGGTTGTCATTTCCTTCTCCAAAGGATCTTCCCAACCCAGGGATCGAACCCGGGTGTCCTGCATTGCTGGCAGACACTTTACCATCTGAGCCTCCAGGAAAAGTGTTGAAAAGTTCACTAATTTATTGAATACTGTACTGAAAGTGAAAAAACACTGGTAGTATGGTTGCAGAATGGTTGGTAGTGTATTGGTTATTTATCCTCTGGATTGTGTGGCTGCCCAGCACCATGGCAGAGTATTATATCACATAAAAGTAACCTGGGAAAAATATCAAAATTCAAAATTGGAGGTGCAATTTCTACTGAATGAGTATTGCTTTCACACTGTCCTAAAGTTGAAAAATCCTAAATTGAATCGCTGTATATCAGAGATCTTCTGTGTATAATTTCAAATCGTATTGCACTTGGATTATAGCTCATCAGATTTTTCTAAAGCACCAAATTTGCAAAGTTCACATAGAATTTCCTTCTGACATTTAAAACTCCATTGGACATTTCCATCCACCTACAATTCGGGAGACCTGGGTTTGATCCCTGGGTTGGGAAGATCCCCTGGAGGGGAGGGCATAGCAACTGACTCCAGTATTCTTGCCTGGAGAATCCCCATGGACAGAGGAGCCTAGCAGGCTGTGGTCCATGGGGTCACAGAGAGATGGACACAACTGAGGGACTAAGCACAGTGCAGTTCACTTGCTCAGTCGTGTCCGACTCTCTGCGACCCCATGGACTGCAGCACTCCAGGCTTCCCTGTCCATCACCAACTCCCGGAGCTTGCTCATGTTCATATTCATTGAGTTGGTGATGCCATCCAACCATCTTATCCTCCATCGTCCCCTTCTCCTCTGCCCTCTGTCTTTCCCAGCATCAGGGTCTTTTCAAACGAGTCAGTTCTTTGCATCAGGTGGCCAGAGTATTGGAGTTTCAGCTTCAGCGTCAGTCCTTCCAATGAATATTCAGGACTGATCTCCTTTAGGATGGACTGGTTGGATCTCCTTGCAGTCCAAGGCACTCTCAAGAGTCTTCTCCAACACCACAGTTCAAAAGCGTCAATTCTTCAGCACTCAGCTTTCTTTATACACAAATAAATTATTTATCCACAGAATAAACCCATTATATGTACATACTGATTCACCTTAGAATCAGTAAATGATATGCTGCATTGTGCTGTATAACATTTTTACAAAAATATAAATTACTTACGTGAAAGACACTGTTAGATTGAAGATACTTTGAAAGGAGACTGATAATCCATGAATAGCAATAAGTAACTGAAATTTAACTCAGATTATTCTATAAAGTCACACATCCTCAAAGTATATGATCCAGATGGATCTTGCACCTCTTTGTGGGTTAACTGAGACACCCAGCATCATTAGAAAATAGTGATGTATGTTTATAAAAGTATTGATATTCATAAAATGAAATTTGTATTATCAGTAGAACTAAGACAATGTAGATAAAAGAAATTTTATCAAGATCTAAGCAAAGTTCAAGATTTAAAATAGCAGTAAATACACTATAATATTGGAAGAGATCCAAATGGAAATCAGGGTAGTTTAAAAGTGGGGGCAGTTTGCATCCTTGGTGTTTGAAAACAGGTATCATAAAGCCTCTCTCTAATAATGACAGTAGCTTAGCATTTATTGAACATTTTCTGTATGTCACACACTGTACTTATCACTTTATATCTGTTTCTTCATATAATTCTTATAAACCTAAAGAAAAAAATTTCTCATCTTCATTTTACAAATAAGGAAACAAAGTATCTGAGCAGTTGAGGGTCATCTCTTAGTTCACAGAGTCGGTGAGAGATTATTAGGGATTTCCAGAGAAACAGGGCTAACAGGATTCATAGACATATAGATAGATGAATAGATAAATATTTATTTTAAGGAACTGGCTTATGAGCATAGGCAGTGGCTTGTCTGAAATCTGTTGAGCAGGCTGGAAATTTCTGCAGGACTTGATGCTATAGCCTTGAGTCTGGAGGCAAAACTTCCATCTCAGAGAACCTTAGTTTTTTCTCTTGAGGCCTTCAACTGATTAGATTGGGCTCACCCATCTAAGGGGCTTCCCAGGGGGCTCTCAGGGTAAAGAACTTGTCTGTCAATGCCGATGCAAGACATGTAAGAGAAGCAGGTTTGATTCCTAGGTCAGGAAGATCCCCTGGAAAAGCAAATAGCAACCCACTGCAGTATTCTTGCCTGGAAAATCCCTTGGACAGAGGAGCCTGGCATGCTGCAGTCCATAGAGTCAGAGTTGGACACAACTGAAGCAACATAGCATGTTACCACCCATTTAATGGAGGGCAATCTTCTTTATTTAAAGTTTAATGGTTTAAATGTTAATCAGATCTAAAAATTACCTTCACAGTAACATCTACTGGTATTTGATAAAATAACTGGGTAACATAACCTAGCCAAATTTACACATAAAACCAACCATCACAAAAAAACTAAGATCATGGCATCCAATCCAATCAGTTTATGGTAAATAGAGGGGAAAACAATGGAAACAGTGACAGATTTTATTTTCTTGGGCTCCAGAATCACTGTGGTCAGTGACTGCAGCCAGGAAATTAAAAGATGCTCCTTGGAAAGAAAACTATGATAAATCTAGACAGCATATTAAAAAGCAGAGACATCATTTAACTGGCAAAGGTCCATATAGTCAAAGGTGTGGTTTTTACAGTAGTCATGTACGGATGTGAGAGTTGGACCATAAAGAAGGCTGAGTACCGAAGAATTAATGCTTTTGAACTGTGGTGTTGGAGAAGAGTCTTGAGAGTTCTTTGGAAAGCAAAGAGATCAGACCAGTCAATCCTAAAGGAAATCAACCCTGACTATTCATTGGAAGGACTGATGCTGAAGCTGAAGCTCCAATACTTTGGCCACCTGATATGAAGAACTGAGTCATTTGAAAAGACCCTGATGCTGGGAAAGATTGAAGGCTGGAGGAGAAGGGGATGACACAGGATGAAATGGTTGGCTTGCTTCATCAAGTCAATGGATACAAGTTTGGACCAACTCCAGGAGACAGTGAAGGACAATGAAGCCTGGTGTGCTACTGTCCATGGGGTCACAAAGAGCTGAACATCACTGAGTGAATGAACAACAAAAGAGACCTGGAATTTGAATGTAGGCCTATCTCACTCTAAAAAGGATGTGGTAAGTCATTGCATGGTTCTACTTCTCCATGTTTTCCATCTCAGAAAATAGTTTACAATCACAAAACACTTGTAACCTTTCAGAAAACGGCTTGATATCCCAAGACATAAGTTTTCAAGAAACTGGGAGGCCGGGGGAGAAGCTTAACTACTGAGAGATGTGAAAAGAATAGAATTGAGAGTTGGACCATGGAAAATTTGTCAGGATTTAGCTAGACAGAGGGCTTCCGTGGTGGCTCAGATATGTCCATAATGCATCCATGGAGCAAGAGTCAAACACACCTGAGCGACTGTCACTTTTACTGTCAAGCTAGACAGAAACTGCCCAGGAGCTCATGCCAGGAGCTGGGATGTTGTCAAAGTCTGGCTCAGGAATAAGCTAGTAGTGGGTAAGAGAGACATAAGAGTGGGGAAATGGTGATTTCCTCCTCCCACACACCCTAGAAAAACACCACAGGAAATACTTCGGCTCAGTTGAAAACAGGAGTAATTTACTTCATGGGTACTGTTTTTACCTTCACAGTTATGAGTGTGTGTGTGTGTTACAGTGTGTGTATTTGCACACGAGCATGTTTTTTATTCCTTCTATGATATTGATTGTCATCATCTGACTTCTTTATAGATTCTCAAACTTTATGCATGGGAACCCTCTTATAAAAAGAAGGTTATTGAAATTCGAGAACAGGAATTGGAAGTGCAAAAATCAGCTGGATATCTTGCTGTATTTTCCATGCTAACTTTAACTTGCATGCCATTCTTGGTGAGTGTCTATACTATTTCTTGTTTTGATTTTCAAATTTGATTTGCATGTTCACCTTTAAATTCCCTGGAATTAAGATTTCCAAAGTGAAGTCTTCTATATCTAAATTTAAATTTTCAACAAATGCAGTCATTAATCTGTAGAGATGAGAGATATGAAAGTTTTAAAGACGGGGAAAATTTTTTGGTGCATTTTCATTGGTCTGTATTTTTTATATTTAATAAGATTTTACATCTTTGTAAATTTTTCATAGATTGAACATATGCTATCCTCAATCTTAAAAAATATGAGCTATATTTCAGAGTCCCATTTAAGCTCTATTATTTTTCATGATTAATCCCTTTTAAGCAAGACTGAAAGGCACTCTACATAGAGTTGGAAAGGGACATTACATTTATTGAGCGTTTCTACTGTGTATCAGACAAGTTATATGCATCTTATTTCATTCTTGCAATAATAAGGTATTTTCTCATTTCACAAGAGGAAATGGAAATAGTTTGGAAATATCCTTAAAGTTATAGAACTACTATTTGTAGGTGAATTGATATGAATTGAAGTATCTTTCTGTCACTTCATGCAACTATTGGGAATCTCATGCTATTTAAAGAGTATAAATTGCCTTGAGATATTGAAGCAGTAGATGAAAGCCAAAGGATAAGAAAACTATAACTGAAGGATCAATTTTAACCACTCTCAGTAGTGATGGAGTCAGGAAACATTCTATATGTCTCCCCTGTTGTTAATTTAAAATATTATTGTTTATTTAAGCAAACATGTGGATATTATGAAATCAAAAGCAATATTTACATTTGGAATACTTTAGTAAAAATAGCCAGGAATCATTTGCTTAAGACAGTCTTATGTACATGATAAATAGTCAATACAGTCTCATGCATAAATGAAGTTTTCTGCCTTTTCTAAATGAAACTTATGCAAGTAAATATAAATCTTACTGGTCATGATTTATTTATACATTCTTCAGTTAATATTAAGACATAGAGAAAGTAAAATTTCTGCATATGAGACAATAGGTATGCACACATCACTGGAAAAAATTTACATAAAACTCCATTTTGAAAGAAAAAATGAACTGTTGTATGTTTTAAATGGGGATAATTACTCTACTGAAAATGTGCCATGTCAAAGAAGGGAGCTGGACCACATGTTCATAGGATGTCATTATCTAAGATACTCAATTGTATGATCTGTACTAAACATTTATTTCATTTTCTTCAGCAATGGTACTAAATAGTACCAAATTTTGGTAAACAACAACAACAAAGATTATTGAAGATTTCTTTCCTAATTTTGAGTCTGTAATTAACAATTGCACAATTGAAGAAAATTACATGTATATTTTTAAGGTGTCTCTGGCAACATTTGGTGTCTATTTCTTACTGGATGAAGAAAACATTTTAACAGCCACTAAAGTGTTCACATCTGTGTCTTTGTTTAATATCTTGAGGCTTCCTCTGTTTGATTTACCAATGGTGATCTCAGCTGTGATCCAGGTACATCCAAATTATCTTTAAACTGAGAATCATTCCTCTACTGAAATCTTTAGTTTTGCATATTTCATTTCTTCATCTTTTTTTAAATTTTGCTTTTTGTAGTTGTTTTATGATGCTTTAAAAATTTCCCTAAATTAATGAGCAATAGAGAAATTATAGGATGAAAAGAATCATGTCTTCTTCGTCTGTACTTTTTGTCTATAAAAATGACTTTTAAGCATTTCAACATGTGACATTGTTTTCTTTGCTAAGTGTTAGTTCTCTCGTTTAGCTTTTTAAAATTTGGTGTTTGACACTATGCCATCAAAGGGTTTATTTTCTGTTTTCAAGTGAAAAATTTTAAGTAAGTGATTTGCACAGTACTAGGTCTGAATTTTCCCAGGGTTCAGCAAAACTTCATCTGTGCTGAAAGAATAAACTAGGGAGAAAGGTGCGCTGATAATATCAGTCTGCCAACCAACCTTGTATGAGGTATCTGGTTTAGCCTGCTTTTATTGTAATCTCCAATCACTGAAGCCTCTTTAGATGCTATGATGATAGAAGGCAGCTAAAACCATAGGGAATCCAAAGAACTGAGTTCTTTGATCCCTTTACCCCTAGATTTTCTCAATTAAATTTTTTCAATATCAGGTTTAGGTATTCACTCATCAAAACTTTTTCAAGTCTGGGTTCATAAACAAAGTGAATTTTTGCTTACTGGAACTAGCTCTTTGATCTAAGAACTTTTCCTTTTAATTTATATAAATTGAGATCTATAAATTAAATCTGAATGAAGAGTAACATAATTCTATAGTAAATAGCCCGTAAGCTATTTTTGTTTCATAATACTGTTTTTATATTCTTTTACTAATAATCGCCAGCAGAGGGCGTAGAAGTACTATCTTTTAACATGTTTCACAGCACACTTCTCTTAAAAAAAATATTAGAATAAAGGTTCTGTTTTGCTTTTGAAATTATATTCTAGCTAAAGGTCTGGTATCCCAGAGTGTTTTCCAGCTCCTAGTCACTACTGCCACTAAACAAATAAGGAGAACAACTGTCCAAAAAAAAGAGAAAAAGACCAACCTTGCATACTGATAGGACACACTTGGTAAACAAAATCGCAGCTTTTAATTACATCTTATCCATTAACAGTTGACATATCCTAACATAAAGTGAATAAAAATGTACTAGAGGTTTCATGCAAGTCAGTGTCAGGAGAAAAATGACTCTATTTATCCTGTCTGTAGCAAAACATTTATAGCTATTCTATTAATTAAATGTTACCATTGCCAAAACTATTACTTTGTTTATGCTCACAAGCAGAATTCATTCAACCAAACTGAAGTTGCTCTTAAAAACTAATTATTCTATGATCATTAATTAATCAGTTATCGTGTTTTTGCTCGAATGTTAGGGAGAATTTTTGGTTTCTAACTTCTCATGTTTTCCTGCATATATATATTTGTTTTGATTTTTGATTCTTGAAACTTCTTTTTCTTTATCGATGGACTTATTTATAAACATTAAAACAATGCAAATCATGCTTGCTGAATATTTATATCACTATCACCAGTTTGCATCAAAAACTTTTAAATGCTTTTAGTTTAATTTCTTCTTACCCAAAAATTCCATTTACGTTTATTTTGATAGACAAGAATATCACTGGTTCATTTGGAAGACTTTCTCAACACTGAGGAACTTCTTCCACATAGTATTGAAGCAAATTACATAGGAGGTTAGCAGTTCTTTTTTGTGTTTAATATTTATTTGACTTCTGGGCTGAAGACAATTGATTCTAAGATATATTTTTGTATTTTCTTCCTAGATCATGCCATTGGTTTTACAAATGCTTCCTTTTCCTGGGATAAAACAGGGGTTCCAGTATTAAAAGAGTAAGTCATGATTTGGGGAAAATTAAAAACAAAACAAAAAAATTAGCATAGATTCTATCATGCTTCATGTGTTTATTTTTTAGAGTTTTTAAGCAGAAGATGAATCTATTGGAATTTGTAAGATTTTTTAAAAACCTCTCACTGCATCTTTCATTTTTATGATTGCTTTACAATCTTTTTTACCCCCTGTTCATTTCCTCTCTTTACTTTTCTGCATTTACTGCTTGCATTTTGAAAGGTTGGGTGTTTGTAGAATAATGTAGGACAATGTGAATAGAAGCAATTTCAAGGATGATGCCCTGTATACAGTGACTTGTGATACAGTGACTTTTCTGGGAATATACATTAAAAACAGTTATAACAGAACTTCCTATATCATCTCTTTCTTTATTTGTTGTGCAGCTTGAACATAAAGATTCCAGAAGGCGCTTTAGTGGCTGTTGTAGGGCAAGTCGGGTCTGGAAAATCATCTGTGCTTTCTGCAATTCTGGGGGAAATGGAGAAACTAAAAGGAGTAGTCCAAAGAAAGGTAACGTCAACAATGCATTCTTTGCACATCTCCTGGTGTAATGGACTACAGCCAGCACATCATTAGTGTCAATAAGAATTTATCAAGTTGAATTGAAGAACGAAGTATTTAATGAGCATTTCTAGTTTGTAACAAACATTTAAATTTCCACAGAAATTGATTAGCTATGGATGGATTAGTCAGAGCATTCTATCCTCCATATACTTCAGCAAATCATTTAGGAATGCTTATGGTAATTGTTTGATGATATTAACTAAATTGCAACCAATTATGGAGAAACAAATGTGGTTTATAATATAATTTGATTAGGTTTCTAATTATCATTCATTGCAATGTTTCCTAAGTAATTACGGCCATTCCATTTCTAAGAAATGGTGTAGCTGCTCACAGGAAGGCTCTCTGACCTAGGAAAACCTCAGGAAAATAATAATTATTAATAGCTTACATTTAAATTTCAGCATTTGGACTCTGGGGAGGTCTACTTCCAGCCATTTGTTCTATTCTTAAAGGTCAATAGGAATAAGAATTCAACAAGTTCTTCATCAGCTATTTCTTTTTTGAAGTAGTAGGCTATCCAGTGAATTTTTCCTTAGACCTAACTACCTAAGAAGGTAAAATATTACCTAATCACTCCTTCTCACTTGTGACAAGATGGAGAGGGTCTTTGGATATGAAACCAGTGTCTTCACTGCTTTTCTTTTCTTTAGGAAAAATCAACTCCAGATCCTTTTATTTTTGTTCATGATATATCATTCCTTGTGTCTATATTTATTCTCCTCTGGAGAAGGAAATGGCAGCCCCCTCCAGTATTCTTGCCTTGAAAATCCCATGGACAGAGGAGCCTGGTGGGCTACAGCCCCATGGGGTTACAAAGAGTCAGACACGATTGAGCAACTAAGCATGTCTTTATATCTTTCCTGATTCTAGGTCTTTAGTGATTAATTGGTAAAGAATCCACTTGCAATGTGGGAGACCTGGGTTCAATCCCTGAGTTGGGAAGATCCCCTGGAGAAGGGAATGGCAACCTGCTCCAGTATTCTGGCCTGGAGAATTCCATGGGCTGTATAGTCCATGGGGTCGTAAAGAGTCAGACACAACTGAGTGACTTTCAAGTTCAATTTCATGTCTTTATATCTTTCCTGATTCCAGGTCTTTAGTGATTAATTTTGTATTTATTTATTTTTCTCATTATTACTGTTTCTTAGTTTGGAATCAAGCATAATTTCAATTTTTCTGATAAGATTACACTTAATAAATACCACTACTTTTAACTTTAAATATACTATCTTTTCTCCTTATGTTCTCTTTAATGATTACAATCAGCCATTTGTCTGTTGATCAAGATGACTATAAATTTTCCTAGGCCAGTAAGTATCCTTTAAAAATATAATACTTGTCATATTGGGATATATGATTTTATTGACATGTTGATTTTATTTTCATTCAGTTTCTTCAGTTTTCACAAAGTGACTATTGAGCATACACTATGTGCCTGGCACAGTACCAAGGAAATAAACATGAATAGGATATGCTACTTTTCTTAAAGAGTTCACAGTCAAGTGAGGGAGATACTGAGGTCAATTACAACAAATATTTAGGTTTTTGAAATGAAACAGTATAAAAAGCAACAAATTCTGCTTTGAAGAGTTAAAAAAATAATCAAAGTAGGTAGCCTTTTATTTAATCTTTAAAAATGATTAGGAGTTGATCAAGATAAATTGATCAAGAAGTTGATCAATTTTAAGTTTCACCCAATACATAAATGATAATAATAAACTTAAATTTTAAGGAGCAGATTGAATAAGATAATGTGCAAAGACCTAAACTAGTTCTTGGCACAGAGTCAGCTGGCTCCCTAAGAATTTTTGTGGTTATTGTTATCTTCATTATGATTGTTGAGGGGCTCGTGGTAAGACTTAAAGATTATTTCTGATACTTTTGGGGATTCATAGTTAGGAAAGTGTTCATGGTGATAATAGAAACCATAACATTGCTATTACTAATCATAAAGCAGAGAGGACACATTTTGTTTATATTAAGCTAGGGATAGACAGTATTATCTGTCTATATAACTGGCCACTTTGTTCTTTAGGAAGCTTATTGGTCTGGATCAGTGGCAAGATTTTAATTATATCACATTCTGAATTATTTCACATTCCATAGTCTCAGTTATTTCCTAAAACATGTCTAAGCCTAAATTTGTAAGTATTACCCTGATTATCTCTAATTTAATAGTAATGGGCTTCCCTGGTGGCTCTGATTGTAAAAAAGTCTGCCAGCAATGTGGGAGACCCAGGTTCAATCCGTGGGTTGGGAAGATCTCCTGGAAAAGGGAATGGCAACCCACTCCAGAATTCTTCCGTGGAGAATTCCAAGGGCAGAGGAGCCTGGAGGGTTACAGTCCACCCATGGGGTCACAAAAAGACAGACACCACTGAGTGACTGATGCTTTCACTTTCAATCATAATAATGGCATGGCCAACCTAACATTTAGTATTTATAAGGTGCTTTTGTTTCCATCTTTCTGTTTCTCAAGGTTTCACATTCTCAACTGTTTGATGCATATCATTACAGTGTTCAAATTCTAAGATCCCCTATTCTCAGTATCAAAGGTTTTTATCAGACATCATTCATGCAGCATATTCAATATTCAGTGTTCTTTGGTGGAACATCAGAGATTTAGAGTCCATTTTTGAATTAACCAAACTGCTATTGGAATTTTATTATTAAGAATGAAATGAAACAAATACACATTTTCATTTGTATGTGAGATGTAAGATATAATTACAATGATAATACAAGGAAAGTTTTACATTTCTGTGAAAATTTATCAGCTCTTTTTTAACTCCTGTTACACCAATACATCAAGTCCATGTTTCTCAATGTAGTATTTAGTTCCTATTTTATAGTATATACCATATTCCCTTGTTCTGCATCTTCTTTCCTATGTTCTTTACCCTCTGTTCTCCTTATCTTGCCTGATGTATATCAAGTATTCAGAATCTCCATCACCTGAGGACTGATTTATTATGCTATCCTAATCAAAGGTTATTCACTAAGCAAGGTAGTTCAAGAGCAATTACTTTTGTGTTCAAGATCAAGTCAGATCGAATTATATTGTTTTGGCTCAAAATCCATTCTGTGTCTTACTTGCTCAACAAAGAAGAATTAAAAGTTAATCTTTGATCTTCAAAACAGTTGGTAGAAATCAAAAGACTGGTAGTTACATACAGATCTATGTCAGAAAGTACTTTAAATGTGCAGTATTGTTAGAGTGAGCAATAATCAGAACACTCAAGTCGGTGTTTGGATAGAATCCATGGGGTAGATTCAAAGGTGAGTCTCTAGTTCAAATACGGGGAGTCCTTTAGAAGACAAAGATTAGTTAAAAGAATATTTCATGCATCAGAGTCACATTCAGGAATAAGGTCAAGACATCAGATTATCAAAAAATGAATTTAAGAGCAGTGAGTGCCTGGAAGACACAGGAATGTGGTGTCCAGAGCCCCCTTCTAGGGGGCTTGCCACCAGCTTTGGGAGTACATCAGACACATTAGCACCTTCATGATGGCCTGCTGGGTTCCAACCTTAAAGGCCAGGCCAGTTCAGCCTAACAACAGAATCCCTCTACTGAGTGATAACACTTCCCCGGCTCTCTGGAAGACTGACCAAATCTTTCTTGGATCTGGGTCACCATGTGACTTACCCCTCTATCCCTTCCTGCTTCTCCATTTCCTTTCCATAAGAATTCCACAGGAACTCATCCCTCCAAAACAACCTGCATCCCAACTTCAGTGTTATGGGCCGAATTGTCTTCTCCCCATATTCATATGTCAAAGTTCTAACCCCCAATACCTGAGAATATGACTGTATTTGGAGATAGGGCCTTCCCGGGGGCCACAAGTTCAAATAAGGTTAACAGGGTGGGCCCTTTGGCTGATATCTTAGGAGAAGAAATTAAGACACATACTCAAAGGGAAGGCCATGTGAAGACTGGGGAGAAGACAGCCATCTTCAAGCTAAGGAGATCGGTCTGAGGAGAAACCAGCCATGCCATCCTGTTCATCATGCCGGTTGTCTTGCTGTTCACGCTTTGCATGGTGTTCGCTGAACCCAGGGTAGGCCAGGTGCAAGCTAAGAGGCTGGAAGAAGACGCGAAGAGCGGCAGGAACTGCAGACAGGTTTATTCTCTCCTGGCTGGCACAGCAGCCGTAGCAGTAGACATTACGCTATTTTCTCTCCTCTCATGGCTGACCCAACAGAGACAGCCGTGACGCACAGTAACGCCGCCATTTTCTAAATGGAGCTCACACTGGTCCCAGCTTGTGACCAATCAAGTACTTCCTGATGCGCATGTGCAGTGCTATAAATGATCTCAGCTGTTACGTAGTCATTGTTTATAAAATGTGGGGTGAGAGAGTCTGAACACTCCATCTTGGCTAATTTACTCTCTCCTCACATGTGCCAACGCCTTGATCTCAGAATTATGAGGGAAAAAAAATTCTATTGTTTAAGCCACTGAGGTCATGGTACCTTGTGAGGATAGGAGGAGCTGACTACTAAACTCAGTGTCTGCCAGAAATCTCACCAGGGACCTTTGATAGAAAGGAAATGGGTTGCCTTTTCTTTCTCCAGGGGATCTTCCCGACCCAGGGATCAAACCCGGGTCTCCTGCATCATAGGCAGATGCATTTACTGTCTGAGCCACAAGGGAAGTCTTGGTAGAAGCTACTTGAAAGTAAATAAAAAGCAGAGTAATTCATTTGAAGGCGCCTCTAATAAGCATACATAAGGTTAAAATAGGATATAAGATTAAAATATATATGGAATATATTTACATTTAAGAAATAATTATTTTTTTTTAAAAAAATTCAATTTAAAGGAAGCAAAACCATGGACAAATATGTTCCCTTTATCTGGCACATGCAAGTTCTCCTTTTCCCCGGTTAAGAGTATTTCTTTTATTTATTTCTTTTTTAGGGCTCCGTGGCTTATGTTTCCCAGCAGGCCTGGATTCAGAATTGCATTTTGCAAGAAAACATTCTCTTTGGCTCTGTCATGCAGAAGCAGCTTTATGAGAGAGTTTTGGAAGCCTGTGCCCTCCTTCCTGATTTGGAGCAGTTACCCAACGGAGATCAAACTGAGATTGGAGAAAAAGTAAGGAAAATATATTTTATCTTATGCAGGAATAACATTCCAGTCAGCTGCACTAATAAAACATCTATGGCCCTTTTACTGAGGTCTTGAAGAGCTACACAACTGTAATTTTTAAAAGTTAGTGTAGAAGTCCTATGAAAGAAATGGCAGTATTAAGGATGACTAATTATTTTTTATTGACTACTTGGAAAGCAGATTAAAAGTCAGCAGGAAATTCTGTTGTTAGTGCCTATACAGGGGAATGAAAACCCATCACGTGGATCATGAACACTTTGCCTAAGTTTCTGGCATAATGTTGTTCACTGTCTAATGAGGGAGTAGCAGTTTTGTCCCTTCGTGGATCTCTTGTGCACGAAGCCAAGCCTAGGGGAGTAGCAGCAGAGCCCCAGTCTCCGATGGTGGCACCAAGAGATCCCAACAAAGCTCTGTTCCAGGTTCACACATTCTTCCTTAGGAGGAGCTTGTTTCCCAGACACCATATTCTTTGTTCCATTTATTTTCATCCAGTTAATGAATAGTTATCATGCTGCCCAGTGTTTTGTGGTTAAAAACAAAACAAAATAAGATATCACAAGTCAAATAATGAACCCCAAGAGATTATCCCCAACCCTTGACTAAAATCTCCATTAATTAAACATGAATGCAAAAGCAGCCTCTGCCTGCGATTCAGATGTACTATGAAGATAAGTAAATAATCCTTAGTGTTTTGAATTTCTGAGAAGAGTTAGCATAACATTGTTAAGTGTTTTTACCTTGGCCTCCTATTATTTAATTATCTTGTTATAGAAATTGAAAACTATAAATGAAATTGTAGAAAGTGCCAGGATTTAAAATCTAGGGTGTACACTTCGCTGTACATCTGAAACTAACACAACATTGTAAATCTTCTATATTTCAATAAAATATAAAATCTGGGACAAGGTAGATCTTACCTTTTAACTAGACTTACATTGTTTTTATTCATAAGCTGTTACTTTGCAGATGTATGTTTTTGAAGTGTTAAGTAGATTTAATTTTTTGCAACCTCTGTGTATTTTCTGGCATCTTCATTATCCCTCTAGGCAATAGCAGTGTAGCTAAAATGATAAAGAAATGCAACTTCTTCAAAGTTGTTAATACATGTTGAACCTTTTGCTGGTAAAGCCAACCTCTAATAATATGAAATAGCTAACGCATGCATGCATGCTCAGTCGCTTCAGCGGTGTCCGACTCTTTGCAACCCTATTGTAGCCCACCAGGCTCCTCTGTCCATGGGATTCTCCAGGCAACACTACTAGAGTATGTTGCCATGCCCTTCTCCAGGGGATCTTCCCAATCTAGGGATGTAACCAGCGTCACTTATGTCTCCTACATTGGCAGGCAGGTTCTTTACCACTAGTGCCACCCGGGAAGACCAAAATAGCTAATCGTATGTAACTAAAAAATTAAAGTGGAAAATTCAAAATGTGAAGTATAGATTTAATATAGTCCTTAAGTGTTATTACCACTTATAAATTCTGCTTTTTATATTTTATAATTAAATTTCTCCCAATCTGATGATGTACCTTAAAAATGTAATTGAATATTTAAGAAGAAAATCTGTTTCCAGCTGTTTATGGTCCATGGGGTCGCAAAGAGCCAGACACAACTTAGCAACTAAAACGACGAGATGAAAAAGATAATGAATGTAGGATTTTCTTCACTTTTATTATCTTTTTCTTTGACATAATTCAATTGAACACAAATATTTATTAATCTGTTATTTGCCCTTTTTCTACAATGGAGTACATAAGGGTGAGCAAGAGAGCTATCACTTTGTCTTCAAAGGATTGGAATCAACTGGATCTCTGCCAATGATGTTATCAATTGCCTTTACCAGTATTTATTTGGACACTATGTGCTGGGAGTGCAAGGATAAACTAGGTAGGAGTGGATAGGAGAATGAGATGCTGACATGAGTATTGCTATTTCTAGCAATGGATGAGTAAACAGAAAACTGTAAGACAAGAAGGGAGGGAAGGAATCGCTTTACCTGAAACTCTGGGTAGAAGATTGATTTCCAAGAATACTTGCAGTGTGTAGCTTTTCAGTTGCAAAGTGGGGGGTGTGGGTGCCCAAGCGGAGTAAACACTCTGTGCAGACAGGAAAAGGCAGGCTAGTCTGATTGTAGGTCAGTCAGTTGAGAGCAGCATTGGGTGAGTGTTTGAAAGATGAGTTAATGTCAAAATCTTAAGTGTCTTGGATTTCTACTAAAGAATTTGCTGTTGCTCATGAATGATGAGACTAGAAAGATGTGGCTATCCAAGATTTTAAGCAAAATGACATAATTGCAGGATACATGATGACAAGTCAGAGGACGGATTAGCGAGAGAAGTGATTGAGTGACAATAGCTAATGTGTATTGCATGTCTACTCAGTATAGGATTCATCCTAGATATTTTAAGCTCATTAAATGCTCATGACAAACCCATGAGTTGGAGACTTTTACAATCACACATACTGACAGATATATGTATCGTTATCACTTTGTTGTATTTATGTATCATATTACTTTGTAGGTATTTTTTTGCTCTTGGCTCCTTTGCTAGAATATGACCTCCCCATGACAGAGCCTCTGTTTCATTTATCATTAAATCCCAAGTGCTAGCATAGTTCTCCACCTGGAGAGGGAATAGCAACCTACTTCAGTATTCATGCTGGGGAATTCCATGGAGGGAAGCAGGCTACAGTCCGTGGGGTCGCAAAGAGTCAGACATGACTGAGAGACTAACACTTTCTTATTCTTTAACAGCTCTCAGAACATAGGAGATATTTGTTGATTAGAGGGAAGATGAGAAAGGCAAAGAAGCAATGGCATTTTACAATTATAGGGCACTGGCTCGGTTCTGTGCTGCATGGAGAGCTTTTAAACCAGATCTGTAAATGCTAAATATAAAATAAATCAAGTAAATTGGGCCTGGCCACATAATTCTCCATACATGGCTGTGCATGTCGATTCTAATTCTCACATCGAGTGATGTATATTCCTTATTCTTGCTTCTTAGAGTTGTACTTTTGCCAACAAGACTTGTACTAATCTTTCTACAGAAGAAAATAGGACATGTTGATTACTGCTTTGGTAATTTAGCTATTATTCTCCATTTCCTATATGTCAATTTAAAAATGGTCACCAGTGTCAGTATATGAATGACAGCCAAAAGTCTCCTTTAATATTCCACAGGCACGACCTTTCAGAGGTAAGGGATTGGACATTCTTTTCTCCATAACTGTTAGTATCTACTTTTTAAAAGCAAGTAATGAAGAGAAAGCAGATATATCTGTTAATTTACACAAATTAATGGCACTAGGAAATAGAGGCTTTTGGAATTTAAAGAAAATAAAGAAAGGTTGAAATGTTAATCCTGAGTTATTACCTATCCCTGCTACAGAGGAGAATTTGGACATAACTATGTGTTCTTCGGGGGCTTCTCAGGTGGCTCCATGGTAAAGAACCTACTTGCCAATGGAGGAGACCTGGGTGAGATCCCTGGGTCAGAAAGATCCCCTGTAGAAGGGCGTGGCTACCCACTCCAGTATTCTTGCCTGGAGAATCCCATGGACAGAGGAGCCTGGCGGGCCACAGTCCTTAGTGTTGCAGAGTCAGACATGACTGGAGCGACTGAGCACACACTCATGCATGCATGTGTTCTTTGAGATTCACACATTTTTCCCTATTTTTTTTTTCCTGCTTCATTTTCAGGGTGTGAATATAAGTGGTGGACAGAAGCATCGAGTGTGTCTGGCCAGAGCTGTCTACAGTGGGGCTGACATCTACCTCCTAGATGATCCCTTGTCTGCAGTTGATGTTCATGTTGCAAAGCAACTTTTTGAAAAAGTGATTGGGTCCTCTGGCATGTTAAGGAACAAGGTAGCCATAGCATCACATATGCTTTTGTGAGGGAAGGGGAGAATAATCTATATAGCATTGGGCCCCGAATTCTAATACTTTATTTGTTGATGCAGAGTAGTCAAATTTCACATAAAGAATGGGATGGTATGTTGCTCTTTCACAGACTTTAATGAATTTTTTAAAATTTTTACAAGTTTACTCAACTTATGTGATTCTTACATAAGACCACAGCTTATGTGATTATTACCTCATTGACTCATAGTGTATTCAAAGGTGATTTACACCTCAAAATGAGTGTTTTAAGTTTAGCTGACCATTTTTTGGAAGAATGGAATTTGGTTGTATAGCACTTTTCTGGAAAATAGTGTTTATTATTTTTTACTTAAAATTAGGTATTTTAAACATAACCTTAATAATAATCCAATTGTTTTGTGAAGGAACAGAGAAAAAAAGAATTAATATTTACCAAGTGCTTATCATATTTGACACTAGTGAAACATGACTAATTTGACACTAAACTAGTTCATTTAGTTCTTATAGCAAGTCTCTGAGACAAGCATCATCAATACTCCTGTTTTATATACGATGAAACATGGAGCTCATCATGACTTTATATAGCTTGCTCAATTTAAGAACCACAGAAATGCTTTCTTTTTTTTGGCTGTGCTGGGTCTTCATTGTTGTGCAGGCTTTCTCTAGTTGTGGAGAGCAGGGTCCACTCTCTAATTGCGGTGGACGGGCCTCTCATTACGGTGGTTTCTCTTACTGCAGAGCACAGGCTCTGTGGGCAGAGGTTTCAGTAGTTGCAGCTCGTGAGCTAATACTTATGATTCTCAACTCGCGAGCACAGGCTCAATAGCTGTGGTACGCACAGGCTTAGTTGCGCCACAGCATGTGGGGTCTTCCCACATCAGGGATGAAACCCATGTCTCCTGCATTGGCTGGTGGATTCTTTACCACTGAGCCACCAGGGAAACCCCAAGAACCACAGAAATTTTTAAAAGCCTCTCTGACTTCAGAGCCATATATATGTATTCACAGTGTGTGCTTATAGATTTATTTATACAGAGAATTCTGGAATAAGTAAATAAATGTATAAGATGGCAAAATAAATATTTAATTAAATCACAGAAATGTCTTTACTTATTGAAATGAACCCAAGATAAATCTTTTCATTCAATTTAGTGTACATTATACAATAATATGGAAAGATTTAAAAATGAAGACTATGTGTTATAACTTAAACCTGTTTTTGTAACACTGCATGCATGCTAAGTTGCTTCAGTTGTGTCCAACTCTTTGCCACACCTTAGACTGTGGCCTGCCAGGCTCCTCTGTCCATGGGATTCTCCAGGCAAGAAAACTAGAGTGGGTTGCCATGCCCTTCTCCAAGGGATCTTCCCAGGGCTAGAACCCAGGTCTCTTGCATCTCCTGCCTTGGTAGGCCAGTTCTTTACCAGTAGCGCCACCTGGGAAGCCCCTTGTAACCGTATAGGACCTTCAAAAAAGGAAGCAAGAATGACAGTTATAAGATTGTTTTTAATTTGTTGTAAATCTGATTCATTCTTAATGAATGAAGAATACCTGAACTAATGGGGTAAAGCATTTGCTGACTTTTTTTATTTTTGTCAAGTAATGTATCATCATTCATTGTGAAATATTTATGTGCTATCTTAAACTGGTGCCTCCCAAGAATTATACTCTAAAATAGTAAAGACAAAAAATAATGATTGCGGCTCTCTTTTTTGTAATTTTATTTATTTATTTTTGGTTGTGCTAGGTCTTCATTGCTGCACAGTCTTTTCTCTAGTGGCAGTGCATGAGGGCTTCTTATTGTGGTGGCTTCTCTTGTGGAGCACAGACCCTAGGGGGATCGGGCTTCAGTAGTTGCAGCATGTGAGCGCAATAGTTGTGGTCCCAGCTCTAGGTCACAGGCTCATGGGCTTAGTTGCTCTTCCCCGACCAGGGATCGAACCCGTGTCCTGCATTGTCAGATGGATTCTTTACCACTGAGCCACCAGAGACGCCCTGAAGCTCTCTTTAAAATAGTTATTTTGACCATCTTTTTTTGTAACGCAAGTAATAAAATACTCTTTTTCAGACTCGAATTTTAGTGACACACAACCTCACACTTCTGCCACAGATGGATCTCATTGTTGTAATGGAAAGTGGCAGAGTAGCACAAATGGGAACTTACCAGGAACTTCTGTCTGAAACCAAAAATCTCACAAATTTGCTTCAGGCCTTCAGTGAACAAGAAAAAGGTGAGGACCCAATTAAAAATACGCCTAAGATACAGTGTGCTAACCCATTCTGAAAGCCCATTAATTGTGTGATTTCTTACTGTGCATTTTTCTTCATTCATGATTGCTAAGTCAGGAGCTGAACATCTTCCTTTCTCTCGAAAAGAAACAAATACTTTGGGACACATCAGCTCAAAATCAACCTCACATATGAGCTTTAAGCAAAATGTTATGCTCCAGGATCAGTTTGTTCATCTATGAAATGAGAGATTAAATAATTTATAACCCCCTACTGCAAGTTTAGAATATAATGAATCTAAACATTCTACTTTCTTTTAAATTAAATTCATATCAAATTAACAATAAATCTTTAAAATGTATTATTGCATGTTGTGAGAGAGAGACAAATGAAAAGAAAATCTGAAGAATGACAAAGAGGAATAATTGTTGTCTAGCTTTTACAAAACAACAACTGAGTTATTTACTACTAATTTTTATTTCTATAGTCCTAGTATTTTAAATTAAGACCCAAAGATGTTTGTATAAATGAAGCTGTTTGATCTTTATGTAATTAGGACACAAGGGTGTTTGAAATCTAGCATTAGTTTAATGTTCTAGAGATCGATCATTTTCTCACTCAGAAAACTGAATGTACCATCATCTCTTTTCCCAGCTATAGATGGTTTCTCATATAGACCACCATCGTGAACCTCGTGCTTTACCTTTCCGGAACACCACTGAGAAATGACTATAAAATCAGTGAACTATTAAAAAATTCCAGGCTAAAAAGAAATATAGAGTTATGTCTTAGTATTTTCTGCATGAACTGGTATCTATTAATTCACTTTACCTTTTACGTGGATGTAAAGGTCAGAAAGATATGAAACCAGTTCATAGCAGCATCAGTGCCCTTTAGTATCTGCATGCCATGAAATAAAAAAACAAAGCCATTTTGCTGATGTTTTTTCTAAGCTAATACACATTAGGTATGCACTACTATTTTTTTATTCCTTGTTTATACTCCTTTCTCAGATTGAAATGTTCTACATGTAGATGCATTCAGAAATATCTGATGCATCGTCAGATGGCTGTGGTCATTCTTAGTAAGAGAAGCACCTTATCTTTTCTTAAGGGCTAGCAATTTTGGAAATGAGGCCTTGCCTACCTGGTCAGGCTAAGTAATAACTTATGTTTAGTGTGTAGGAAAGGCAGGTCTATGAGTATCTCTGAGGGCTAGAATGAGGATGCAGTCTGTCATTGTGTCTGTCCCTAGCACTTAGGTAGCCTCATGCTAGGCACTCCATAACTGTTAAACAGATGAATCTGCCTCCAGTGTTTCTACCAAAAGTATGTCTCTTCAGAGTTAATAGAATGATTTGTAATGCTATGAGCCAGTATTGCTATTTATTTTAAACAGCACATGAAATATAAGTTATATTACCTTGGGAAATATAGCTTTAAAAGCAGGCAATATGTAAGTTTTAAGTTCAATATTTAATTTACCATAAAATATGGAACACACTTTTAAAAGCTGTTTAAGTCTCCAGTTTTGGAAAAAACATCATTCCTTCTCAGCACTGATAAAACTTCTTAAGTACACCAGTCCTCTGCGGTAACAAGTGGAAAACATTCTTGAAGCTGGGCTGACATTAATAGATATTACAATCTCACCATCAGAAATATGCCATCATTAGAAAAATGTAAATGGAACTTTTTTCTAATTACTTCAATATTGTGTCTTCTCTGTTACAATTCAGAAAGGTGGTGAGTAGAGATCATTTGTGTACTGGAAATAGAATATGTTTTCTAAAGTGAATATTTCTGGGATTTTGATTTTTTGCACCCTGAGTAAAAAATATATGAAAGCTTTTAAAAAGCAGGCAAAATATTACTCATGATAATGCTAGATAGATAGATAGATGTAAAAGGTCAGCCATATATATTGTCATTTTATTACTGATCACACAGAACAGGGCAAAAATAGATTAACAGATATAAAATTGATAATATCCTATCAAACAACTTCAAACTAGTTATAGTTAGCTCCACATTCCTGCAGCTATTTCCCTTGGACTTAGGCCAGCTGTATCCCTGTTCTGCTTTTCCTCACTGCTGATGACCCAGACACTTGTTCTTTTCTTATCGTTCACCCTCTCACTACCAGAGCTGATGACAGATAAGTAGACTTTATGGGCTTCCCTCATAGCTCAGCTGGTAAAAGAATCTGCCTGCAGTGCAGGTTCAATTCTGAGTCAGGAAGATCCACTGGAGAAGGGCTAGGCTATCCACTCTAATATTCTTGGACTTCCCTTGTGGCTCAGCTGGTAAAGAATCCGCCTGCAATGCGGGAGACCTGAGTTCGACCCCTGGGTTGGGAAGATCCCCCGGAGAAGGGAGAGGCTACCCACTCCAGTATTCTGGCCTGGAGAATTCCATAGACTGTATAGTCCATGGGATCCCAAAGAGTTGGACACAACTGAGCAACTTGCACTTTGTTTCAAATAGAGTTTATATTATAATTTGGTTTGGATATATCAGATCTCTAAAAATCCATCCAGCTCTGAAAAATCTACAAGTCTCATCTCATGGGAATATTATAAAACAGAATCAATCAGGACTGAGAGAAGACTTTGTGAAAAAAGATATGAAAAATAAAAGCAAAAGATGTGAAATACAAAGGTAAATTTACATATTTATATTTAGAAGTTTAGGCTCTTATCCATACTAATAATACTTATGATAGCTAGGATGTCTTGGATATTAATTTTGTCAGTATATTCACAAATGTTTTGCTCAAATCTCTCCCAAAACCTCCTGAGACTGCATGGTCCTGATTTTACAAAGAGAATTTGTATCTTGCACAACTTAAGACAGATGATAAATTGCAGAATTTAAATCCATCGCTGCCTCTGTTTCATGCCAGAGGCCAATCAAGCTCTTAAACATTATATCAAATTTGTAGGAACAAGCCCATTGACCTAGAGTGAAAGACAGGAAGGAGTGTGCGGCTCAATTCACTCTCGATCTCTCCATCTCTCAATCTTTCTCTCTCTATCTCCCCCTGTTTGTCTCTTTGACAACTTTGGGCTTTAGGCAAGTCACTTGTCCTGAATTTTACTTTTCCCTGAGAAGTATGGGTAAGCTTACCTATTCTATTCTCTTTATCTTATCAGGTCATTCTGATGCTCAAATTGTACAATGTATGTGAACATATTCTGTAAATTGTAAATATGTAAATTTAAATGTTTATCATTATCAGCTATTAAGATGAAAATGTGCCTTAGGCAGGAGAGGCTACAACATCCCCAGATTTTCATTCTGTGAGACATGGAATCCTATGTTTCACAGAGACACTTGATGCAAATCAGATGCTTCCTTTAAGGGCCAGATGTTTGCTTCTAAAGCATAGAACGCCTGTATAGACCTCAGAAATCTCCAATTCCTTCCTTTTAAAAATACGAAGTCTGAAATTCAAGTATTATACTGTGGAAAAGAAGACAAAAATCTGCCTAACTCTGAGATGTTTCCCATGGAATTCACTAACAGCAAATTGAATCTCAGAGCTTCTCCAGTGGCTCAGCTGATAAAAAAACCTGCCTGGAGTTTAGGAGATGCAAGAGACAAGGGATAGATACCTGGGTTAGGACGATCCTCTAGAGAAGGAAGGGGCAACCCCCTCCAGTATTCTTGCCTGGAAAATCCCATGGACAGAGGAGCCTGGCAGGCTGCAGTCCTTGGAGTGTCAAAGAGTTGGACACGATTGAGTGCACGTGCATATACACACAACTTGAACCTTATTCTTGTAGTTCTAGATGTGTGACTGATTTGTGTAACCTGCTTTACTTCTCTGTACTTTTTATCAGTAAAATAAGGATAATTGTAGGATCTTCCTCACAGGATTACTTTTGAAACATTAGAGTTAAAATATGTAAAACATTTAGAATATTGCTGACACATAGGAAGCTATTGTTAATATTACTGACATTAATAAGAACAAGACAGAGATTTGGGGAATTTACATTGTATTTTCTTAACAATTTTCACCATAATAGCATTTTACAATAATAAAACTTGATGATATTCCATTTTTCTTTTAAAGAAAGAAAATCATTCCAATTTGGCAAATATTAAACCCACCTGTGGAAGATCCAAAACAAGTTAGCACTCTCTCTAATGTCTAAGAAAGAATTTTCTGTAGGCTTTTTCATTATAGAATCTTGGTTTTATCAAGACATTACAGGACATTTTAGATGAAGGGGAAATACTGGGGAAAATGGAAGGGCTTCTAGTATACCTGTGAATCTAAAACACAAAGAATACTCTAAGTTGTATAATCTTTCATGATATTTCTATTTTGTGCATTGATTGCCTTTATGGATATAAAAGCACTCACCATCTTCTTCCCCAGCTCATGCTTTAAAGCAAGTCAGTGTAATCAACTCCAGAACTGTTCTGAAAGACCAAATCCTGGTGCAAAATGATAGGTGAGTATTAGGACAATACTAGGGATTATAGACTAATTAATTACATTTTTAGCATTTAAAGTGTATCCTACAAAAAGGATATGTTATGATGGATATAAAATGTACTTAGTGGTTTCCAAATTTTAAACTATAAGTTACATGGTTGTGTCTAAGTTTTTAACTGAGATGTATGTGACTTAGTTTGGGAAACACAGTAAGTCTTAGTAATTTCTAGTCAAATTCTACTAGAAGAAATTCTACGCTGATTTGTGCGTGTAAGTGTTAAAAATATCCCCCAAATGAATCTATTTAGAAAAACAAGAGGAAGGAAGGAGAGAGGAAAGAATAAGAGAAACTGAAAGAGAAATAAAAATAATAAAACTCTGACCGATTGCATTGTTATATTATACTTATTTTTCCTTTTTGTGAGTAACTAAAAGAATAGTGACTGAAGCAAATTAACCTAATCAGCTATTTGCCCTAATTCTACCCCCAACAGTTGCAAAGAGGAGACTGAAAGAAAGAAAGAATAGCAATGAGTCACTTTAAAAATAAGCAGCTAGAATTACTGAAAGCTGCCTGGCATCAAAGTTGCTAATGTTGGGAGCTGCAATGAACTACAGAGAAATGAATACTTTAGGATCTAATAGCTCAGAACTTTGTAGTTTCAACCTTGAATTGTTCTAAAGGATTGATAGCCCTATGAATGTGTGTAGGATGCAGATGCTGCAGACTGGAGCTTTGTGTGTATACCAGGTTTAGAGGAGTAGGTAAACTAAATTATTCCTCTTCGATCCTGAAGACCTTGGACTGCCTCTTTTTTTTGGCTAGTTATTGTCATCCAGTCTCATGACTTTAGTTACCTTTACGCCAAGTTTATGTCTCCAGCCCAACCTGTCCTCTGAACCCCAGAGGTGGACCCTCCTCTTGGACATCTAATCTTAGCTCATGGCAACACTGTTCTTCCAGTTACTTAGATAAAAATATCTTGCAATCATCCTTGACCTCTTTCTCTTTCCACATCCAATCCATCATCAAATCCGCATTGGCTCTTATCTTCAAAGTAGATCCAATAACCCAGAATTCAAACACTACTCATCAATTTCACAGCTACCCTTTTTCCAAACTGTCATTTCTCACTTGAATTATTGTAATTGTCTTCTTATGAGTCTTCCTGTCAACAGCTTGTCCATGTACTGTCTGTTCACAACCTACATCAAGTGGCTTGTTTCACAGATATGAGTCAGATCATACCAGTCTTCTGCCCCAGATCTCCAAAGGTTCACATCTCAGAGTGAAATCCCAAGTCTTTACTAGGGCCTGTTAAGGGCTTCCCAGGTGGTGCTAGTGGTAAATAACCCACCTGCCAATGCAGGTAGATGTAAGAGATGTGGGTTCCATCCTGGGTCAGGAAGATCCCCTGGAGGAGGGCATGGCAACCCACTCCAGTGTTCTTGCCTGGAGAATCCCACAGACAGAGGAGCTTGGCAAGCTACAGTCCACGGGGTCACAAAGAGTCAGACACAGCTGAAGCAACTTAGCACACATATATGCTTAAAGCCTTGGAGGACCTGAACCTGTTTATCTTTCTGATCTCAGAACCTCCTAAAGCTCATTTCACTATTCTATTCCAGCAGCCCTGACTCTGCTCTTCCTGGGCAATCAGACATGCTCCTTCCCTGGGATTCCACTGGTTAGGGCATATTTCTCCCAGATATCCTTATGGCTTATGCTCTCCCACCTTCTGCAAGTCTTTCCTCAAGTGTCACCTCATCAATGAAGACTTGTTCAACCACCCTATTTTATATCACAGTATTTCCTATCCCTTCTCTGCTTTTATTCCCATAATTTTTTTTAATTACCTGCATAGTAGAAAATGTATTTGCTTGTATTTTGTCTTTCTCTTACCTCTAGGTTGTAAGCTTTATAAGAGCAGGAATTTTTGTCTTTTTGTTCTCTGTTACTGCCATCTAAATAACACATTTCAACTAAACACTCAATAGCTTGTAACCTGGTGTTCAATAAGCATTTTGAATGGATGAATAAATAACTAGAGACTGAAAGAACACTCAGGGAACTTTAAACTATCATTTTATTTTTTCTTACCATTATAACAGTGTTTCATTTATATGAGTGCAATTTTTAAGGGTCTGCAAGAAAAACAAATCCACTGAAGTGGAAACTCTGAAGCAGACTTCGAAATTTCTGTGCTGTGGCACTTCTACACATCTCTGGATCATAGTTTTCATTTGTGTATAGTCCCACCATACACTCAATAAGTAGCTTGCTTTAAAGCTTAAAAGTGAAAAAGTAATAATTATTGTTGTAAACATAATTGTACCCTTTCCTCTATAGTAAATCATTTTCCTTATTTATAAGTCATCTTTAGTTATATTTAAATTGAACCTCTCAAAGTTTTGGTGGACCACTTTTGCATAATTTTTGCAAATTTTTTCCTTGAAAAAAGCACCCCAGTCCTTATAGAGGTTTGTTTACAGATCTGGTTTCTAAACATTTATCGAGTTATGGAGGCTCAAACAGAAACCAGCTTGCTGAAAGTTACTTCTTCAGTAAAGATCACATCAAAAAAGATTACCTCATTGTACTATGGCACATTCTTGTCAACACAGCCTGGCCTCAAACTTACTTTTTAATGACTGTGATAAAAGTGTTATTGGAGGTCCCTGAATTCTCCATACCATTTTTATGTTGTATATGAGAGATCAGAGACTTATTTTCATTTCTCCAAAATATGTGCATTTCTTTACATATTTCCATGTATTTCCTACTTTACAACTTTCTATACAATCCTTAGTCTAGCTTTTGTTTTTTTAATCTGCTTTACTTTTCAGTAAGATAACATTATATGGAGAAAATTTTCCTGACTTTCAATCTAACTTGTATTTCTTAAACTTACTCAATTACTTCCAATTTGTGCAGAATTAAGATAGACTAGAGATTGGAAGATAGAAGGAAGTAATAGCGACAACAAAGACTCTCTAGAGTGGGATGTACTGAAATAGAAAAATGAATCTTCCTTGTGGAAGGATTCTCAGGAAAACTGACTACCCATCAAGAGAAAAGGTGGAAAGGAATGTGGACCAAATAATGTTTGAGAGTCTCTCCCTTTGAAATTTAAGAATTAGAATTACTTTATGACATTAGTTTTGTTTTCAAATAGGGACTAAAATAATAGGAACTGTTTCAAAATTTTATTCTTCATTTTGTGGTTTAATTTTGTATGGTATATATGAATTATTTTATTTCCTTAAAATCCTTATTACTATTTTCCCTGAATAAAATGAACTGGAAATGCTATTTTAGTATCTAGACTGCCCCCTTCTGGCTTTCATGTCAGACTCTATTAATCACTTTAATCCTCCCATACATACTCTGTACTTTACAACTGTAGGCTCAGTTCAGGGATAATGGTTTCAGTATGTTAATTTTATATATTTTATACAAAAATATGCAGACAGGTATTGTGCCAACTTTCCCAAGGGTTTCTGAAGGACAGAACAAGACTCATCTGTAACACTTCTCTACCAGCACATAATAATTTGCTCTTTTAAAATTCAAATAAAACCTGTTATTCACAACAAAATGCTCTGGATCAAATGCAGTATTTTTGTGGAAAAAGGATAATTAACATTGTACTTTGTGAAAACTGAAACTTTTTGTGTAATGTTCGTTAAATTATTGGTCTGTGTTAGTTATGTCTAATTAGGATGCTTTAATTCCCTTTTAACAGTTGGGTTTCATCACATTTTATATCCCACTACATTAAGAATTAATTTTTTGGCTTGACACCAATGCTAAATTTGCTTATCCAAACAGAAGCCATGCCAAGGGCTTGAAGGATGATGACAGTAATTAACCCAAATCATATACCAGGAGCTATTCCAATGAAAGTGTCTGTTAAATAGTGTATCTTTTTTTTTTTTTATGGTGAAACTGATCCGGCAAAGGGCATGTACCATGACCTCCCACAGAATGTTTCTTGACAGAAATGCCAAAGATGGGCAGGGAAAAACTACTAAACTGATCAAATAGCCATTTCTTATTCTGATAAACAGAATGGGAAGCATGGAGAAATGGGGGCATGCATGTACCTCAGGTCAGAATTTCTAGAGGTCAGTTTGATATTTCATATATCAAATGACTTAGAATTTAGTGGGTCTCATGCTCTTATGTCCCTACAAGGGACCATGAGAGATGTATAAACAGAATGAGCATTATAGCAATAGTAAAGTAGGAAAAATCTGCAACAGGCATAAGTTTTGATTTTGTTCAACAAGTCTTAACTTAGTAAAAAGATAAAATCTTACGTTGCCATATGACAGAATAAAATGTTATTATAGGATATTTGATTATAGGATGTTATATATGATATTTGAGGTTGGTTATATTTGTTGTTGTTCATTTATTCAGTCATGTGTGACTTTGTGACCCCATGGACTACAGCACGCCAGGCCTCCCTGTCCATCACCAACTGCTGGAGTCCACCCAAACCTATGTCCATTGAGTCAGCGATGCCATCCAACCATCTCATCCTCAGTCGTCCCCGTCTCCTCCTGCCCTCAATCTTTCCCAGCATCAGGGTCTTTTCAAATAAGTCAGCATTTCGCATCAGGTGGCCAAAGTACCGGAGTTTCAGCTTCAGCATCAGTCCTTCCAATGAACACCCAGGACTGATCTCCTTTAGGATGGACTGGTTGGATCTCCTTGCAGTCCAAGGGACTCTCAAGAGTCTTCTCCAGCACCACAGTTCAAAAGCATCAATTCTTTGGCGTTCAGCCTTCTTTATGGTCCAACTTTCACATTTGTACATGACTCCTGGAAAAACCATAGCTTTGACTGTACAGACCTTTGTTGGCAAAGTAATGTCTCTTCTTTTTATATTAAGTTGCAAAGACCACATGTACATTTTTTAAAAAAGTAAGACTGGTTAAGGAGCAACATTTGAATTATGACACCACGCGTTTTGGAGAAGGAAATAGCAACCCACTCCAGTGTTCTTTCCTGGAGAACCTCATGGACAGAGGAGCCTGGCAGGCTACAGTCCATGGAGTCACAAAGAGTCAGACAAGAAGAGAGACTCTCTCACACACACGCACACACACACAGACACACAGACACACCACATATAAAGACTCCAACAGTACTCACAAGCACCTTAGCACCAGATACCTCTGGGATATAGCATTATGAGTATTTTTCTTCTGCTTCTACTCCTCTGTGTTTTTCTTCTCTCTCCTCCTTTGTCCTTGTTCTTCCTTGTGCTATTCAATATTTTCCAAATATTTCAGTAATACAATTCCAGAAAAATTGACAGCTCCTTGGTGATGCTTGGAAATGTGTCAAGATTGAGACAGAGGAAGTATTTTGGCCAGAGTAAGCTTTAGAAGAGGTAAGAAATAACTGGTTCAGTGCAGGGTGGTTGAGATAAACAAGTAGAGATGAAGCATATGGCAAGTCAGCTTTTTACTGTATGTATCTGGAGCTCAGAAAAGAGGTTTGGACTTGAGAATTCCATTTGAAAGTCACCCACAGAGAAGAAGTTTGTTGAAACTGGGGTTGGAGGAGATTGCTCAGAAGAGGGGCATACAAAAGGAATAATGACCAGAGCTGAGTGTCATGGAATATAAATGTTAAAAGAAGACAGAGAAACTAATGGAAACCTAGACAAGTGGAAGAAAACACAAAGGTATGATGGTAAGGAAGTCAAAGGAAACATATCTTAAACAAGGGGGTGATCAATGAGATTAATTTCTATGAAGAGTTTAGGTGAGATAGTTTTCAAAGTATCCCAAAGTAAGTATTGTATTTACTTTATCAAGGCCCCACTGATGGAAACACTTTCAGCCAGGTGTTGAAAAGTTCAAGGAGAAAAACAAGCTGGTTTGGCAGAAAAATATTTGGCTACAGAAGGAAGGCAGGAAGTAAGAGGGTAACTGAACACAGGAATGAGGGTGGAATCATTTTTGTGGTGATGGTATTAATTAAAAGCTGAGAAAAAATGTGTAGTTCTTTGTGGGCTGATGGAGATGCTTGAAAGGAAGTAGATGAAGATTAAAAAAGAGAGAACAATTGAGGGTCTTAAAATTTGCCATGCGATAAAATGATCCCTTGCATCATTCCTTTAAAGATGGATTTCCAGAGGGGGAATCTTACAATCTTCATTTTTATCAAGCACTATCAAGTGACTCATCAACAGGAAAGTATGTAAACAATTATAGTTAATGGATGTCTTTTGAGGAAATGGGCAGAATGTGATTCAGGTCATAAGGTTATCCTTGGATCTGAGGAGAGAGCTATCTGCTTTTTATAGGAGAGAGTCAGAAGAGGCAGAGTGGAGATGCAGGTAAATGTAGAAATGTGGTGACTGATGTCCCTGTGTGCTTTGACTTTCTCCATCAGATAGGATGTGAAGGCCCCTTCTGAGAGATGCAAGAATTTCTAGGCACTATGAAAACCCACATGGAAGGAAGATACTAATTTATGGTGGAGCCGGTTTGCAAGGCTTTATGATCTTTTGAAGTAGCAGTCCATAGATAGGGAGCAAGTGTGATCAGGACTGGCTTGTGAGTTCTAACATTGAAGCTTAATAGAAAGAAAAGGAAAATGATTAAAGTTTAGAATACCACCACCATTTGGATGACATGTAATCATGGAGTACAGGCTGAATAATGAAAAGATTCAAGACAGGATGTAGATGTGCTTAGTCCTGAGAGTTTTCCTAAACGTGGGACAGTCGATGCTAAAACCAGGAAGACGCCAGGTAGACCAGGATCATCAATCATCCTAGGGAGCATGGGTGATAGAAACTTGCATTTTTAAACTGAGAGTCTCAATAGAATAAGAACCAAATATAGTGAGACTAACTGAATGTACAGTTTAGAAACAGAAGAGGCTACATTATGGCCAGAGGCTGAAATAATTAGAGTTGGGTTTGCAAAGGTGGATTAGTTCCAGGTAATAAGATTCATGGTTTATGGTCATGAAAGTTGATGGCCAATGTAGCATGCAGCTGACACTCTAAAAGTATGAAGGTCATGAAGTTGAGAAGAGATTGAGTTTAATACAGTTGTCCTTGTCAGCTATGCCATCCCCTAGAATGGTGGCAGAATAAAGTGGCATGAATTAGCTTGATGCTAGTCTTCTGGTAGGACAGGAGGCAAGGACCTGAGGAGGCACAGATTATGGTACAGCCAGATGGAATTAGTTTAAACCATCTAGGAGTCTGGCTCAAGTTTGAAGGATAATTTTCTAGAAGAAACAGTGAAAAAATCAGGCAATATGCCTTGGCTCTAAAATATGTGGGGTATGGAAGAATAAACAATTTCCCTTCCAGAAGATTAAAGAAACAAAGTTAGGTTGCCGTTAATGAAGCAGATGAATGTGCAAAAAAAGGGATTAAGAATGTATAACTTTTAAAAACTGGTTGATCTAAAAATCTAAATGAAAAAAAGAACATTGTCTTGCTTTATCAGGCCCTTATTGGATCAAAGAAAACAGTTCTCAGTGAGAAAAGAAAAAATTCCTGTTGGTGGGGTAAGTACCATAATAACTAGTGTTATTTGTTACCAACCACTCCCATGTAAGTATTATTAACAAATACCATCTATTTTTTTTTATTAAATTTGAAGGGAGTTGCTATATAATATTTTGGACAAATTAAAGTAAATGAGGTATTGGACATTAGAGTGATGTTTAGTTATTTAGCTATGTATATTTAGCTGTGTATATTCTTATTTATTAAAGATATTTAGCTATGTATATTTCGTTATGTATATTCTTGTTAGTGATAGTAATTAACATTATTTGATCACTTATTTTTAAGCCTTCAGGACTGTGCAGGTACTTTGCTTGTACTTATAAGGTGGCTACTATTATTGTTTCAATTTATAAGTGAGTAATCTGAGGATTAGAGGAGTTAATAATTTGAATCAAAGTCATAAAGCTTAGAATATAGCACAGTAGGTTTAAATCTAACTTTTAGTATGACTTTTAATTACAGTAATTTATCATTTTTTAAAAACAATTTTGCTTTTAGGTGAAGTTTCCAGTCATCCTAAAGTATCTTCAAGCCTTCGGCTGGCTCTGGGTGTGGCTGAATGTGGCCACTTGCCTGGGGCAGAATTTGCTGGGAACTGGACAGAATCTCTGGCTTAGTACCTGGGCAAAAGAAGCAAAGCACATGAATGATTTCACAGAATGGAAGCAAATAAGAAGCAATAAATTAAGCATCTATGGATTACTGGGATTAATGCAAGGTTAAAAAAAAAGTCTAGGTTTTTTTTTTTTTCAGTTGCTTTTCTTTTCTTTTTCTAACCTAACTGATCTGGATGCAAGCCTAAGGCATTTTTTTTTTTTAATCTACGCCATAATATTCAGATACTTTGAGATAATTCAAATACATGTATTTTTAATTCATCATATTTGAGAGAGTAAACAGAAACTTGTGTCAACTACATGACCCATACTAAAAAATTTGTCTCATTTAATCTTGCCAGTAAGTATTTAGAAAGGTATCATTATCCCCATTTTACAGCTGAGAAAATGGAGGTTTATCTGTTAAGTCATTCAGGACTCAAAGTCTTGACTATAGGGCCAGTCACCGTATGTGGGATGCTTGTGACTGATGTGAAGATAAGTCAGTGAGTCTGTTAAAAACTGCATTGTAAGTGAAGTTTACTACTACATGGCAAGCAGTATTTGTATAAAATAGTATAAGATGACACTGGGAGGATTTAGAGCAGGGGAAAGCTATATTTGGTTGAGAAATTAAGATAATACCCAAGGCATAGTTGGCATTTGAGGCAACACTGAAAAGATGGATTGAGTTTTGTCAGAGATCACAGAGAAGGAGAGGTGAGAGATGCAGAGAAAGATGTTCAGAAAGACGGGTAGGAAAGGTGAGGGGGATGTAGGCACAGCTGAGGATGCCAGTCTGAGTCATCTCCAGCTAACTGATGGGGCAGTAGAAGAACAGAAAGGTAGTTTGGAAATGTGTTAAGGATGATGGTTGAAAAGGCAAGTGTAAAACTTTGAGAACTGGGGGGAAAACATGACAGAATTCGGAATTATTTTCAGAATATGAATAAATATGGTGTGATGAAAAAACAGATGGATTTTTATTGGGGGGACTAAAGTCAGAGACCAGGGAGAAGTTGGGATCAGTAGAGATAAAAATAATCAAGTATTTTCAGGCGTCTAGATGAGAGATAATCTAGTACAAAAAGGTCTCTTATCTGATCCATCTCCTTGTCACCAAAAGCATCTAGTCCAGTGCTAACCAATGGGTAGGAAATGGAATAAGACTAAATAAAGTATGAATGGAGGAAGGGTCAGAGAACTGCAGTGGGGTTGGAGAAAAGGGGTGGATAGGAAAGACATTGCGGTGAAAAGATACATAAAATTTGTTGTGGGTGAGAAGAGAGCATCACTTGAGATTTTGAAGTTCGAGTAATTGGGAAAACAATGAAGACAAAAATAAAGAAAGCAGTGGGGAAGAGTGTTAAGTGATAGAACAGAGAAATTATGAATTCAATTTGGAACACCTTTAGTGGAAAGTCTGGATATATTTTTCTGCTGTTTTTCCCCCCAGTAAGCAAAGTAGATTCACACTGTCCTTCAAAGAAGTTGAGTGATTTGAAAGAGGAAGAAGAAAGATTCTCAAAAGTATAGTACTCAAAAGTACAGAACCATTGAAGGAAATTTTTTTAAATTAGAGACAATCTTTGTGTATTTATAAGGAGAAAAGAGGATAACGTGAAGGAGAGCAATAAATAAGAAATAACAAATCAGCTACATGGAAGTCTTGCTATCTAAGGATATGCATCAGGGAAAACAGAAAGAATACATGCTTTTGGTAACAGAAAATTAGGATAGCATTTAAAAGTATGTGACTCAAGGCTTTGCTTGTTTTCTACTCTCCCATCTTATTTTTTTATTATGTCCCCATAGTACTAGCTATAAGTATCTCCATGGAAAGTAAACAAATATTTTGAGGCAAATTTATGCTTTTTTGTCATTCTGTTACACTCATTGGGAAAAGAGTTTTTATGTTAATAACTAAAATGAGATTCAGAGATTTAGAATGTGCTTGGTTCTAAACCAGTGAGTCAAGTTTATTGGCTCATGGTTTGCAACTCAATGAGGTGAAGGTAGATTTAGAGATATAGCAATAGAATGCTGAGCAGCAAAAGAAATATCCCATATACATCTCTATGCCTATGTCTATCATCATATATAGGAGAGTTAAACTCTTATCGACCTACTGAGCTCATGTTACAGATTTAAGGGAGATTCAGTATCCTTTGGAGAATATTTTAAGTGACCAAGTAACTGTTATTTTCCTATACTAAGCAAGGTATGCAAGTTTAGTATTCAAAATTTTACTCATTTACTTTAATTAACTGTCAGGAGGTGTAAAAAGTATTTTGTAATGAAAGTAACAGATTATATACAATTTAATCAAAAAGATTTTTTCATGACTGGATTTTTATTTTTTACATTTAAAAATTTAAAGTTTTGACATTATTAAATGTAATTATGTTATAAATTTTAAATTACTTCATAAGAAATGAAACTCTATAATTTCTGATTTTATTAGTGGTCCACAGCTGCATCCTCTGGAACCTGACCCAATCAAAAGCAGGCTGTATTCACTGATATCAAAAAAGCTTACATTACTTTTTGAGCTTTAAAGCATAAATAGCACTTTCACATGTTAATACCAGAGGCCTGGTATGAATAATATAGAAGGCTAACATTCAAACAAAACTGGACTACTGAAGCAGAAAATGCTGCATCTATATTTTATAACAATGATAACGATCCTACCTTATCTTCTGAAAAAGAAATAGCCCTAAACATTTTATTTCTGGTTCTCAGCTATATGCTGAATCTCTGGAACACTCTGGACATCCCTAATCTATTGTGTTTTATGCCTCCTTGTTAGGAACTTCTTTTCCAACCCAATGTGTAAAATATAGACACCTTATTTTCAAAGTGGAGTGTTTAAGGAGTACACTGCTACTTCCTGTTTGAGATGAATGAGTGGATCATTTACTTTACTTACCTCGCAAAATGCCACTGAAATGACAGTGAACAAATCCAAACGTAAAGGGTTCAGGGAATTTTACAGTGATGAATTTCTACATAAGCGATTATACTGATAATCAAGGTAGAAGAACCTGTAACCAGGAACAAATACTAGATGAAGCTGTAAAACATACTAAGTGGTTCAGTCTATCCACTGGGGAAGCACAAGTACAAGGAGTAAGATTAAGTAGCATAGAAATAATCCAAGTGGTTCCCTAGAGCTTTGTTCTGGCCTGCCAGCCTCCCCTACAACCCCCGCCTGATCCCCAGCACTATTCATGTATTATTATACACCAGCTGGCCCAGTAGTAGTACAGTGAAAACTAGGAGCTGATGCTTAAAAAGAAAATGAAGGTTACTAGTGTGTGTGACGTATATTAAAGATGGCCTCTTTATGTGGCTTTTGAAGAAGTTCCAGCCTGCATGTCTAAATCACGATATCAGACTTGCAGTGTCACACCCACTTACGTGGAACTTCCATTCAGAGGAGAGAAATGTTGGGGGAAATTAATGTATACGCTGGCAATATATACCAAGTACCTCTTGATTAAGCATGTCTTAATTAATTAATTATTATTTGTATATTATTTTTATTAAATGTTAATAATTAATGTGTATGCTTGGTACACCAAGTACCTCTGGATTAAGCATGTCTTTATCTCGCGTGTTTAAACTGGTCATGGTGGATGGTCATGCATTTTAATCAAGTGAACAGTATAAATGAGAGCTAACAAATAGAACAGTGGAACCAAGAAAGTAAAATACTCATACTCGCTTGGTATATAAGAGAAGCTTAAAATATCTAATTAGTATCTTTAGATACTCAAATGGCAGAAACAAAGCAAGTGCAGAATGTGCTGAAATAAGGTCAATCTAAGAGCAAGAAAGTTCTTAAAAATTTTAAAGAATTTAAAGAGATTGTACAAATGTGAGAAGATAAATTGGAGGAGATAGTCCCAGATGTACAGCATCAGAAACAGATGGCAGATGATAAATAAGGAGAAATTAGAGTAACAATCCAGGATGTTCAACATCCCTATAGTAAGACTTTCAGTAAATGCAGATAGAAATTATCAAATATGTAATATGTAACAACATTTTCTGTAATTGAGGAAAATTGAAGCCTGTCTCCACAAATGTTCCAGTTTAGAGCAGAAATACAGGGGGTTCCAAGATAGTACTTTGTGTTGCAAGAGGAGGGGGCAAAAGAGGATAAAAGAAATAATAGAATATCTGATGAGTTCGAATATATTCAAAAGAATTTTGCTGACTATTGAATTGTTTGGGAATAGATGAGTTCTTGTTGCATAGAAAAATAGTGGTACAAGCATTGGAAATGTAGTGAACTTCATGAATATTATGTTTAGTAGTAATGTAAACACTGAATATTTGAGGGGAAAAAGGGCAACAACCTATTTTTAGAAGGGCTAGAAAGTGTGGGGGATTGAGGTAGGAAAATAATAGGAAATATTTAAGAGTAAGAAATTATTTAACAGTCGTGTGTGATGTTATTTAAAATAGAACTAGGTAAAATAATTTGAGGTGGTCAGGGTCAACTATTTTTGTTTTGCTTTGTTTTACACATTATACCTATAAGAATCATGTTGGCAACACACTTTTATTAACAATTTTATATAGTAGAGATCAACAAAGTAATTGTGTATCCCAGAAGACTCAAAAGCAAATGTCTCAGATAACATGAAAGTTTACTGATGCCTCAAACGGAGAAATCCAGGCACAAGTCTTTAAACTCACTTGATCCAGGGGGCTCAAACTAAGTATCCACTACTCTTTATTTATCAGTTCTACTCATTTTCCTCATTTGCTTAATCCTTAAGCTTCACATGGTGATGGAAATGTTATCTTTCAAAGAATTCCCCTCCATAGAAACCCAGGAAATTACTCTCCTTGAAACAGCTGAGTTACATATCCATCTTTGAATCAATCATTATAACCAAACATCTCTTCTTCCAACCTTACAAGTTCCCAAGTTGGTGATTCTTTGCCCTTTCATTTCTTCTTGCACACCTGGGTAGCCCTTTTCTGAGTTTGCCTCTTTCTTGTTATATTCAGTATTTTGTCTAACACAGCTCACAATCGTCAATAGATGCTGTTAACTGTTTTTTAACCTCTTCCACTAAAGCTACATGTTGATTGTATTTTCTGACTTTCTAGTTTGTCAAGAACAACCCTTCCACCAACCACACCTCTGTAGCTTGACAGACCAAAAAGGTTTATTCCTCACTCACACCACTTGTGCATTGTTGATTAAGAAGGGGATTTTTTCTGATTCTAGCGCCCAAGTTGGAAAAGCAACCTGACTATTTTTTTTTTTTAACTTTGGCAGGCACTGTGCAAAGGGAATAGGAGCTTTAGCAGATCAAACACCAACAATTAAATGCTCTAATCTGAAAGTATCATGTGTTATTTCTCCCTCAATGTATTGTTCAGAACTATTTCTTTGGTGTCTCCAATCACAAGGGGGCCAAAAAGTTCAATTCTACTATGGACCTAGAAGCTAGGAGACCTGAAACTATTTGCCTAGTAGCACCAGTGACTACCATTGTCCCTCAGGACATTATAAAGTTAATAGGTTGCTAAAATTCTATCCACCTGCTTGATCTCATCTTCAGAGCATTTCTTTAGAAGCTATGCTCAAAAATAAGAGAGCCCTGCTCTGATACCCCATCAGAGCATCTGTATTTATTTTCAGCGTGCCATGTACATTTATGCTTAGTTTGGTCCAGAGTTACACATTCTAAAGTTTGATACTTGAGTTTTCCATTAAAAATAAATTCTACGATATGCAGTTTCTTGAGTGTTAAAATTTGAAGTTGAAGCTGTTAACATGTCCCTGATAGCAATTTGTGTTTAGGTCTCTGTGTGTGCTCTGGAGCTTATGTAGTCACCAGGGGATCCTTGGCTGCCTCTCGAGTTTTGCATGCTCAGCTATTGGACAATGTGCTGCATCTCCCACTCCAATTTTTTGAAACCAATCCCATAGGCCAGGTCATCAGTAGGTTCACCAAGGTAAGGAAACCCTATCTTATTAGATAGCATATGTAAATAAATGATGACCCACATTTAGTACTTTATAATCTCATTTGGGTAAAGTGTCATTCTCAAAAAATGAGATTATGTTCAGTGTAGATTTCATTGTTTAATTTCTAATTCTTGGGACATTCCTAATTGATGTATAACAGAGTCACATCTCACACACAGAATTAAAATTCTTAAAAATTGTTGAAAGAATCCAAGAAGTGCATGTGCTCTGGTGTCTATAGCTCCAATTCTTACACACATTTAGTTTGAGAATCAGTGGTTCAGACAGAGAAGGGGAAGAATATGTAAGTCTATATTGAGATATCTGGATTTTAAGCATTATACCTTTAAAAAAATATCTTTATTTCTTTATGTGGCTGCATTGGGTCTAAGTTGCCTTGTGCAAGATTTTTCATTGCAGCCCACAGACTCTCTAGTTGTGGCAAGTGAACTCCCTAGTTACAGCACACAGGCTTATTTGCTCCATGGCATGTGGGATCTTAGTTTCCTGACCAGGGACTGAACCCACATCCCCTGCATTGCAAAGTGAATTCTTAAGCATTGGACCACCAGAAAGTCCCTAAGCATGCTTGCTGCTGCTGCTACTGCTGCTAAGTCGCTTCAGTCGTGTCCGACTCTGTGCGACCCCAGAGACAGCAGCCACCAGGCTCCGCCATCCCTGGGATTGTCCAGGCAAGAACACCTGAGTGGGTTGCCATTTCCTTCTCCAATGCATGAAAGTGAAAAGTGAAAGTGAAGTTGCTCAGTCGTGTCCCACTCTTCGCGACCCCATGAACTGCAGCCCACCAGGCTCCTCCATCCATGGGATTCTCCAGGCAAGAGTACTGGAGTGGGTTGCTATTGAAAAACCTTTTTGAAAAACCTTTTAAAAAAACTATCAACTCACTAATAACAAATGAGGAATGGATGGAGGTTCCCAGAATGTCTCTGCTTACCCATAGGGTTTTACCCATTGTGTTTACAACTAAGTACTTTTAATTGTACTGTCCAGTAAAATATTATGCAAACCACCTAGGTAATTTAAAATTTTCTAGTAGCAACAATAGAAAATGAAAAAGAAACAGTTGAAATAATTATTTATAATAGTATATCTTAATATGTAGAGTACCTGACACCGAATATCTGAATATCTGAAACATTAATGTGTAATAAATATAAAAATATTAATTGCATATTTTGATTTTTTATTCTTACAAAATCTTCAGAATCTGATTTGTGTTATAGACTTTAGTTATATCTCAATTTGCAGTAGCCACATTTCAAGTACTCAATAGCCATTATTTGCTAGGGACTCCTGTATTAGACTGTGCATAGCCATAACCTTAAAATATGGCAGTCGTATAAATCAAGTGTCATGTAGTTGTGATTGGGAAATGCAGACTGCTTGATCATAAACATCTTGGGACTATAAAAACCTCTTAATTGTTAAAACTGAAAAATATGTGGGGGTGAGTTGAAAAGGGCAAAAATCATTTAAGATTCAGATTGTCACTTTTGGGTAAATGGTTTTATTTTTACACTGAATGATATATGTCTTCCTCCCCTCATTTTAAACCATGAAAAGTTAAAAATAAAGTGATCTGATGTCAAATTTTTCAGGATATGTTTATAATTGATATGCGTTTCCATTACTACATACGGACCTGGGTGAATTGTACACTGGATGTTATTGGAACAGTTTTGGTGATTGTGGGAGCTTTGCCACTCTTCATTCTGGGGGTTATTCCCTTGGTTTTCCTTTATTTCACTATACAGGTAAGTTCATGGATTTGTATGTTTTCATAACTTCCAAGTTCACAGTCAAATGTTAGTTGGGCTTCTCTAATGGCTCAGATGGTTAGGAATCTGAGGAAGAAGAGAAAGGAAGAGGACAGGGTAGGAGGGGAAAATGGCCTCCATTCTAAAATAGGAGTGGATTTAGAAAGGCAGCAGCCATGCTCTCAGCCAGCAATGTACCCTGCAACAGGAGAAATGAGTTGTGCATTTTTATGGCCACCACAAAACCTAGGTGTTATTTACATTTTAGCAGAAAGTCAATTTGCCTGAAGATTCAAGAGAGAAACAAATATTCCCTTTTGCCCTGTTACCCTGCTATCAAGAAACTATTGCTGGAAGTACTAAACAGATCTCTCATGAAAGCTGTACACCTTTATATTCTAATTAAAATGTAGTCAGCCAATTTGACTTCCAAGATAATGTCACTGGGAGGCTATAGTGTAAAAACAAAATTTCTTAGCACTTTTTTAAATTAAATATAATAGTGTTTTGAGGCTCTTTATATGAAAGGATGCAGTTCTTATAGTTTAATGTTTTCTCAAAACCCAGATTTTAAAATTCTTATTGGAGTTCAGTTTGTCCAAATCAAACTGTTAATCATTTGCTCATTTCTACATGTCTGCTATCATTATTGTTTCTATTTCTTATGATGCCCCTCTTCTCTCTGCCACCTGGATCTTACTTACCGTTTATGCATAAGTTATATTCTACTTTCTGTGTGAAGCATTCTCTACCAAAACAGTGCAAAGATATGACTTATGAAGGTATTATGGACTTTTATACTATATTATTATAGTATATTATTGTATTATGCTATATTATTTTGTAGGCTGTTTTGGTTTTGTTTTATTTTTTAGTAGACCTAAAATTGTCTCCTCAATAAGACTGTAAGTTCTCTGGGACAGAAACTATGTTTTATAGTTTAGAAAATAACCAAGAAGTTGATGAATGATGTTGAGAATCAGTTGTATCTGCTTAAAAAACCAAAAACAACAAAATGTATCACAAGTGAAAATTTTGTGGTTGATGCAGTATAATAGGGTGACTAGGAATGAAAAAGAGTCTAGAAACCATGTTTTGTGAAGGGGAACTTAGTAGGTTGAGCCCCAAACATAGACTCAGGAGCCTCAAATTCTAGTCACTTTCTTGACTTCTGTGCTTCGTATATCATTTCCCTTTCCAATCTTCATTTCTTTCACCTGTAAGATAAGAAGTTAGATCAGTGCTACTCAAAGTGTGGTCCATGGACCCATGGACCTATTGAATCAGAATCTCCAATTGTACCTCTTCTTTTAAAAATATATTTTGCAAGCAAATATGTATAATTTTTATTTATCATACTCTAACAGAGCTGGGGTGGGGGGATGAAGAATCTCTCAGGTTGGGGCCCAGAAATCTGTGTTTTTTAACCCTTTGGTAATTTCTGCTGAAGTATGAGAAGCATTAATCTAGATCAAAGGTTCTTAAGCTCAGAGCTCTGTATAATTTTATGGAGAGACTCCAGGGCTTCAACAATTCATTGAACTTCTATGAAATTCTCTTTGGGACAATCTCTTAAGTCCCTTGGCAGGCTCAGAATGCCATCATCCTTTGTATTCTACAGAACACTTAGCATAGAGCAGAGCTTGTAAACTCCAAGATGACAGACCACATGTGGCTTCAGATATGGTTTCACTTAGCTAGCTCAATGTTTTTACCAAAATTAAGACATTTTTAAAATCAGGAAGTTTACATAAAAGATTTTCCTGAAAAAAAATGGCAAGATATGGCAACTCTTTATTTTCACTTCCCAGTTTGTAGCAACTATTTGGGGCTGATGAATGATGGTCCAATTAACTCAGGCTTACTCCTAGCTCTCCACAGTCCACTCATCCCAATTGTCCAGAGGGGAAGCACCGATTATAATTGTGGCCATATTGAAATTTTTTAGTGGAAAAAATTTTCCATAATTATAGTTAGGTATAGGTGGCTCAGATGGTCAAGAGTTTGCCTACAATGCAAGAGACCTGGGTTTGATCCCTGAGTCAGGAAGACCTCATGGAGAAGGGAATGGCAATGTTGCCCAGTGTCGTTGCCTGGAAAACGCCAAAGACAGAGGAGCCTGGTGGGCTACAGTCCATGGGATTGCAGAGTTGGATGTGACTGAGCGAATGAACACATTCACTATCACAAAAATACTATTGTTTGTACGCTTGGTAGGCTTCCTTCATTTAATGGGTTAACCACCTGGCCACGCTTTCAGCTATTTAACATAGACCTTTTTCCACAGTAAAGGTTGTTTGAGAACATTACCAAGGTGAAATTTTCCCTATTATGTTCAAATTGTGCTATTCAGAATTTGGGCTTTTTACTGTTAACTAACACTTTCACTTTCACTGTTAAAAAAGTACATTCCTTTCTTGGGGCTCCTATAACAAACTTGGTGGTTTAAAACAACAGAAATTTTATTCTTTCACAGTTCTAGAGGCCACAAGCCCAAAATCCAGGAGTAGGCCTCTGTTGCATGCTTCTGGTGACTGTCTGTCCGTGACCCATGGCATTTTCCTTGACTCCCAGGTACCTCACTCCAATCTTGTCCTCCATGGTTTTCTCCCTATGTCTGTGTCTTCTCTATTTTTTGTAACAACACTCAGACTGGATTTCAGGCCAACCTTAGGATCTCATCTCAAGATATTAATGACATCTGCTAATATCCTCTTTCCAAATAAGGTCATATTCACAGGCAATGGAGGTTAGAACTTGAGCTTCACTTTTGGGGGCTGCTCATTATCCCACTACACACATATCTTGCCATTTTCATGCTGCTGAAGAAATTTTGGCTACATCTTCAAGACCACCTCTTTCTGTTTTCATGTTAGAGGTACTACATGGCGAGCTCTCGGCAGATTCGACGATTGGCAGGAGCATCTCGCTCTCCAATCCTTTCCCATTTTTGCGAGACACTGCTGGGAGTGTCCACTATCAGGGCATTTGGACATGAACAGAGGTTCATCCAGCAAAACAAAGAGGTGGTGAATGAGAACTTGGTCTGTTTCTATAACAATGTGATTTCAAACAGGTAAGTCATATCCACATACCTAATTCAGGATTAGTCCCTTCTTGGATATTTTGTTTATTGACCTCTAAATAGAGTATTTTTAGTAACATTTCATCAAAAATATTAAAACCTTAAATATTTCTAGTATTTAATTCACATTTATGTTAAAGTATATCTATTTATATCCATATGAACAGTCCATGCTACTTATGTGAATATAAGGTCCTATGTTTTTTGAAAGTTACACAGGATGGTATAAAAATTACTAAAGATATGATTCTATGTTGTATTTATGTTTGTAAGTGGATATTATTTGCATACAATAATTTATAACATTTTTCATTTGAAGCTATTCATCTGGTGGGGGGCAATGTTAAATAGTAGTTGGGCACATTTTAACTTTCAGAGATTAATTTCATTGTATAAAATGTGTATGTAATCAGAAAGGTAAGTGATTTTTCAATGAGATTTTAAAATAAATGCATCATTTAAGCTGGTGTTCTTTTTCTTTTTAATTCTGATTAAGTTTAAAAGCAAAGTTCTGCAAAAGTAAAACATATTTTTATGCAGAGAAATTCTTTATTGTCATTGCAACCATCCTATGTTTGATTGAGTCCTAAGTAAGTGAGAAAAAAATAGAAAGCAGCTATTGATGTTTATGTCTTCATTTCCCAGAGGAGGAGAGTTCATATTGAGTGCACCAAAACTTTTGCATCTCATTTCAGGAATATTTTCCATTATTTCAGGTGGCTGTCTGTTAGACTTGAATTTCTTGGCAACTTAATGGTGTTCTTCACTGCAGTGCTTACTGTGCTGGCTGGCAATTCTATAGATTCAGCAATAGTTGGTTTGTCTATATCCTATGCCCTAAATGTAAGTAATAATGATTGTGTGGTATATGACATGTTTATAATCCAATTAATTAAGCTCTCTTCTTTTCCCTGTCTGAATAAAAGATGGTAGTAACTAAGTAATGAGAGACAAATCTGGATTACCCTGGAGGCACATTTATTTTTCTCTTCTGCTACTAGCAAAATAGCTGGCTCAGCAGTTCTAAGGTAGCTCACAGAAAGAAAAGGCTGATCCCCAAGACTCAGTGCTAGAGGACCAGGATCCCAGTATTGCATCATTACCCAGACATGTCATCCTCTCCTATCCTTATAGACTGTAAAGTGTAACAAGGATAGGGGGCTTCCCAGGCGGTGCTAGTGCCAGTGCAGGGTAGAGGTTAGAGATGCAGGTTCAATCCGTGTGTCAGGAAGATCCCCTGGTGGCGTGGCAACCGGCTCAAGTATTCTTGCCTGGAGAATCTCATGGAGGGAGGGGCCTAGAGAGCTACGGTTCATAGGGTCACAAAGACAAGACTGGAGCAACTTAGCATGCACACACACAACAAGTATAGGGCCTTTCTCTACCATGTCCTGTCCATCTATTATGTTGGGGCAAACATAATTGTGGCTTCAGACCATGAATTTTAAATCTTTGTAACTGGGCTCTGCTGCTGCTGCTGCTAAGTCGCTTCAGCCGTGTCCAGCTCTGTATGACCCCATAGACGGCAGCCCACCAGGCTCCTCTGTCCCTGGGATTCTCCAGGCAAGAATACTGGAGTGGGTTGCCATTTCCTTCTCCAATGCATGCATGCATGCTAAGTCGCTTCAGTCATGTCCGACTCTGTGCACCCCCATGGACAGCAGCCCACCAGGCTCCTCTGTCCATGGAATTCTCTAGGCAAGAGTACTGGAGTGGGTTGCCATTTCCTTCTCCAACTAGGCTCTAACACATCTTTATTAATCAAAATAGGAACCTTTACAATCAATGTATTTTTGCCAATGAGAAATAAGTTTGTTTATTCCTGTAGCATAAAACTCCATGCTTCAGGATTTGACGAACTCTTGGAATGCATTTGCTGCGTCCTGCTGGTTGTGGAAGCATTTTTCCAGCAAAAAGTTGTGGAGATGCTTGAAGAAGTGGTAGTCGATTGGCAAGAGATCAGGTGAATAAAGTAGATGAGGCAAAACTTCATATCCCAATTGGTTCAACTTTTGAAGCATTGGTTGTGTAACAGTGGTAGGGCATTGTCATGGGGAATCGAGCCTGTTCTATTGATCAGTCCTGGCTGCAGCAGTTTTTGGTGCATCTCATCAATTTGCTGAGCATGTTTCTCAGATGTAGTGGTTTTGCCCGGATTCAGAAAGCTGTAGTGAATCAGACTGGCAGCAGACCACCAAATAGTGACCATGACCGTCTTTTGATGCAAGTTTGGCTTTGGGAAGTGCTTTGAAATTTCTTCTTGGTCCAACCACTGAGCTGGTCATCACCCGATTGTCTATAAAATCCACTTTTCATTACACATCGCAATCTGATGAAGAAATGGTTTGTTGTTGTTGCGTAGAATAAGAGGAGATGACGCTTCCAAATGGCAATTTTTTAAATTTCTCGTCAGCTCATGAAAGTGAAAGTCACTCAGTTGTGTCCAACTCTTTGAGACCCATGGGCTATCGCCTGCCAGGCTCCTCTGTCCATGGGGTTCTCCAGGCAAGAATACTGGAAGAGTTGCCATTCCCTTCTCCAGGGGTTCTTCCACCCAGGGATTGAACACAGGTCTCCTGCTTTGCAGGCAGATTCTTTACCATCTGAGCTACCAGGGAAGCTCATGAGGCACCCACTTACTGAACTTTTTTACCTTTCCGATTTGCTTCAAATGCCGAATGACTGTAGAATGGTTGATGTTGAGTTCTTCGGCAACTGCTCATGTTGTTGTAAGAGGATCAGCTTTGATGATCTTCTCAATTGGTCCTTGTCAACTTCCCATGGCCAGTCACTATGCCCTCATCTTCAAGGCTCTTGTTTCCTTTGCAAAACTTCTTGAATCACCACTGCAGTGTATGTTTATTAACAGTTCCTGGGCCAAATGCGTTGTTGATGTTTCAAGTTGTCTCCACTGCTTTAAAACCCAATTTGAACTCGAATAATAACATTACTCAAATTTGCTCTTTTTCTAACATCATTTCCATAGTCTCAAATAAATATAAAATAAGCAGCAAATAATAAGTCATTAGCAAAGACACAAAGCAAGAAATGTGCATTAAAATGATGTATAATGTAACCACATTTATTTAAGAATGAATTCCAACATCAAATGGCTAATTTCAACAGTGCAAAAACTGCAATTACTTTTGCACCAACTTGATAGCTTTTCCAACCTAAGCAGAGATAATGCAAGTTCCGGGAAGAATATATGCTCTGCTTTTTCTCTGCTTGTACTTTTTTCCCCTGATAAGCTCTATGTATATTATACTGCAAAGTGCTAGTGGTATGGCTGTGTTCAGATCCCCTTTGTAAAATAGAAAATGTCTTATACTGCTTTATATATATACATATTATTTATAAGGTGAGTTTAGATGATTTGGGTACGTGCTCTTAATCTCTTATCTAAAATCTTCAAGGTGAAAGGAAATATACTATATATATACTATATATATATATATATGTGTGTATGTATATATATGTATATGTATATATACATATATATACACGTCCCAGGTGTGGCATTAGTGGTGAAGCACCTGCTTGCTAATGCAAGAGACATAAGAGGCACGTGTTCAATCCATGGATCGGGAAGATCCCCTGCAGGAGGGCATGACAATCCACTCCAGTATTCTTGCCTGGAGAATCCCATGGATAAAAGAACCTGGCGGGCTACAGTCCATACAGTTGCAAAGAGTTAGGATCGAAGAAGCTTGGCATGCACACACGCATATATATAGTATATGGAGGGCTGGGCAGAACTCTGTAATCAAACTATTTGTTCTGCAGTGAAACATGTGAATGTGTAGCATAAGTGAATTAAATCAACACTTTAAAGAGGCCCACATTAGTTCAAGTCAGGTTGGCCATCAAATTATTTAACAACAAACAAGAAAAATTTGAATTGTGAGGGCTTTTTGACTTTCAGAACTACACTTGAGGTTATAACCTTGGAGAACTTGTATTTTGAGGAATGGTGAGTGTGAAGAATGTAGAGTTTGGGGGGAAAAAAGGAGTCAGTTGTAGTCAGAAAATTAGAAGAATCCTTCTTCTAGTCGAAAATAGTAAAGTGTGGCAAAGGTAACATCATGCACAAATTTTTTCCCCACTTAGGATGTACATTTCTTAGGGCCTATCCCATCAGTCTTAGTATTCATCTTTCCTTACACCAAGTATGGGCACCTTTAATATATAGTGAACAGTCTATCTTCTGCCAAATAACCATTATTTATGGCATGAATGAATTTAACAAACCTAAAGCAGCACATATGTGTGTCTATAGATAAAAATGCGTACTTTGAATTAAGTTGTTAAATAATTCAAAGGGATAAAATATACTAAAACTCTGGGAAAAAAAGCTTTGTAAAGTATTATTAACATTGTGTAAAAGACTGATACTTACTCATTAAGCTCTTGGTTTTTCACTCCCAGATTACTCAAACCCTTAATTTTTGGGTAAGGAAAGCATGTGAAATCGAAGCCAATGCAGTTTCCATTGAAAGAGTTTGTGAATATGAAAATATGGATAAAGAGGTAAGCACTCATGAATAACCAATGAACAGATACAGAATTTAAGATATTGCAGTGCACCTTGAATGGACATTGTGAAAATCAATTCTCAACAAAACCTGTATTTGTTATAAAAATGAAACATGATCACCTGTTTTTAAGAGGCACAGTGATTTGTCCCCTACCAATTTAGAGTAAAATATGCAACCTCTAATTACAACTTTGTAAAGATTTTACATTGAAAAGTGTCTTAATATAGTCATCTCTTAATTATTTAGAGTCTGATTGTATAATTTAAAAATTAAGTACGCCTTTATTGTCTATACCTTCTGTTCCATGTACTCATCATTAGCATCTCTGTGGATGGGAAGGAGGAGGAGAATAAATCAGTCTGCTCTTTTTCCCTTTAATTAGGTATAATTTGAGGGACAGATGAATGAGACTATTGACAGAGTATAATGGTTGCATTATCTGCATATTTTGTTAATCTCAGTTACTTCTGTCTCCCAGTTCCATGAATTAACAGGGCAGATGATAAAGGGTATATGTTGAATTTCTATATCTTCTTCAATCCGCCTATAAAGATACCTAAATCTTCATGAAAAATTCCTCCTTTGCTCACAACTCAGGACAGTGTGTTCCTCCTCCAAATAAAAACCTACAGATTTCCAGTTGTATTTTTGGTAGCATCTCTTCATGTCTTTTCTCAGACCTTGTTCCATTAACCATCTTCTCCAAGTCTTAACTTCAGCACCCTAACCCCTTGCTCCTTTCAACCTACAAATATGCTAAAATATTTTCTGCATACTCCAACTCCTACCTAAATGTTGATTCTTCCTCCAGATTCTTCCCTGAGTCTTACCTTCATTTTTCATACAAATTTCTTGAAAGATTAGTCTACCTTCACAATAATAATCATAAATATTTAGTTTGTTCAGACTACTGCTATGTAATGACTCTATAAAAATTTTATCATTCTCAGGACTTCCCTGGTAGTCCAGTGGTTAAGATTCCACACTTCCAATTCAGGGAATGCGGTTTTGATCCTTGGTCTGGAAACCAAGATCCCACATGCCACGTGGCATGGACAAAAGAAAGGAAAAAAAAAGTTATTGTTTTCTCTATTTTCTAAACCTTTTACTATTAATATATATTTTTTATTTTGGAAGAAAAAGACAATAAAATGTGTGTGCACACACAAACACACATTTAAAAAAATTACCTTTATATAATTTGATGCCTTGTAAGGTAACAGAAACCTATATGCAGGTCAGGAAGCAACACTTAGAACTGGACATGTAACAACAGACTGGTTCCAAATAGGAAAAGGAGTACGTCAAGGCTGTATATTGTCACCCTGCTTATTTAACTTATATGCAGAGTACATCATGAGAAACACTGGGCTGGGAGAAGCACAAGCTGGAATCAAGATTGCCAGGAGAAATATCAATAACCTCAGATATGCAGATGACACCGCCCTTATGGCAGAAAGTGAAGAGGAACTAAAAGCCTCTGAATCAAAGTGAAAGAGAAGAGTGAAAATGTTGGCTTAAAGCTCAACATTCAGAAAGCAAAGATCATGGCATCCAGTCCCATCACTTCATGGGAAATAGATGGGGAAACAGCGGAAGCAGTGTCAGACTTTATTTTTTTGGGCTTCAGAATCACTGCAGATGGTGATTGCAGCCATGAAATTAAAAGATGCTTACTCCTTGGAAGGAAAGTGATGACCAACTTAGATAGCACATTAAAAAGCAGAGACATTACTTTGCCAACAAAGGTCCATCTGGTCAAGGCTATGGTTTTTCCAGTAGTCATGCATGGATGTGAGAGTTGGACTGTGAAGAAAGCTGGTGCCGAAAAATTGATGCTTTTGAACTGTGGTGTTGGAGAAGACTCTTGAGCATCCCTTGGACTGCAAGGAGATCCAACCAGTCCATCCTGAGGGAGATCAGTCCTGGGTGTTCATTGGAAGGACTGATGCTGAAGCTGAAACTCCAGTACTTTGGCCACCTCATGCAAAGAGCTGACTCATTGGAAAAGACCCTGATGCTGGGAGGGATTGGGGGCAGGAGGAGAAGGGGATGACAGAGGATGAGATGGCTGGATGGCATCACCGACTCGATGGACATGAGTTTGAGTCAACTCCGGGAGTTGGTGATGGACAGGGAGGCCTGGCGTGCTGCGATTCATGGGGTCGCAAAGAGTCAGGCACGACTGAGCGACTGAACTGAACTGAACTGAAGGTAACAGATAGCATTATAAAAACTTTTGACGTGGAAAAAAGTAAATACATCCAAATAACCATATTTACTCTTTAATAGCCCCATTTCTCTGCTCCTCCTTTACAGCAGAATTCTTGGAAATAGTTCCTGTACTTGCTCTGTCTGACTCCTTTTCTCATTCTCTTTTGGAACCTCTTCACACAGGCTTTAACTCCCATCACTTCTCTGCGCCTGCTCTGGTCAACATCACTAGTGGCAGCCTCTCAGTCTTCACTTTACCTGGCCTGTCATTTGATGCTTGTGATCACTTTCTTTCATGAAAACATTTCACCTCACTGGCCAGGCATCACACTCTTCTGTGTCTTCTACCTCCTGTTCTTCCTTCCGTGTCTCGGGTCCTCAGCATATGTACCTAGCTTCTTTTATCTGGAAAGCCCTTCCTCTGATATCCAAATGGCTTGTTTCCCGATCATGTCCAGTCAAGACTTTCTTAACTAGCCTACTTAAAATTACACCAACACTGCCTATTTCCTGACCTTCAAAACCTTATCATCAACTAACATTCTGCATGGGCCTCTGTGGTGGCCAGTGGTAAAGAATCCAACTGCCACTGCAGGAAACACGGGTTTGATCCCCGGGTCGGAAAGCTCCCCTGAAGGAGGAAACAGAAACCCACTCCAGTATTCTTGCTGGGATAATCCCATGGACAAAGAGGAGCCTGGAAACCTACAGTCCATGAGGTCACAAAAGAGTCAAATACCACTTAGCAAGTGAGCAACAATAGCAACAATATTCTGCATAGGCTATGTGATTCTTTCTGTCTCTCCTCACCAGCAAGTACCCTCCCGAAGGGAGAGTTTGTGTTCATTATTTATTATGTTTTTCTCACTGCTAAATCTCCAACAACTAAAGCATTGACTGGTGCAGTAAACACTCAGTATTTGGGAAATAAATAACAAACTGTCCCTTGTCAGTTAAAAGCCTAGGTTACCTTTATCTCCTTTATAAAGTTATAGATAACTTAATAGAAGATGGGAAGCCTTTTTAATGTGTGAAAATTGATTTATAAAATCTTCTTATAACTAGGTGAGAAGTTTTACATTGGTATTATTTAAAAATATTTTCATAAAAATCATAATATTTACAAATGTTGTCTTTCCTCATTTTTGTTTCATCACTTCTGTTTTCATGCCTGAGAGTTATTTTTTTTAGAGGGAAGGTATTTTTATTGTAATTGCAGTTTAAAAAATACTTCTTTGTTTTAAGGCACCCTGGATAACGTCTAAGAGGCCTCCATCACAATGGCCCAATAAAGGGATAGTGGAGTTTGTTGATTATCGAGCTCAATACCGAGATGATCTTGGTTTAGCATTACAAGATATCACTTTCCAGACTCGTGGGGAAGAGAAGGTACCATAAATATTTCATAAGTTTCACTTTACCTTTTATCTGAATATATTTATTCTCAATGCCAAAATATACTGTGGTATTTAGTATAAGATGGTCATTTGTTCAAATTTCATTTAAAAGTAGTAAAGACATGGTTGGCATGTAAAGAATAAGTTTTTCCTCTACAAATAAAAATATATATTTTAAATTGTACATAATCTATTATGAAACATGATTTTACTGTTTTTACTACATTGAGGTATAATGAACAAATGAAACTTGTATATATTTAGAGTGTACAGTGTACATAGAGTGTACAGCTTGATATGTATAAATTGTGAAATGATTATCATAATTTTAAGCACTTAAAATCTCTTAGCAAATTTCTGTGTTATTAACTATAGTTACCATGCTATGTCTTAGATATCTAGAATTTATGTGACTTATAACTGAAACTTTATACCCTTTGACCAGTATCTTCCCATTTTTTCCTCTCAACCCCTGGTAACCACCATCTACTGTCTGGTACTGTGAGTTTGACATTTTGAGATTCCACATATAAGTGAGATCATTAAATATTTTCCTCTGTCTGGCTTCTTTTGCTTAGGATAATGTCCTACAGGTTCACCCATGTTACCATAAATGGCAGGATTTTCTACATTTTTTATGGCAGAGTTACATATGTATATATATACTTTCTTTATCCATTCATCCATAGCACATATTTCTCTTCATCATACAAATTTCATTTCCTTTCCTGGCTACACATCCAGTATTATTAGTATATTTTATATTTACTTCCTCTAGTAAGAGAAGTGCAACAATAAGACAGTAAGATAATAGTTACTATCCAGTAATACACAGGTGAGATTATTTGTATAGTCAATGACATCATGTTTTCCAAGACTATCAGTGAAGTGGGAAAACGCTTGAGATGTAATTTAGTTAGTAAGAACAATATACAAATCTGTTGGCACTGTATAATTTTTGTGTTTTAAAAAAGCAAACAAATAGACATATTACTAATAGCAAAAAGAACGGTTACAAAATATAAACAGTGATTCTCTCCAGGTGTTGGGATTTTAGATGATTTTTGCTTGTATATTTTCCCCACACTTTTTCAAAATGTTTTATGAAAACATATTATTTCCCTAATCAGATTGATATTTTACAAATAAATAAAGGTTAAAAAATAAATTTTAATGAACAGCAGTGTTCCACTTTCCCCTTTCCTGAGACTTGTTTCACATAACCCCAAATTCTCCCTTTCTGACCCTCTAAACCAGGTCCACTGAGGTGGCCTCAAGGACAAATTAATTTTTTGGAAATAATTGTGGAATTTTAATTGTTCTATTTTATTCAGTGTAGTCCTGGTTTTTCTGGTGTAGTATGTCAGATTTAAGATTTAAGATCTTTAATTAGGACAAACCAACCACCGAATGTTCTCTCCATTCAGTGTTTGCATTAACACCAAGACACTAACCAACACCCAGAAGAGGTTGCTTTAGATCTCATGGCCAAAGGAACACTGCAATCACTGGAGGCTTATGACAAGCTGATTGTTTTTGTCCAAGAGTCCAAAGTCCTCAGACATGATCTATGACCACCCTTAGTAGTTTTGATGCAATAGTTGTTTTGCAGGCATTCCTTCAGATTTTCTAGCCTGTCTCAGCAAAGGGTTCCCATCTCCTTTGTTTATTTGTTTGTTTTGGAGGAAGAATGGTAGAGAAGCCTCATTCGAGTCTCAGGGAAACAACCCCATCATCAGTCTTTCTTTAATTCCCACATTTAATGGCTAGTTCAGGGATGGTTCAGGGATGATCTGCTCTGCCTGGGGCAGTTCTTGTTGGGTGATAACTAAACTACTCAAAACTGGAGGAAACACACAAATTAGCCCAAGCCTTTCTAGTGAGTAAAGTGAAAGTGTTAGTTGCTCAGTTGGGTCCGACTCTTGGCAACTCAATGGACTGTAATCCACCAGGCTCCTCTGTCCATGGAATTCTCCAGGCACTAATTCTGAAAAGAATTACCATTTCCTTCTCCAGGGGATCTTCCCTATCCAGGGATCAAACCCAGGTCTCCCGCACTGCAGGCAGATTCTGTACCTCTGAGCCACCAGAGTAAGTGGTATCTAAATAAAGATGGATCCTTGAAAGTCACCTTAAGTCTTCCATGATAGTCAAGTTTACTCTAGTTGGCAGTTAGATTCCACTTACCAGACACCTAATGTATTTTTTGTCAGTGCAAAGGTCTTCTTCCCTTACACAAAGTGCGATGTCAATTATTTATGATAAATTCATTACAGATTGGAATTGTGGGACGAACTGGTGCAGGCAAATCAACACTATCAAACTGCCTATTTCGAATTGTAGAAAGATCAGGAGGTAAAATTATAATTGATGGAATTGACATATCTACTATTGGGCTTCATGACCTTCGTGGCAAACTTAATATTATTCCACAGGTAAAGACTGTTTTGCTGCTATCCTTTCTTAACTCCCTCTGGTAAACTTCTTTTTTTTGTTTTTTTTAAGAATATATTCCTTTCAAGCCTATACATTTGAATTTGAGAGCCAAATTATTTTAAATATATTGTGAAAAATAACTATGTAATTAAATCCTATTAAATACTCTACCCTGATGCATTCTTCCTAAGTACATTTATCTATTTGAAAAACTAGTATGTTGCTTTGCAAGTTTCCTTCATGATAGTAAATACAAATAAAATTCAAATGAAGAAATCAGACTGAAACACACTGGTATTGTGTGAAAAAAGCAATTAGTGAGGCTTTTGCTTAGTTGGTACTTTGAATGTAGAATTTTGACTTTTTGACTTGAGGTTTAGAAATATTTTTAAAAAATGAAAGGAACCATAATTCACTTAGATCTTTTTTCCCAACTCCTTTGATTTTTCCATCTGTGGCATCAAAGGAACTTGATCATTAATAAGTATGCAAATCGGCTCAATAATATGCTTCTACAGTCAAATATGACTCATTCAGTTGTGTTTGAAAGATTCGAGCTGAGAATTTATGAACTGTGTTTATATTTGCTTCTAAAAATGCTATCAACTCTTTGTCATATTGTTTAAACATATACTGGCATTCATGAATTTACTTTGGAACAAATTTAAGTAAAATCTGTAATTCTGGCAGGGAGAAAAATTTGGTGGAGAAAAGAAGCAATCATTCCTTTCTTATAAATCAAAACAGGTGTAGTAAAATGCAGTTTCACTAGATGTGTAAATGTATTGGAAAAAGCATGGACTTGTCTTTGAATTCTGCTTAAGCACTTACTTTCTGTGTGTCCTTGGACAAGAGCTTTTTGAAACCTCTAGTTTGCTGTCTAACAAGGGTGTTTGCTTCCTTATTTCTGGGTTGGTAGGCTAATTGATAATATTATATACATCCTATAGATACATTTATTCAATTCTTCTCTATATTATATATTACATTGTTGTTTAGTTGCTAGCTCATGTCTGACTTTTACAACCCCTTGGATTGTAGCCCACAAGGTTTCTCTGTCCATGGGATTCTCCAGGTAAGAATACTGGAGTGGATTGCCATTTCCTTCTCCAGTTGATCTTCCCAATGCAAGAATCAAACCCCCGTCTCTTGCATTGGCAGCTGGATTTTTTTTTACCGCTGAGCCACCTGGGAAGCCCATATTGTATTATATCTCTGACTCTATCATCATTATTATTGTGTTTGGAAAGCTGTTGTCAACATTATTAACTAGAGAAAGAAGAAGAATCAGGAAGTTTATAATGATTTAATCAAACACAGCTTATACTGATCTTCTGCCTTTGGTTTCAATATAAAATGAATTTGATAACTATTTAGTTTTTCATCATTTTGCTTTTTCCTTATTTAATGTGTGCATGCCTCATGTGACAGTAAGATTACCAGTGATTGTTCTATTCTCTAGGATCCTGTTTTATTTTCTGGAACCCTTCAAATGAACCTGGATCCCCTAGACAAGTATCCTGATCATGAGCTATGGGAGGTGCTGGAACTATGTCACTTAAAAGAGTTTGTGCGGTCCCTTCCCAAGAAGCTGCAGCATGAGATTTCAGAGGGTGGTGAAAACCTCAGGTAAGCTGCGAAGAACAGGGTTTGCCTGAGTTACTCACTCCAGGCTTTTTAGAAACAAGTTGGCCCCAGAGGGAAGGCACTCCTGAGTCACCATGGATTTTGTTGTTCAAAGTACATCATTTGCTGATTCCTTCTAGAGAAGAGAGACAAGGAATAAATAAAATGGTCACCACTCGCTGGAAAACTGCTGGTGAAGGAAAATGAAGGGGAAAGAAAGCAACAATGCAGTGTGGAAAGTCATTAGTTAACTGACTCTTCTTTAGTAAAGACTCCTACCCTAATAGCTTTCTTCCTAAAAATGGTTGCGCAAACTCTGGGAGATAGGAAGGACAGGGAAGCCTGGCATGTTCCAGTCCATGGGGTTGCAAAGAGTCAGACATGGCTGAAAAACTGAAAAACAACAAAGCACTGTGTTTTCTTCATCACTGTTTGATGTCTTAGGACAGTCTGTTTATGTGATCAGAAACCTAAGGAAGATCAATTAGACCCTCTCTGCGCCTAAGAGACACAGCCTGCATGACTCAGCTGCTTCTTCGCTTACTCCCCACTCTCCCTGTTTCTGCCACCTTGGCCTCCTTGGCTCCTTATAGTACCATGAATATGCCAGGCCAGTTCCTGCCTGCCTCAGGAATTTTACATCTGCCAATCACTTTGCCAGGAGTAAGTTTCCATTGGAAATCTGCAGGATTCACTTTCCATTTTCTCCAGGTCTTGAATTTAAAGGCATCGTCTCAGTGAGGATTTCTTTGGCATGCTCATCAAAAATGTCCACCCCATGCCCACATTTTACATCCTGCCTTTCTGTATATTCGAATTCTTCTTATGCCTTTTGCTCCTTTATCTTGCTTATTTTTTGTCTCCCCATGTAAACCCACAGACTTTTGTCTGTTTAATTCATTGTTCTATTTGCAGAAATTGAACCAGAGTCTGGTATAATCGCTCAGGGAATACTTAAAGAATGAATGAATGTGGCTTAGGAAGAGAATAACAATGTCATCAGAATTTTAGAATAGGAAGTGTGTGGCCACAAAATCCATTGTTGAGATCATTTTACTATTTTTTATAACAGTGTTGGACAACGACAGCTCCTCTGTCTTGCTCGTGCTTTGCTGAGAAAAACAAAAATTCTCATCTTGGATGAGGCAACAGCTTCCATCGATTTTGAGACTGATAACTTGGTGCAGACCACAATCAGGAAGGAGTTTTCTGATTGCACCATCCTGACAATTGCTCACAGACTGCACTCTATCATTGATTCAGACAGGTATGCTTTATTTGTTTTCAGAAATAAAACAATTTCTATAGAGATAGCTATTGCACATCTGAAGCACAGTAATTACTTGCCACTAAAAACGGATTTTATTTGTGCTGAGAGATACAAAGTGTTCCCTAATAGTATGGAAGATACTTTTCAAAATAATTAGAGGAATGCATTAATGCTAAGAGAATATTAGAAAACTTGATGTATTTCCTGAGTCAAATTGTACTTTTATTTCGTACTGACAGAACTTACCTAGTAATTTAAATTTTACAGTTGCAAGAACAAGAAAGGTGAACCGAAACACTGATTATAGGTTACCTGACTGGATTCTTTTCACATTGCAGGGTACTTGTTCTAGACTCTGGAAGAATTGCAGAATTTGAAACACCACAGAATTTGATACACAAGAGAGGCCTTTTCTTTGACATGCTAACAGAAGCTGGAATAACACGAGACTCAGGGGTGAAAAATAAATAGTTTATATATGGATTACACCAAATTAAAAAAAAAGTATTTAAAAAAATAAAGACAGGAGAGAAATGTCAAAAAGTAGGCCTATGTTGGCACAAATAGAGATAAGCACCATAGTTCTAACCATCCTGAGCTGTGCCCAACCTTCTTTCTTCCATTCATGCCCTCCTGAATATCTGCCTTTTCCTGATTGCCCAAAGTCCAAAATTCCACCTATCCTTTAAGTCTCTGACTTTGGTCAGGAGTTATCTTCTGCACAAAGTACCTCTTGGTTTCTCTCCTTGGTCCCCTGTCTTATCTAGATGCCCTTTTAATATGCTCTGACTAGCCCTATGTGCATAACTTTATCATGGCAAGGACCAAAATCTGTTTAAATTCTTTTAGTGTGCTCCCCTTAAAGCTACTTGAAGGCAAATGCCAAGTTTTATCATCTTTGTATGTTAGGCTGCTAGCATAGTGCTTTCAGATTGTTGATACTCAACAAATATTTGTAGAATAAATCATTAGGCATTTTAGAGTAATACTGTATGGCCACCTATATACATATGAACAAAGTTTTGAATTACTGTACAATATATAAAATTTTGGAGGAATCACAGAAAAACTTTGAGTTATTCAGCTGCTTTTTTGAAAGAGAAAGTATATGTTAATTGAATTTTATGATGTGCTTTATTTAAAAGTAATATTTATAATATTTTTACTATTTGAGTAAAAAGCCAATATTTTCTATGGAATGTCATTTTTGACTTGATGAAGCTCAGTGAGTTATGTATCAGATGGTATACATTCACAAGTAATTATTAATTTGTGGTATGATTATATTTTGAATGCCGTTTTCATTTGGTAGTTTTATGTAATAGCAACATTATTTCTCTGAATTGCCCTTCAAACTTGAAGTTTCCAAACTTCAATTATATTTTCCTTTCAAGATTATTTTAATAAAATGTTTTAACCTGTCCAGACCCATCAGTCTGTTTCTTTTATCCTCTTTTTCTCCTTAACGACTTTGCATAACCTTGCTTCATCCCCTAAAGGTATTTATGAAAAGTTAACTTAAATTGTAAAACCCTACATTATCTAAATTTTTCTTCCTTAAAACATTAGCTACTGAAAGTGTTGTCCTGTCTTTATAATGCCGGTAGTACTTACCACTATATTTTGTGTTCAGTAGGCATTGAATAAATATCTATTGAAATCTGTTAAGAAAGGAATTGTATATTTCATTAACATCAGTTAAAGTTTATGTCTTAGCTTCTTTAAGTCTGTAATAAGTCAATCAGAGACACTCCATAATTCAAAAATCTAATGGGATGTCAACAGTCACCTGGATATATTGTGGTATCTTCATACCGTGGAATTCTACACAGCTATGAGAGTGAATGAACAACCACTAAAAGCAATAACACCAATGAATCTCACATGCATAATGTGGAGTAAAAGAAGTAAAGCACAAAGAATATTCTTATATGATCCCATGATTCCACTGATACAAAAGTTTGTTTTTTAAAAAAGGAAAAGCCAATTATACTCCTACAAGTTGGGATACTGCTTACTCTTGATTGTTGGTGTTAAGTCACTCACTCATGTCTTTCTTTTTGCGACCTCATGAAATGCAGCACACCAGGCTTCCCTGTCCTTCACTTCTCCCAGAGTTTGCTCAAACTCATGTCCATCGAGTCAAGGATGCCATCCAACCATCTCATCCTCTGTTGCCCCCTTCTCCTCCAGCCCTCAATTGTTCCCAGCATCAGAGTCTTTTCCAATGATGGGTAATGATTAAAAGGGTAAACAAGGTGGACTTCTGGAAAACAGTTATGTACTGTTTCTTGATCTGGGTCTGAGTATTGGTTCAGTTTGTGAAAATCATCAGGCCATATACTTAGGGTCTGTACAAATTTAGATAGACAGATTTATATATTTACCTTATGTATAGTATGGGCTTCCCAGGTGGTGCTAGTGGTAAAGAACCTACCTGCCAATCCAGGAGACATCAGAGATGCGGCTTCAATCCCTGGGTTGGGAAGATCCTCTGGAGGGCATGGCAACTCACTCCAGAATTCTTGTCTGGAGAATCTCATGGACAGAAAAGCCTTTTGGGCTGCAGTCTATAGGACTGCACAGTCAGAGGTGACTGAAGTGACATTAACATGTATGCATGCATGTATAATATAGTTTATATATCTACATATAAATGTATTTATATAATATTTACATATTATTATATATTTATGTCATAAATATTTATATTTATATATTACAGTTAAATAAAGAATAAAAGAAAGTAAATTTTTAAATGACTAAGCCATTTATATATAATGGCTTTATATATCAGTATATTATGTTTTTTACAAAATTAGTATTTCATTCTAATTTCTGTTATGTCCATCAAGTTTGTTCAATCATATAAGTGGTCTTCGAAGAAAATGCGAAAAATTTAAAAGACTGGATTATAGAGAAGTAGTAAATTTAAACTTTGCTCAGTCCTGTCTGCCTCTATGTGACCCCATGGATTGTAGTGCACCAGATTCCTCTGCCCACAGAATTCTCGAGGCATGAATACTGGAATGGGTAGCCATTCCCTATTCCAGGGGATCTTCTTGACCCAGGGATCAAGTCTGGATCTCCTGCATTTATTAAATGATTTATTTATTTCAAATTGTAACTTAAAAACAGATTAAGAAAAGAATTATCATTTTTGACATGCAGAAATATTCACCTTAGCTAACAGAAGGAAAATTCTAAGCAGCATTAAGTTGAATTATTTTAGGATAAGAATATTTATTACTGAAAGCCCACTATATGCCAAGTGATATACAAAGCACTGGAATAATGTATTACTTTCAATTCTCACTTATGTTCTTTACATAAGGATGGTATTACTACCTACCCTATTTTATCAAACATGATAAGATACCAAGAGGCTCTTAGCCCACAAATTATAAAATCCAGACACAGGTGACTATAAAACTGTTGATGCTCTTTTCTGTTCTCTAATAATATGTCTGATTTCTGGAAGAGCCACTTAAAGAGTCTATAATTAAAGACTGGGAGAGAAGAATTTTAAACCAATAGCTTTGAAATAGATAAATGGCATTTGTCTTGGGGGCAGGGTTCTTCTACAAATATAGTATTAGTTAAACCCAAATGAATTAGTCATTATTGTAGGTAAAAAAATTGTTGAATAAAGGCAATTTCATATACTTTTCAATTTAACTTTGATATCCAAGTTAGTGTTAAGAAGATGTAACGAAGTATTTTAATACACATGAAAATAACAAATAGTTCTAACTGATCTAGAGGGCTTTTATTCTGGGAAAAATAATCAAGAAAGTTAAAATAAGAAAATTTTATCATAGTTGAAAGAGTTCAGAATCTAGAGACAGAGTATCTATGTTAAATCTCAACTCCACAACTTTCTAGATGTGCAAACTTGGGCAAATTAACTTATTTCTCTGAACTTATTTGGGTGTAAGAATTTTATCTGCCCCTTAAAGTTTCTTTTTTGGAAATTAAATGAGATAACACAACATTTATGACAGATAGAACACTTTCTGGAATATAGAAAATATTTAATAACCATTTAATAACCACTTAAATATTAACATTCACAGTTTCTTGTAGTTATATATAGTCTCATGTTTACAGACAAGATCACACAGGACACAGCTTTAAGTAAACAAAAAGGGTGAAACAGACAATATTTATGATAGTCTATTGTATACACAGCAACTTGGGGATAATTGGATATTAAAATAAGATATGGTCCTCAATTGTGTACAATATGATCTTGGTGAGATTCAGCAACATTGAGAAGGCAGTAGCAAGGCAAATCTCTTTCTAGTCCTTCCAGTTATCCTAGCTCTTGCTTTTCTAGCTGTCATTTTCCAAGCAAGTAGACCATGTGTGGACTATAGAAATCAGGACTTCTGGCAATATTCTGAGCCACATTTCTCTAAACTGTTTTCATGAAAATGAAGACTACCTTGGTAGTTTGTATGGCAACTGCTACGCTATTGGGTTAATGGTGCCAAGGTAATGGGTAATAAACCTGGTAAAGGCTGATTGGTTTTGTAGCCAAAAGTGGGGTTCTGGCTGCAACCTCTCAAAAAGCCAATAAAGTGTCAAGGTTGGTATAAAGGAAAGTTTGCTTTATTTTGTTTGTGGACAATTGGGGGCAGGGGGAGGACAGACTCCTGTCCAAAGACCAATTCCCCCCAGCTCCAACAATCAGGGAGCAAGAGCTTTTACAGATGGAGGGAGATAAATACAGAAACAGCATAGTTAGCTCTGATAGTCACCTTGAAATTGGCCGGTGGTCTGACCAGCATCATCTTGATTGTTTTAAGTAAAGTTAATCTTCAATTCCAAGGCCACTTTGTTTCCATTTCTTGAGGCCTGTTCTCAGAATTGTTGGCTTATGTCATGGCTAAAGTCTGATCATCATGTAGTTAATTTCTCCACCTGGTGGGGTGGTTTCAGCATCCATAAAACAGCTTACAGGATGTGGCTCAGAATATTATCTACAGCCTTTGAGAAGAAACTGAAAGTCCTTGACTATGCTTAATGAGTACATTTTATTATTTGGTCTCCTTTGACTGTTTTCCATTGTTTCTGTATGTTCTCACACCTCTGATTAGGCTTATTCTTTGCCAAAAGTTTTTCCACAGACAAAAGTCAGGCAGAGGACATGGGGAACAAGGATCCATAGGGTCCTGCTCCATTTCAGCTTCTCTTGTTAATGATTGCTGACTAGGTAACCAAGCTTGCTCACTTGCTATTTACAGACTGACCAGATTGAACCCAGGCTTAGTTATCATAGCTGAGCAATGATAGTAACATTTTATCTCATGAGGGCAGCACAAGAGAAAAATAAAAATGAATACGCATATGAGCAAAATGTAAAAACATCATAAACTAAAAAATTATTTATGATATTAGCCAAAAATTTGAAAAATGTTTCCAAAACATTTAAAAGGAAAATGACATATACGCAATTTTGTGTGTCA